TGGAGGCCTGTGTAAACAGCCCGACACGTCCCACTGAGGCCGACAAATTGATGGTGAGCACGCACCAATGTGGCCGGAAAATGGTGCTGGAGGCCTGTGTAACCAGCCCGACACGTCCGACTGAGGCCGACGAAATGACGGTGAGCACGCATCAATGTGGCCGGAGGCAGTGCTGGGGCCCTGTGTAACCAGCCCGACACACCCCACTAATGCCGGCAGAATAACAGCAGGCCAGCCGCCTCGACAGGCACCAGCTACAGTGGTGAAATCTCTGTGCTGGGGCAGCAGCGGCCGCATGCCGCTGGCCCGACATCTTCGGGCAAAATGACATGCCGCTGGCTCGAGGTCTTCGGGCTTAGGTACCTGCACTATGTGTCCCATCCGTGATGCATCACACCCTGTCGCACTACACGCTCATACTACAATACAGTAAGCATATTATAATGCCCGCTACTAGTACTCCTCCCCACGATTTGACAGGGTGTGATGCATGACGCTTTCCCGCCTGTGATGCATCACCCTCTGTCAGAGTACAGGATAATACTATACAACGATAGGCACACTATATTTACTAGTAGTGGTCCCCAGCCCATGAATTGACAGGGTGTGATGCATCACGCTTTCCCGTCTGTGATGCATCACGCTTTCCCGTCTGTGATGCATCACGCTCTGTCGCCCTACAAGCTCATACTACAATACAGTAAACATGTTTTATTACCTGCTACTAGTTATGTCCCTCCCGCCCACGATTGACAGGGTGTGATGCATGACGCTTTCCCGTCTGTGATGCATCACGCCCTGTCGCCCTACAAGCACCTACTACAATACAGTAAGCGTTTATTACCCGTTAATAGGAATCTCCCTCCCGCCCACGATAGGGTGTGATGCATGACGCTTTCCCATCCGTCATGCATCACGCCCTGTCGCACTACAAGCTCGTAATACAATACAGTAAGCCTATTTTATTACCTGCTCCTAGTACTCCCTCCACCCACGATTTGACAGGGCGTGATGCATGACGCTTTCCCATCCGCCATGCATCACGCCCTGCCGCACTACAAGCTATACTACAGTACAGTAAGCCTATTTTATTACCCGTTACTAGTACTCCCTCCGCCCACGATTGACAGGGCGTGATGCATGACGCTTTCCCACGTATGATCCATCACCCGCTGTATCAGTGCAAACCAGCTAGATCCCTTGTATTAACTGTGTTTTACTTGTGCTACTAGAACTAGGACAGGTTTATGGCATTCACCATCATAGCATTATCTCCACCCTTGTAGCAACATATATGAACGAACCACCGAATTCTTTGCAGTAGATCCCAGTCCATTGCGGTACACAATACCCCAACCGTCCCATTAGCCAGGCCGGCGTTCGCCGACAGAGGTTGATGCATCACATTTTTGTTCACCTAAATGTCACGAGCTGATGCATTGCGTCAACCCCGGCCGGCATCTATAGCCCGTCAAGTATGCCCGTCGCTCAAGCGCTCACATTCGACTGGGTGTGATGCATCGCGCTTTCCCACCCGTGATGCATCACACCCAGTCGCGGTGTCAGTGTAATATGTGTTCCGTACTAACTCTAATTACGATGAATAATACAACCGTAGCAATCCCTCAAACACGCTCTTTCTACAGTTAGCTAATCCACTAATAGAGTGACTCGACACGTACTGCTCGATGCTTTAGCTTAATTATTAGCGAATACGAAACTCCCTGCGGAGCGGGACCGTGTCTTTACGGCCCGCAACCGGCATCTTCCGAGCCGCGCGTGGTCCCAGTACTATAGCGCCCGGGCGTTTTAACTGAGCGGGTGTGATGAATCACGGTCCTGGCGTCTAGTACAATGCGCCTTCTCGCTCCTGGCCTTTAACCGAGCGGGGTTGATGCATCACAGTCCTGGCGTCCATAGCTCGCCTCCCCGGGCCTTTAGCCGAGCGGGAGTGATGCATCACGATCCCCGAAGCTTTGACCCCGGGCTCCAGGCACGTGTACTCAGTGGGCATGTACTATGCCGGAACCCATTATCCGACTCCATCGGGGGCTGTAATAGCTTCGTGATGTTTCGGCCCACTTGAATAGTACCCGACCCTGACGCGCGTCGATCATACATTTTACTCCTCCTCATTTGGCTTGGCATATAAATACTTCGCCCAGTCTTTGTACCAATATCAGCGTGTTTGTAGAATACACATACAGGCGTACACTAGATCTGTACATATCCTATAGCTTGGGGCTATATCCATGGATTTGATCGTCCCGTCAGGACCTCGGCATTTCTAATGACATAGAACGTACCTGATGGAACTTGCCATTTCCTAACGTCACGCGGTGTTAGCTGTCATGTTGCAGCATGAGGTCCGATGCTCGCCACTTACACCAGACCGATCAGATCAAGACCGGTCACGTTCTAAGGCCCGAAGTGGTACCGCAACGAGCGCCGACTTGAACGATTTAACAAATTATAAGGGATAACTAGATACCTGTAAGTACGAAGAGAACTTAGTCGCAAATCTAGTCCCTATGGCTCGCCTAATACTAGCCTGGCGCAGGGCGTAAGCCATCGCCCCGTCTCTGTATGCCTCTGCCTTGAATGAGCAACACTCAGCATTCGCTTTCCACCATTCCCCTTGCCAATCCAAGAACTGGAGGACGCGCCTCATCTCTTCCTTCAGGAGAATTGTCTCCTCAGTCCATCGAGAAGCCCTCGCCCGAGCCTTACACCATTGAACCCGCAGACCTATTAAGATCAGTCAGCGTACGGTATGCCAACTAGAACCAGCTGAAATGCTACCGTCTTGTACACTGGGGTCGTCGCTATTAGCGACGCTTTTATCTACCCAGATCCACGATAATGTTGTCCTACCCTCCGTTTCACCCTGCAAATAATCGCCCATTGAGCGTATATCGCCGTCGCTAAGTTCGTGCAGCGTGTTGTCCCATCCAGGCTTTGAGAGTCTTGAGGCAAGCGACTTCAACGACGTCCTAGCGTTCCGGTAAGTATAGGCGCATTTTTTGATCCTTCGCTCGACAACTTTCAGTGACTCTCTGGCGCGAGTGTTTGCCCCTTGTCCACGCAGAAATCGATCCTTGAAACCCAGCATAAACGAACGCACCCTAAGGTACTGACGCACCTCGGCGAGCGCGTCGTGGGCTTGAGCAAAACGGAGATCCCACTCGCAGCTGATAAGGCGGGAATCACATGCGGTAGATGAGGGTAGATCGCTCGGAAGGTATAGCTGGAGAGCCGATGGGCTGACCGCCGTTAAGTCATCAGCATCCGTTGTCCCACGAAGAGACGGAACAACAGGCATGTACAGCAACTGAATTGCCGTCCAGTCAGCGAACTTCCGCCGGATGGAGTTTGAGGTCAGCTGTAGTTTAGTTTTCTGCGAGTCCGTAGCATGGTTTCCGAGGTCGGCTACTTCTAAGCTATATTTGCGTCTGATCTGCTCGTGAGTCAAGAGTAACGAGTAACCATGGGTTAAATACCCACATTGACTCTTCTAAGTCAAGGCCTCCTGCAACGAAAGAGCTGGGTGACATTTCCGTGTGCGTGAACCCGCCGGAAGGGGTCAAGAGTTCTTCTGCCTCAGCACGAGCGAGCTGGAGGCGGACGGTCGCCTGGCTGATTTCTATGAATAAAATGAGGATGCAGAAGAAAGAAGCTGAACCACATTCCACTCACGACGGACTCGAGGCTGGAAAGGGTTGGGCTGAGCGTGGTCCTCCTCCCACGCAGACATTTCGGCCTCCCAGATAATGATGTGATGTTTTAGGCCTTCAATATTCATATCTTCGAGTTGCTCTTGATGGACTTTGCTGAGAGAGAGCGCCTCGTCCATCTTTCGACTGAGGATCTCATCTAGATAGATATTAATGATGAAATGTTAAAAGCACCCGGGACCAATGACGTACGTATGCCGCAGATTTTCTTCCAGTTATAGTCGCCGAAGTGAGCATTCAGCGTGTCATGACGGGCACCCGGGCCGTTCTCCTTGGTGGCGACAGCGACTGGATTGATATTTGACCAACCTCTCTCGGGTGCCTCGCCGTCAGTGCGGCCGACCCACTTTGCAAGGTTAAAAGAAAACTCGATCTGGCAGCGCTCAACATGTGCTGGTAGATGAAACTTTGGAACGAGGAAAACAAGCTTCTTGCCGTCGAGGACTTTATCGCTGATGTGAAAGTATTTACGGATGCGTTCGAGGAAGTGGAGGCTCCACTGGCACGCAATATCGTAGGAGATCACAATAACCTGCGCCTGGTCTCCCGAAAGACTTGATAAAATTAAGAAGTCCATATTATAATATCTAAACGTCGCGTCAGAATTGCATGGAGCAAAGGGGCAACGTGCATACCGTTCCCAGTGCTGAAGATCGCCTACGCTACACGGGCGTTTCATGTTATGTCGAGTACAATCCACGGTCCCGACACCCGTCACCGCCAGACCCTTCGTTGACTTGAGATTGGCCAGGTTTACGGCGTTGTGATTCACGCAAGTGCTTTTCTGATAACGAAGTCTCAGTCAGTTAAATACAAATCATTCATGAGGCAACCATACCTCTTGTCGGGCATTCTCGTTCTCTGTTATATGACGCTGATAGACCGACTCGTCGACGAAGTACGCCGAAGCGCCCGATAGGCTTGGATCGGCGTTGGCGGATGATACTTCTTTTCGCTTGAGGCGAAAGTTCGCGTCGAGGCCAATGAATAACGAATAAATCCACCTAGATTGGCTGAGTCCGTGTGATGACAAAATAATTCAAAAAGACTCACTGCTTAGATGGCGGCTGCGTCCTCCAGTCGTCAGGAAGGTTCTTCCCCGGCTGCGGACATGCGGGGCAAAGAACCGCGCATGATCCAGGAGGAGTAGATGCAATACCCCCAGGATCGTGCCCTCGCCCGCTACGCTTGAGCATCTTGAGACAAGCCCACTCACGAGCGACGCGCATGAAGGCGCGATAACGATCGCTCACGTTCCCGGAGCCGCAGTTGTCCGTTAACCGAACGAGAGTGTGATATACCTCGTAAGCAGAGGCTTTGGATTCGAAGGCGAGGATATGATAGAACTCTAGAAGGCGGAAGGTAACAGCCGTTTGCGGTTCTGAGGTGGTGGCTGGGAATAGACGGGAGCGGAGAAACTTGGTGACACGATCAGAAGGCGATGAAGGGCATCCACAAAAGTCGACTACGATTTCGTGGGTGCCGGTTGTATCGATGATAGTGCATGTTTGACTTTCGTATGTCTGACACGACCCTGACCCAGTGTGACCAACGCGAAGACGAAGGTTGAGTTTGCCAAGGGTTGTCCGCTCGAAGAACTCACCGTTCCATCGCTTCGATCACTATCAGCATACGTTCGGTCAGAGAAGGAAGCTAGAATACCTGGATGCGGTGGAGCGGTGTCCGTTCGTGAAGCCGTACAACACACTCATCACACCAAACGTCTGGACAGAAGCAGTCGGTGCACCGAATGGCGGCCTCGGATTTGCCGCACTCGGAGCAAGTCCGATCAGGGTGTTGATTGCCCCAGCCTTCCCATCGGAGCAACTCATCGAGGAATTTTTGTTGATGAGGTAGATAAGCTATCAGTGGGTTATCCTGTATGACCGGATCAGATATTGCTCACGGTAAGAGAAAACATAAAAACAAAACATACGCTCGAGTAGGTCTTCCGCACATTATGCACAGGCGCCTCCACAGGTGCTGCCGCGTGTCCATCTTCCATTTCGACGGCATCGAATAGAAGGTCTTCCTGGGCGCATACTTCATCTTCTGGTCGCTCCTTCATCGCGCGTTTCGCGGGTGGAGCTGTGGTGGCGCCAACGGAAAGCCAAGAGCGCTGACTTTTCTGCGTGCCATCCACAGCTACAGCATGGCTTGTGTGAGGTACTTCCTTTGTCGCTTCGTCCGGCGGCCTGTGCCACTTGACGGCGCCGTTGCGGCGCTTCTTCGACATAGCGTACGTAGACGTTGAAGGAGGGCGCGAGTGACAACTGGGTGTAGCACCCCAGTTTATTTACTAATTTCTCCGGACGCGGGAGACTCCATCATTTGACGTGTCGAGAGGGCGCCACCAACAGGGGGTGATGCATCATTCGACAGGGGGTGATGCATCACTCAACTGGGGGTGATGCATGACCATCTTTGATGCAACGCCACCTGTAACTATCATGGGATCAGTCGAAGATCGAAGAGCCAACACTCACAAAGTTCTGCCCAGGATAGGTAAGCGTTCTCGTCAATCGGTACCCTGATTTTCAGCTGATTAAGCTGCCAGCGAACTTATATATGAGACGAGCGCTCTCTGACCGTCTCGTCAGCTTTCGCCCTCGTATTTGTCCCTCTCTCCCTCTCACCAACCTCGCTCACGCAACTCTCACTCTCTCCTCCTCACACATTTCCGTTCAAGTTGAGTATTATATCCTTGTGCTTCCTGTACTTGCGCTCACTATATTGGACTATGAACAGACCTACAAGTATGGAACTCGAGTACAGCGTCTCCCCCGGAACTCGGACATGCATGCGACACCTCCCGTGAGTACGCTCGATTTTATCTCAACGTGTACCAACCCGCGTCGTTTGAGCTAGGTTGATATTCCCGCATACCGATCGCGGCGCCGGTTTTGTCGAAAGTGAGCTCTCATTGCATGTACGCCTTGCTAAGTCTAACACACGTTGTATAGTCAGGAAAATCGACGGCAAGTGGGAGTTCCGTGCTGTTGAATGCAGCCCGGATGCCGTTCGCTACTTCTGGCGACGCACCGACGAGATTGCCACTGTGAGGGCCGAGCTCATTCGGAGGTACCATGCGGATAATGCTGCATTCCAAGGTGCGTTATGATTGTACCATGTATATACTGTTTTTCTCATGTTCTGTGACAGCTGGTATTTTCGAGACGCTTCGGGCCGGAGCCTGCGTCTACACGGACGCATACGACGCTGCCCAAACTCTCGCTTTCACCCTCAACCGCGTTGCTGAGGGTAGCATCGACGTGACCGACAAAAAGCGCGCCGAGGATAAGGGGCGCTTGGAGTTCGGCAACATCTGGCTGAAGCCTGATGGTACATGGGCGCCATGAGCTCGTTTCCGTGCCTTTATTGGGTTCTCCTCATGTCTCAACGGTTAGCCTCCGATATCGTGTAGCATGTACTTCTCTGTGTCTCCATAGCATCTCTGTTACGTCTTGTTGCTTCTCTCTTCATGTTTCTTTAGTGTATACCCACGTAGTACATTCTGAAAATCTTTCCTCACATAAATCCCGCATCTGCACGTCTTGTCCACAACAAATAGAAAGGTGAATCGGTTAAACTGACCCCGTAGTCTCGCAAGCAAGTACCCCATTAGCCGCGACAGTAAGCGAATGAGAAACTTAGTCTGCTAGAGAGAACTGTTGTAGGCGTGCGCACGTACTACAAGGATAGGGGTTAATACGATAGTTATGCGATAGTTATGCGATAATAATAACATATCTCTCTTGTACAGTGCTAGATTCGCCCTCTATGTATGTAATTATCTCCAATGGATATACCTGCATGCTTGTACCATGTATGTAAGGCCGTAGAGAGTGATGCAAGTCGATTATATTTATGCAACATCCACGAAGCACAAGCGGCGAACTGTGCGCCTACGGGTGATACAGTTGGATGTCCTTGTTAAATTGTGCACCTCAAGAAATACTCAACTGGTTCTTGGGCTGACTTTGAGTAGTTTGACACGATGTAGAACACCGTTGTAGTCATCTACAACCTTCAAATAGTGTGCTTTCATGCTCGTATACGCTATGTCTTCATGTCAAATAATATTTATCGCATAACTATCCTATAATTATCGTATAAATGTCGTATAAATATCACATGAACCCAACTGTATTAATGCCGACTCAATGTCATATAAGAACGTTAACATTCTCATTGACTATATCACTGGCAGTAATAACCATGGGACGCCCGCGTCTGTATCATACAGAAGAAGAGCGCACTGCTGCAAAAAGGCGGGCCAAGCAGGACTATTACTTAAAGTATGTCACCGGTATAGGTAACATAACTCCTGCTGACATCTATTAGGAATAAGGAGAAAATCAATGAAAAGCTTCGTCATAAATATGCAGCTTCAGCCCATATGTAGGAGAACTTCATGCATGAGATCAACAGAACTAATCCAAGACTCATGTTGTTTACAGGAAATCGCGCTCGCGGGCGTCGACCAACGACCACTCCATCCCTCCAGTTGAGCCGCCAACTTTGGGCGCAACGGTGCCTGTGCCAATAGCCGCCATCTCGCCGCGTACTTCGGGGAGCTCGGCACAGGTAATGGGCCGAACCACCCGAACACGTGCCACCTCTCCACAAGGCGGTCGTGATGCGGCTTACCGTCCACACCTGTTGGACATATCAAGGATCTCAGATCGGTGCGTGTCATACGTCCTCATACCCGTGTTGCTGACTTAGGGTAGCTCTTTGGGTAGGGGCCTGTACAGCCAAATATTGCAGATTGACGCCGATTTGGTACAGTGCACCGGTGGCTCGTTTTCCGATTTTTTCGAACGGATCGTCCACATGTCACGCCCAGATCGCGCCATCGAGTTCTGCGAAGAGAAAATTCTAGAAATCGATCAAATCCTGACAAAAATGACAACAATCGAGGCTGAGGTTCTTCAGCATCGGGGGGTAGACTCAACACTGGATAGAGTGCGTGAAGTCACTGCTGTGCTTTGGGCGGTGACACGTGCGACTGAGGAGGTTTATTCATATGTTTTGGAGGGTAACTTCATAGAACTGCGAGAGTTATTCTCGGCTGGTGAGCTCCAGTATCAACGTTTGTAGCTGACAGGTGGAATATGATTAGATGATTCTATCCTTGGGTTTGGGTTCAACCTTAGCTCACAATTCCTCATGTCTCGGTAGGTCTCGGTCCCTCACTACGCTTGACAGCGACATGTGATGTCGCAATCGCTGAGTCAAGACTAAGGCATGGACACACTCAGTATGACACGGTGACCCACTGTGGCATCACAAAGGCACAAGGCTCATATACGAGATGATAGCATTTATCCGTATGTCAAACATGATGCGATAGCGTGACATCTACTCACTGCCGGTCTCAGATCCAGAGTCGATCGCTCACGTAGAGTTCAACATATCCATGCGGCCCTGTCAGTGGCTGCCTTGTCAAAGCTCGGAGTCTTCGCTGGCCACAACGCAAGGGTCGATAAACAGACAAACATGACCATCGTCGGACGCGTCGCGACGCGTACTTACTTCTAGTCGAGGACAACGCTCAGGAAATGCCCTCAGAAATCCCTTCTCTAACCATCGTCTCACATCTCTCGCCGTCGTCTCACCGTCGTCTCACCTCTCTCACTGTGGTCTCACCTCTCTCACTATCGTCTCACCTCTCCTCGTCGTCTCGTATCACTCGCCGCACAGACAGACAAGTACAACACTCTCCTTCTTCTTGTTTCATCCATTTACTGACCTTTATCTCCGCCACTTAATTTTCTAGAATGGGAGGAAAACCCTGGCATCGAACGGCCGAACAAGAAGCTTTCATCAACAAACACAAGGACGCGTTCATCGCGTGCATCCCCTCTGGCGTCTATGACACAGTCTGGTGCCGCGTGTTTCCCGGCTGGGAGCATGAGTGGCCCGAGCGGAAGCGGCTGTTCCCTGACGTTGTCAAGCTGGACAAGGAGCAGGAGGACAAGGTCAAGAAGGCAATCAAGAAGCGTCGAAAGGTTTGTCGCTCACTACTCTAGTCCGCATCGCTTCACTGACGCTCGTTTACCTTTGCAGCAAATTAAGTCGCTTATGCGCAGGCGTTTTGGCGACACTCCTACGCGCGCTGCCTCCACGGGAGCCAAGTTCATGTACAGCGTCTTCAAGCGCCATACACGTAGCCTCCGCGCTCTCGAGATCTACAGCACCAACTATTACGAGGAGCGTGCTAAAGAGAAGATTAGCCTCCTCTTCGAGACGGAGTACGGCGGCAAGCCAGGGGAAATCCCAGACTTCGTCCTTCGTAACAAGCTCACTGCCAAGGTTTTCGATCAAGAAACCGACGACATCAAAGAGGAGGTCGCTCGCCTTGTTGAGGAGGATAAGAACGATCATTCGTCATCTACTCCCGAGCCTGGATCCATGTGCGTGGTTTATTCTCCTTTTTCGAGTCTCTCTGTATCTAACCCAGCGTTCAAAGGAGCATGGACGATATGACCTATGCAATGTCTACTATTGCGAAGGCGTTCTGCGCTGCCACAGGTGCCTGTTTGTCTGTCGTAGGTGGTGGCCCAGACCCGGATCGACCTGGCGAGATCAAGACGTTCAGCTTCTCCTTTGGCGAGGCTGATGTCAAACGGTCGTTCATGAGGGTCCTCCCCGGATTCTACGCGGATTTTGTGGTCCCTTACATCGCTCATATCACTCACGAAATCAGTACGTCGTAGCTCTTTCTATCACGCAATCACGGTCTGATTACATGTAATGTAGAGGAGAGAGACGCTCGTCCGACCGCTCAACAGGACGAAGAGGGCGATTCCTCCTCGCCTGAGGTCAGCTCGTCTGGTTCGCTTACCCCCGAGGACGGCACGCCTTCCTCATCAGCCTCACAGGACGACTCTTGTCGCGCAGATGACGACGCACTTCCATCTTCGTTGAGCCCGGAAAAGACAGCCGATCCCAAGGAGGACGCAGTCGCCATGTCCACTGATGAGCAATCGCCCCCAGAGGTTGCTGAGTCATCGACACTTAACAGCGCCACTCCTCCGGCACCCGTCCAGCCCCAGCTCCCGTCTCCTGCACCTGTCCCACAGCCTCAGCTTTCGCCTCCTGCACCCGTCCCTCGACCCCAGCTCCCGTCTCCTGCGCCTGTCCCACAGCCTCAGCTCTCGCCTCTTGTACCCGTCCCTCAGCGCCAGCTCCCGTCTCCTGCACCTATCCCACAGCCCCAACTCTCGCCTCCTGCTCTCATCTCTCAGTCCCAGATTATCCCAGTCTCCGAAACCCGACTCACCTCACCCGTGCCTACACCCCAACCTATGGCAGGCAACGTCGATGGCTCTGGCATAGGTCGCTCGTCTCCTATGACAAATCAGGTGACCATTACGGTGGAGCCCTCATTTTTCGACTACAAACAGATCACGGACCTGCCAAGGAACGTTGTTTACCCGGAAGCGGTCTCGGATTCGTCGTCTTCTGGTCCAAGCTCTCCTAGTGGTAGCTCCGAGTCTTCTCAGCAGCAGCAGGAGTGGTCTTCTGGTATGTTCTACTCTGTTTAAGTCTTCTTACGTTTGCCTGACATCGCCCTCTTCTTCTTTTTCTTTTTTTTTTTTATGTCTGTACAGGCGGAATGTATCCGGTCCACCAAAACGGCGGTTATCAATTCCAGCAGAACGGCTACCCGGTGCAGCAGAACATTGGCTATCCGGCGCAGCAGAACATTGGCTATTGGATGCAGCAGAACGTCGGCTATCCGATGCAGCACAACGCCAACTACTTGATCCAACCCCAACATATCGCCGAGTCAGCCGCTGACCATTCATCGGTACCCTTGTTCCTTCCAGACGACCAGGATACCGTCCACGGCGCCAATTTCGAGCTGTTCGACGCGTTCCTCCAGAGTACTGGAGGTAGGTGTTCTATATTTGCCAATGTCTCATTGTCAGTTCACCAGTGGTGACAGGCGTCTCGGAATTTACGGCTACAGAGAACGAAATACAGCCATCTGGTAAGCGGACATGCGCAGCAGATCTGTTGTCAATTCTGACTGGACAATCAACAGGCTATGCGTCGGAGCACCTGCCCGCCTACTCAATTGGATCGGCCACTCAGCAGCCGAATCAGGCAAGCGCCCTGTCAGATGGCGCAGCCACCTGGCAGGCACCGCAAGATGCGGCCCCCCGACCCGACACCTCGGAGCCAGCGGCGCCAACAGAGGGTGCCACACATCCGCAGTCGACGGACGGCAGCGCACGCAGGGGGGGCCGGAGCCGCAAGCCTGCAACATGGCAGGCTCAGGCAAACAAGATCGGCGGCGGGTCATCAAAGAAGCGAAAAGCTGATGACAGCGAGGGGAATGGCCGCGTCAAGCGGTCAAAAGTAGCTACGAGCAAGTGAGTACTGCCGCACCCTTTCCGTTGATCTCCGATTTACTAAATTTTACACTTCTAGCAGGTAATAGTTTATCAGTCGAAAGTTTATATACAATAGCCTCCTCCTACAGTGCACTAAGACATGCCTATGCTTTACCTACCCTGTGTGATCATGCCCGGATCTGATAGCTGCAGAACAACCATCAAAAGTTGACCTCGAAGTTTTATTGAGGGCTGCGGATCGTTTGTGTCCGATTGGTCTTGCAGCGATGCCATGTCAAGTGCTGTCAGAGGGCTGCGACAATGTGGGCAAGAAACGCAGGTGAGTGCCATCATCTGCCTTTATGTAGTCAGCCGATGCTTCTCCTGGCATCAGTTCCACGCGTTGTCGAAATGTACACTTGTCCATTAATTACAGATGAGGGTCCTTTCCCCCACCGCAAAATGTATCTGCCAAGTCCGAAAGCGTCCGCCGAGTCCGACCTCAACCTGTAGTCCAGTCATAACGCAGATAATACTAAGGCATGTATATAGCACAAGGACTTGACAAAGAAATGGGCGTACAGTGCCAGGGGGGATTTTCGCAGAGCAGAACAAACTATGGAGCATATGACATGGGAGAGCACATGAATAATATTGGAGGAAAGGGCGACGAGCGTATGTCTGACACTTGTAAGAAGGGGCTCAGAAACGACTCACAGCATAATTCGTCGATAACCACCGCTGCTGCCATATCCGATGACGTTTTGAGATAAGGGGATAGGACGATGCATGGAACACCATTGATATACAGCGCGCAGAAGACGGACTAGAAGAAGCACTCACTGATACTATGACTCCCAATGGAGACGTTGATTGACGATAAGGAGGGGGGAAAGGCTGGCTGGAGTGGGAAAGGATGCGAGGGAGGCGTTGGGACGAGTAAAGGAAAGGAGCGGGCGAGCGCAACGAGGGAAGCAAGGAGAGAGACCAGGTCAGGCTTTATACGAGCAGGATGATTACTAAGGCCCACTGGACGTACTGCCAAAGGTGTGATGCATCACCCCTTGTCGGCAGAGGTTGGATGATAGCAGGGCCGTCATAACGAGTTGCCGCCGGAGGTGTGATGCATCACACCTTGTCGGCAGAGGCTAGCAGCGCCGATCATGAATTGCCGCCGGAGGTGTGATTCATCACCCCTTGTCGGCAGAGGCTGGATAGTAGCGGGGCCATCATAATGAGTTGCCGCCGGAGGTGTGATGCATCACACCTTGTCGGCAGAGGCTCGCAGCGCCGATCACGAATTGCCGCCGGAGGTGTGATGCATCACACCTTGTTGGCAGAGGCTAGCAGCGCCGATCACGAATTGCCGCCGGACGTGTGATTCATCACCCCTTGTCGGCAGAGGTTGGACCGGGGCCGTCATCACGAGTTGCCGCCGGAGGTGTGATGCATCACACCCTGTCGGTAAATGCCGGTGTATCTCGTAAGCTCCTATTACCACATTTTGTGTGATGCAAAACCTCGTGTCGGCGTTTGCCGACAGGTACTGACAAAACGATATACTACGACAGTAGAAGTAACATGTGGCTTGCCATACAGGTGTCTACGCGCCGGTTGTATCGTATAGCAGAGCGGGAATAAGATCAGCTTTGCAAGCTAAATGCCGATATAACACACCCACAACAATGGGTATAAGGAGACCGCATAGAATTACTACTAGGGCTATGGTATCGTAGTATTTGGTGGAATATTGATACGACGTGACTGATGGATTTCACACATGGGAAAGCGTCATGCATCACCCCCAGTCAATGGTGCGCTGGGATACCGTCCTGTAGTATTAACTTTAAGTGTGACAAGGGGTGATGCATGACGGATGGGAAAGTGTCATGCATCACGCCCTGTCAAATGTGGGCGGAGGGAGTACCAGTAGCAGGTAATAAAACATGCTTACTATACTGTAGTATTAGCTTGTAGTGCGACAGGGTGTGATGCATCACACCCTGTCAATCGTGGGCGGGAGGTAGATCACTAGGAGTTAATAAGGTATGCTTGCTGTATTGCAGTATTAGCTTGTAGCGGGACAGGGCGTGATGCATGACGGATGGGAAGCGTCATGCATCACACCCTGTGAAATCGTGAAGAGGAGTACTAGTAGCGGGTAATAAAGTATGCTTACTGTATTGTAGTACGAGCTTGTATAGCGACAGAGCGTGATGCATCACAGACAGGAAAGCGTGATGCATCACACCCTGTCAAATCGTAGGCGGAGATTACTACTAGTTAATATAGTCTGCTTATCGTTGTATAGTACTAGCCTGTACTCCGACAGAGTGTGATGCATCACACACGGGAAAGCGTCATGCATCACACCCTGTCAAATCGTGGGGAGGAGTACTAGTAGCGGGCATTATAATATGCTTACTGTATTGTAGTATGAGCGTGTAGTGCGACAGGGTGTGATGCATCACGGATGGGAAAGCGTCATGCATCACACCCTGTCAAATCGTGGGGAGGAGTACTAGTAGCGGGCATTATAATATGCTTACTGTATTGTAGTATGAGCTTGTAGTGCGACAGGGTGTGATGCATCACGGTTGGGAAAGTGTCATGCATCACACCCTGTCAATCGTGGGCGGGTGAGTAGCTGGCTTTCTCCTGCACTCATTATAACGTCCGACAGGGATTGATGCATCACACTGTGTCGGTGGGGACAGGGATGTGATGCATCACCACTACTGCTACAGGTGACGTAACCACTCAGGCCCAGTGAAAATGCACTCCGTCAGAATCCATCAGTTCTTATAAATAGCCACGACCTTCTCCGCAGAACCATCGGTTCGGCATCCGGAAGCCATCTCGCGGCTTCCCACGAGAGATGACCAGCATCCGACGAGGAGATAACGGGTCGGAGCAACTATTAATCTATTCCCGCCAAGATAAGCCGGCGTAATAGTTCTAGATTAGATCGACGCTCGCCTTAATAAATGTCTTCGCTTCTATTAACAATTGCGGGACCAACAGAGAGGAGCCTAATAGGTTCGTTGACTCTATTCCCTCCAGCGTCTCTCCCCGCGGATGCCAAAGCGGGTTACCTCAGTGGGACGCTCGATTGACTCACAAGGTAACAAACCTCCGTCATTCTGCTCACTCTTCTGCTCCTACGGCCCCTATACCGGACGTGCCAAAGCGAGCAAAGTAAGTGGTAATGCTAGCACAGTTGACAATGTAAGAAACCTCTCGATTTCTACTGATTTACTCCACTGTAGCATCTCTCCTGTGCATGCACAAGCAAGCCATGTCAACGAGCTTGCTCGCTCGTCTGACCGGGTAAGATACCTCTCGAATTTTGCTGACACACTATCTAATCCTAGAAGCGGCTCTGCAGCAGGTACCAAAGCAAGCTAATTCAGCCGGTATGCTCTCTGCATATCTACGACACATCTCATGCACATGGTAAGCAGGCATAAAAGACACCCCTCACCCGACGACTGCTCTCCAGTTCCCTCCCATGCAATACCCTGATCGACAGCATCTTCTTGTGGGCCTTGCCCTGCTAGATCAAAACCACCGATACTGTGTCTGTGATCGCTGTCTCACCTATGCTGGCGGCAGAGCTCGCGTTATCACACGACAGCAATGGCGTCAGCACAATCCTACCGCACCGGTGGACTTGGGAGCGGCCTCCCAGATACTTGACGTGTTCTATCCTTCGGCACAACCTCTTCATGCTCCTCAACACTCCAGCAGGTCAATCCATCGTGCTCCTCCCACTCGATCACAGCCGCGGCCGGCCGGAGACACCCAGGCTCAGACAGTAGCTAGGCAGCGTGAGCGCAGCCCACAGGTTCCAGAGCAATCGCAGGTGCGTGTTATTTATGTTCAGCTCATTCATATCACTCACGCAGCAAGTAGACTCCACCTCACTCGCCAGCATCATACGACGATGACATCCCGATGTCATCACCTCCGCGTGAGCCACAACTTCATACAATTCGGGCACAAAACGTCGATGTGAGTGAGACTTACCAATCTCACCATCAAATCTAACACTTGTGCATGCAGGATACGTTCGGCCTCGAGAACCTCACCATCGAGGACGAGCAAGACGAGCAAGGCGAGCAAAAACCAACAAGTGGACGAGCTAGTGTACGAGGACGAAGATGAAGAGGTTGCACTATCACAGAACACCGACAGACGTACGCAACAGGCCTCTTCAGACGCAGCAACAGGCAGCACACCCGCACCCGAGGGACACGATGAGGCAGTGGATGCCGCAGTGGGAGAGCAGCAACCTCAGTTGCGCGCAGAGATTCCCCCCCAGACGGAGGCTCATGGCACCGCGGGCTTTACGGACGAAGACCTTGAGGCATTCGAGGAGGGGATCGTCCTCGAGGAGCTTCAGCGGTCAACCCGGTTCATTGAGCTCCTCCAGAACGCAAGTATCGACAACACCACTCACCACAAGTTGTCCTCGGCTGCGCGCCATCGTCTTCGTCACCCTCCCACTGCTATCAGCAACCTTTCCAACGATCGCCCTCTTCGGATTGCCCTCAAGCTCCTGATGAAGAATCTGACGGACGATCAGTATAAGGCCGCTTGCGACATTCTCGAGGAAGAGATACTCGGTTTCAAGGCACACTCACTCTACACTGCTCATCACGAACTTGGTCGCCTCAGCGGAGTAGAAGGGATTGAAGAAGACATGTGTCCCAACACCTGCATCGCATACACGGGGCCGTTCGCAGCTCTTGACAGCTGCCCCGACTGTGGGACGTCTCGCCATCTCCCCGGTACATCCAAAAAAGTTCCTCGACAAAAGTTTACCACCCTTCCGATTGGCCCGCAGATCCAGGCGCTCTGGCGACACCCCGACACTGCTCGGAGAATGCGTTATCGGCAGGCCCGCACCCAGGACTTGCTACAGCGGCTCAGTCGCAATGACGGCACTGTTTTTGACGTCTTCGACGACATCATCCAAGGTCAACATTATGTCCAAGCCTGCCGTGATGGTCTCATAACGGACGCAAGTACTGTCCTCATGTTCTCAATCGACGGTGCCCAGTTGTACCAGTCCAAGCAGTCCGACTGCTGGATCTACATATGGGTTATCTACGACCTTGCGCCAAGCGAGCGGTACAAGAAACGACACGTCGTGCCAGGCGCTGTCATCCCCGGGCCGAAAAAACCAAAAAATCTCGACTCTTTTCTTTTTCCAGGTTTCTATCATCTAGCAGCCCTCCAGAACGACGGTCTTGTTGTTTATGAGGGCGATACTCGGACTACCCGCCTCAACGACCCCTTTCTCTTCGTTGGGACAGCAGACGGGCCCGGTATGGCCATGCTGACATGCTTGGTCGGCCATCACGGGAAGATCTCGTGCCGATTGTACTGCGAGTTTCCTGGACGTCGTCCTCCCGGGAACCCCCATTATTATCCTTTGATGCGCCTCCCCAACAACTACACAGTCAGCGGATGCCTGCATCCTTCTACGCGTGCAAGTAGGCTACCCGAAGCGGGCTCAGGCGACTATCACGCTAACCTCTCTCGGCTCCTTGCAAGCCCCACTCAGGCTGATTACCATGTCATGCGACGCGAGACGGGCATCGTAAAGCCCACGATATTTTCTGGTATCCCCCACATGCTCCCTCTTCCCCTGGCATTTGGCTCCGACATCATGCATGTGACCGCCATCAACGTGGGCGATCTCCTCATCCCCCTCTGGCGGGGGCAATTCCAGCATGCCGAGGACGATCGCCCTTCCAGCTGGAAGTGGGCGGTCCTCAGATCGCAACGGGTATGGAACGAGCACAGCAGGCTCGTTGGCTCCATGACGACTTACCTCCCCGGGTCGTTTGATCGGCCGCCTCGCAATCCCGCAAAGAAAATTCACAGTGGTTACAAAGCCTGGGAGTGGCTTCTGTACATCTATGGTATGGGCCCCGCACTATTCTACGGTATGTGTTTTTTTTCCCTCGTGCATCTCGCTCATAATATAGAATTGATCATATCCACTAGGTCTACTCCCGCAAGAGCATTGGGAGAACCTCTGCCACTTAGTCCTCGGAGTTCGACTACTACAGCAACATTCAATAACATTCACGCAGGTCCAGACAGCCAGGGACCATCTCAACAAGTTCGCTGATGGGTTTGAGAAGATATACGTCCAGAAACGTGCCGATCGCATCCACTTTGTTCGGCCGTGGATACACGCGGTTACCCACATGGCGGCAGATACCACACGAAAAGGACCGCCGCTTACAAGCTCGCAGTGGACCATGGAACGTATGGTCGGCGATCTTGGCCGCGAGATTCGGTCTCATTCTCACCCGTACGCAAATCTTTCTCGGCGAGCCCTCCTTCGGTGTCAGGTCAACGCTCTCAAAGCGTTGTATCCTGATCTTGTTCCCGCCAATGCGCCGCTGCCTCGTGCGTCTGTCGCCTTTGGCGAATATGTCCTTCTTCCTCGCAAAGATCGCTATCTTTACACCCCGAACTCATCTGAAAGTGCTGCCGTGGTCACTGCTCTACGTGCTCACGGGATCGAAGTCCAGGGGCAGCCACGTATTCAACGCCGTGCCCGACTTCGTCTCCCCAATGGCCAAATCGCCCGTTCATACTGGAAGGAGAATGCCATGACTGGAAGTGTTAGATGCTCGCGGAATGTGTCGGTGAGTTATTGTTTTCAGGGGTCTACCTGCACTAATGTAACTAGATTCAACTGCCAGGACATGCTGCCCCTGTCTATGCAGAGGTACAGTATTTTTTTGTCGGAATGCTCAATCAAGTCGAGCACGCGTTCGCGATGGTGTCGATTTATGGCGAGCCGGATGACACGCTTCGAATCGCTTCATTTGAGACCATTCACGCGTGTAAGTATTACGGACAAGCAGCCCTGCAAGTGATCGATATCAAGTACATTAAATCCGTCATTGCTATGCTCCCGCATAAGTTCCCTGGTCGCGAACACGAAGGGACGCTTTGGTTTGTCGTCGAGAAACCCGGATTGGACATAGCTGTTTTTAGTGGATTGGAGGGTGGCATTGGCGACTTGTCGTTATCTGATGTTTCTTAGAGTCTTCTATATCCTCACATTCGCGCACATGTACTAGTAGTTTGACATCAATGCATTGATTCTCTTTTATTGGTATTACATGCGAGGGAATCAGGATCTTTTCTTCGGATCAGATGGATCCATTCAACTCTCACCGGATTCGCGCTGAGCTGCACAGTTTAGTGGCGATGGTGGCTGCGACGGGGAGGCCACGGGATCTTCCCTGTGCAGCTCAGCGCGAATCCGGTGAGAGTTGAATGGATCCATCTGATCCGAAGAAAAGATCCAACAAAAAGCAATGAAAAAATATTTTAGTGGCGATGGTGGCTGCGACGGGGAGGCCACGGGATCTTCCCCTTCTTGGGCGTGTGCCAAGGACGAAAATCGTCCTCCTCATCCTCCTGTTTATCCTAATAACATGTTAGTATGAATCAATATGATATAATGAACTAAATACCTCGGGTGACTCGTGTACGTACGTCCGTACCTGGGTGAGTGTCAGGTAAGAACTCCCGGGGAGTCGACTGGATGGACCCGCGTTGCCGGGGGCCAGGGTAAATGGCGAGACGGCACGGGGCTGGAATTGCGTGACCTTGGCGCGCTTGGGCAGCCCCATAGCATAATGTACAAGGTCAATAGCCGGCGGTAAGAATGGAGATCCCGGGGGCGACGGCGGCATCGTGGACGGCACGGTTAGGAAGGTTGCGCCGACGTCGGGACGGAACCTTTCCTCACGATCGGTCTGCGTGCCGAGGGACTTGTATGACTTGTTCGCCTTGTTATTTTTGAGTTGGATGCCGATGTGCTACGGCATTGTGAGCCGATGGTCAATTGGGGATAGGCGTACACGTACCAGAGGTTCTTCAGCTCCATGCGGTTGCACGTTCACGGCAAACGCGTTGCCGCGCCGACAGTCCGGCTCCAGAAGGATTGCCTTCTCGACAATGAAGGTGTCGGCGCCCGCCTTGCGCGCTGGCCCGTGGCTTTGATGAAGTAAGAGGCGCTTGTCAGACATATTGCAAGTGTGAACGCGACACGACAAAAGACTTAGAAAAAAAAACCTTGCACGCATAGGCCCATCGGACTTTGAATTTACATCCCGATGCGATAGATAAGATAAGATTTTGCGTGCACTCCCTCCCATTAATCCTTCTTCCTCTATCATTACAATCAAAAACATATGGCCACCGACATGCCGGACATCCAAGAGCTTGCTTCGACCGACGGCGCGCATGTGGGTCAGAAACAATCGGTAGGTTCTTGTTCCTGGCCCCACACGGTTCCGAACTCATGTCACACCTCGTGGTATCCAGGCGTCGCCGGATTCATTTCCCCAAGGGGAAGAGGCCCTTTGTCGCGAGATCAAGCGCCTACGCGCCGAGAAAAGCAGCCTCGAGGTCAAATGCCAGGCTTACACGTGTGTACTCCGGTTCTCGCTCACAGATATGGGTTGCTGACTATATGCGGCTTAGTGATCTCATCTTACGTTTTCATGCAGGCGATGCAGCCGGGCTCACTGTCCCGACCCCCGCGCTGAGCTCCACGAGCGCTGCTGAGATAGGGCCGCGCGAGTCGCTTCTTGAGTTCGCCAAGCGCACATTGAACATTGCACGGACTGGGATCGACCCTGATAGTGGGGTTGACTTCGGCTGCGCCGACATGCTCGCACCTACCGACTACTTGGCCTGCGCCGATTCGTGGATGAGCCTTGCATGGGAACGGCACCAAACCAAGGAGAAATCGTCGGCTATCATTCCGGCGGCGGCACCTGTCGAGGAGACCACGCAGATCAGCAGCCGCGGGCGGATCTACCACGGGTATAACGACAATTACAAATGGATGGTCAACAAGGACGGAGTCCCTGTCGACGGCCGTGTCGCGCTTGCGGTCCTTCGCACTGCCCGATTGATCTTTACCCACTGGCGTCAGAAGAGTATGCTCGCCCCCACCTTCCTCAACCTTCCATACGAGGCTATATGTGCTTATACGTTTGTCATTGAGAAGATCCATCCGGTCCTCAAACTCGCGGGGGACCATTTGACAAAGGACAATCGCGAGTATAGCATAGGAGTCTATGAAAGCGCGAACTCACCGGGCAGTTAGTGTTGAAGGTTGAGTGAGTAGCTGGTTAGGCTGGTAGCTGACGATGGTAGTCGTTCGAGGTAGAGAGAAGACTTAGATGATATTCATGGTAGCGACTGTATATATATGACAGGAGCGTGTGAAGTCACTACCGTATTCGTAACTACTATGCAGTCCAAGTCCCGCGGTAATGCAGGACGGCTACGTAAGCAGAACGTGGCCCTATGCGATGAACGCGGAGCCACACGAGTGCGTTAAGCGCTTAAAGTACCTATGGGATACTAAGCGCCTGAATAGACGTATGAAGGCGGTGTTTACTTGTAGACCTCGTAGAGGAACATCGCCGTACAGGAGGCTTCTGGATGAACCAATAAAGCCGTAAAGGGTCGAATACTAGACGTAAATCTGACACCATTGGAAGAGCCGTCTGATCGCCACGCAGATTTACCCCAGTGAAGCGGAAAAGGTTTTCAAGAAAAATGGCGTGGCAAAGGCGACAAAGACCGAGGATGACCCTGTCGCGGCGTCGGAACAGCTAGTAAGTTTTTCATTTGATCGGGCTTTCATTTCATTCACATTTGTTACAGGGCTCGTCGGCAGCTAGCGGGCGACCGGAGTCGAACATTACACAGGAAGGAGGTACCACTAGCAAGGCGAGTGTCCAGTTCATTCTATTATCTCCGTAGCTAACGTGCCCTACAGCTCCGTGTTCCCAAATCTGTGCCTCGCCCGAGGCAGGCGAACAACTTGGCGTTGTAAGTATTTTATTTCTGGGTGCTTCCCTTCGACTGACGGCGACGCAGATGTAAAATGAAGGAGAGGGACACTGGCGACGACTCATCCTCGTCCTCGTCCTCCGACGTCGACGAAGACCAGCCCCCGTCCAACGGGCAACCTGATCGACGCTCCCTTTCCATCCCCCAACGCGATATCTCCCCTCGCGCAGCCCCCGCTAACGCCTCTGACGCCGTGGCCCCTGAGATCGCTACCAAGGAAGCGTCTCCTTTGGAGGCCGAGACCGCGACACCACCCGAAGCTGAACCGTCTGCCGCGACACTCAAGAAGGTGAAGGGCAAACCGGGACCGCCGTCAGCACCCATGGTCAAGCCGGGCATCGGGAGCGGCAAGTAAGTACTACTATCTCCATTCCGACTCGTCTGATCTCGCGCAGGAGTTTGTGGTGCGATCACGTTTGGTGGCTGCTTCTCGGCGGCAAACAAGAGGGGACAACGGCTCGCTTCAACATCGACTGGAAAGCACTGCCCAAGGCCGAGCGCGACGTAACTACTCTGGTTTTATTTACACTTACAGGCACTTCTGAAGTACTATCTAGGGATGGGATGCTAGGTACCGCCGCGAACACACCAAGACGGGTAAAGCAGGAGCCACCAAGCAAGAGATAACCTCGGGGCGGAAGAAGAGAAAGAGCACCAACGCGACAGCTTGATCGCGCGCTCCTGTGTCTCTGCTATCCAGCCTCCTTCCTATGCACGCGGTGCTCTCGTTATCTCGGCGACTCTGGCGGCTTCGTGTCATATATCCATTTCTCTCGTTTTCCTTGGCAGTATTCGACTCTAGGGCTTTGTGCGTGTCCAGTCAATTCCTGCCAATTTCCATGGTTTTTCGTGCGTTTCACTCGTTTCACTCTCTTGCGCGTGTCCAGTCGATTCCTGTTAGTTTCCATGGTTTTTCGTGCGTTTCATTCATTTCTCTCTCTCGTGGATATCGGTGGTTCTCGATAGATATGCATTGTTCTGTATTATTCACGAGCTCGATTGTCCAATATATCCTTTTCCATGCGTAACCACGATAATTAACATGTGTTAAGTCAAACCATGAAATGAGCGAAAACTATAATTATTCAACGAAATGGATGGAGTGCGTTTTCACTGGGACTCAGGTGGAACGACGTCGGTAGATTCTCTAGCTTCCTTCCTATCATCCGGTATCAAAGTCGCGCACGGCAACAGGGTCCACTGTGGTCACTCACCTTCTCTCCCTGCTCTCGGTTATTTTCTTTAGCATTCTCGATACCTTCTTCTTTCGGCACGCAGCTACTTCATCACGAATGGTTTCCGACTTTTTGTTGGCTAGAGCAGAGCTCATTTTGACATTGACATAGGTTTGAGCACTATGAGGTGATGGACAAGCTCAGGAGAAATCGGAGCCAATCTAGCCAGCAAAGGACTTACGGCCTTAGTGACCGGATCCAGTGGGTATCATGCACAGGCTATGGTGGGAATGATGTAAGCCTGTCCTCTGGTACCCTTACGGGACCCTGGTCTTCTAGGTGCTGCTTCCTCTGTGAGTTGATAAGATATAATCACGTCATTGGTGTGTATTTTAGTTTCGCACAGGTTTGTTTTCAGTATAGTAACTCCGCTGGATGCCAGAGAGCAATATAAGGGCTCTATAGTATACTACTTCAGCCTTGAGAATAACGAATATTAGCAAGTTCTGTTTGCCTGCATCAGATCTAGTGAGAATATTTGAAAGCCGCACAGCGGACCTGGACCGTACTACGGAGGTCGAAAACCCCTACTCTACAGATTTTTCACGGTTAGCCATCTTTCAAGCATCTCCAGCGTCTCTCGAGGCTTGTCATACGGTGCCTGGCAGCAGGGACGCGTAAAATTAGCTAAACGAGGAAAATAAAATCTACTGTAAGATAAAAGAACGCACCATATGTCCTGCGCCTGCAATGGTCGCATAGGTCAGTGCATGTGCATTCTTAGTTTTACCTGCTGCTTTCCCGTCGACCTCCCAGCTTCTAACGTTTTGCACAGCAAAGACGTCTTTTCCACTCCACTCCATAGAGCTCATCCATAGCTCCTGAGAGCGGGTGTTGCAGATGAAGTCATTCTCGCCTGCGTAGATGAGTACACGAATGCCACGCTCAAGAAGTTGTGCAACGTATGGCATGCTGCTGTGTCCCTGATCGAAATTGCTCACGAATGCATCCATGACACCCTGCGAAGAGATATTGAAGCCTCCGGAGAACGACGAATCTACGTTAATGGACTCCCGTACGTCTGTGCGATTGAGGTACTTTTCCATGTAGCTGGAAGCGATCATCAGCATGGTGGATGGAGAGAAAGGTAGAACATACGTAAACAGGAAATAACATGATTGCTCAGCTCCGCCTTCGCACTCCTTAGTATAGTCGTAGTAGTTCAGGCCTAACAGGCCAGCGTCCGTCAATTCAAATGGGAGCTCCTGAATTTTTTTTATTTACCTGTCTCTCCATAGGCGTTGACAAACTCATCCCAGCCAGCTTTCTGAGCCGCTCCGCAGCTGATCTCGTCGAATGTTTCTATGCAGCTCGCCGACATCCAGCGTTGAACACGAGACTCCTGAATTCTACGTCAGCAATTATCCAAGGTGATGAGTGCTGTCCCTACCAAGCTCTTCATCTTGACGCACTTGCTGTCATCAGCAAAGCGCAAATATTAGCCCTCCACGCGATCTGATGTAAATCTGACGTACCTGATAGACTGGACTGGTGCTATGGAACATTGGAAGTCGACAAAACTATTAATCAAAGAAGCCCAGTCTGGACTGCCGTTACCTTTACCTGATGTTAACAGCGAGCAATATAAAAAAAACCTAAAGCGCAAACCTATCATGACCGACTTCAAGTTCACAGTCCCAAACCCTTGTGCAAGCAAGCGCCTGTTCTGGTCATACAAAGTCGACGCAAACATAGGGACGTATCGGCCCTACTCAACCTATCAGTTAGAGATGGTCAAGAGCAGTTCAGCTTCGTACGTACCCCGTACGATTCACCTGCGATATGAAACGCCCGATCGCCAAGCTCGAAGTGGTCGAAAAGTAGGGCAATAGAAGTTGCGATATCTTTGGCAGCCGCATCAGTCGTACTCTAAAGCTAATCAGTCAGTCAACTTGATATTGAACTGCTTTGCAAGGTCCCACGTACGATTGTCTCGCCCGCGTCAGAGTACGAGAACCCGACACCAACGGGTTGATCGATATAAATCACGTTGGCGTTGGTGTTCCACGAATCGGAGTGGTAGCTGATTTCACCGTCGGGTGTGATTGCCCGACAGGGGCCATTCTCCATGAACAGTCCTACACTTCCTGATCCTCCAGGACCTGCAACACACGTCAGATCAGCGCAACTAGACCGGAGATCGACGGCCATGAACAGTGTACTCACCACCTTGAATCCACATGATGACATCATCCGTCGCAGGCTGACCTCTGCTCTCAAAGTAATAGAAGAACAAGTGACGAGACCCGATGTCGATGTATCCTGTGTGCGTTCTGTCACAGGAGAGCTAAGCTCTCGAGCAGTTTCAAAGACTTGAATGATACTCACTTCACTGTACCATCGCAGAACCGAGACTCCCTAGCTCGTACGCCATATCCAGGGGTGTCTGGGTACTTGAGTATGGTAGAATTTGTGGATGCCTGAGGAAAAGGATCGTTAGTGGGGCCATCGCTGGACTTGGTGAAAACGTCAAAGAGGGAGGCCAGAGGACTCTGTGACGCGTATACAAGAGAAGTTGAAAACATTGTCAGAATTCCTAGCGAGCGAAGCATATTGTCGCGATTGGACTAGCTGTGGTGCTGGATATGATGTGGAACATGTGGAGTCGCCGTCTCCTTAAAGCATTCAGCATAAGCGCCCGGCACTGATCAACTGATGTCGGCTCCGAGGATTGCGCAGAATGAGTCCCTTTTCTGATTGATTTTGGAGCTCACACAGAGGCTTCGTCGTGAAGATTGGGTCATGCCCGAGAGCCAGAGCTTCATGAAACTGTAAAGTGTTGGAGTCAGTATGGGCGCTAACGAATCCGTGAAACCCGGCTGAATACGTAGCGGAGTTTAAATCGAGGAATGTTTCCCACGTCTGTCTTCACTTCGGTCTGATTCTCGCGGAACTCGGCTGAGATGGTTTGTCCGACATAAGTTGAGCATCGGAATGCATTTCCTTGTCAAGCCAGGTGTTAGTTAGTCATGCTTCGCTTCCCCGACATAATGCCTTTGGCACGCCCGTTTTACAATCCAAGGTCCCGTTCTCAGTAGATAGGGTAAACTGATGAACATAATTACAATGATTTACCGAAACGAAGAGTATAAAGGAAGATTATACATAGTCCAAACCATATCACCAATACCATACTTCCATCCAATCGATATAATTACAACTTCGTTTATCCTAGAAGATGTCTACGTGAGACGTCCTTGAACGAGGATTTGCTTTTGCTTACCGGAATAACCAGGGGTAGGACCTTTGATCCCGAGTTCTTCGGCCAGAATCTGCAAACCCTAAAATGAAATCAGTCGATGAACAAAATTGAACGCAGGAGATGTATAACTCACCAAGTGTCGACTGTGATACCTAGGAGTACTGATGCCTCCGCCAACGATCCACAAGCCAGGTTGACCGGTCGGACGAAACAGGCGACGGTGTTCACCGTCGGGATCAAGGCCCCACACTTTACCCCCGATTTTCGACACAAGATGTGCGCCTACTAGTGACCTTATCGTCTCAATGGCTGGGGCATTTCCTGTGCTAAAGATAATTTAGACAGTGATCTGCGAGCGGCAACATGCATACTTACGCTAACGCAACAACATCGGCGGGGAGCTTTGTACCGTCGGCAAAGACAACACAGTCTGACTCGAAGCCGACGATGTCAACGCCATGCTTGACCTTACAGTATACTTTAATCTCCGGCTTATATATCAAAGAGAGAGCAGCTCACCTTGACCTTGCCGTCGATGATCAGCTGTCCAACACCGATATCCATCACTGTGTGAGATGTCCGTCAAGGTGTCTTAAAATTGATATCCCATATACGTACTCGTTCCTCGTGCCAGCTGCTCTAAGAGAAAAACAGGATAGCCAGCTTCTACGCCGTTGAGCGACCAGGTCAGCTTGTAACCTTTCGCCTCGAGGCCGACGTGAAGTTCAGCGTCAAGCTTCTTGAACTGGTCGAGCCCTCCGTTTGCTAGAGATTGGATGACTAGCCGATTAGGCATGGAATTTCCGAAAAGATCTGCATCCTCCGACGCTCGTGACTTATTCCAAATAGGATCAAACGTGAGCTTGTCGGCGGTCTTGTAAGACATGACGCAGGTAGGGGTACGTTGAACAATAGTAACCTGAATCGATTATTGATCAGACGCTTCAATTATTTAGGCGAGGTAAGCTTACGTCGACACCATTAGATGCGAAGTCCTGGGCAATGTCTGCGCCAGCGTTGCACTAGAGAAATGCGGATGAGAAGAAGCGCAATTAGGCCAAAGTAGAGAAGCTCACGGAGCCTACAACAATCGCTTTCTTTCCTCGCCACTTCCCCGCGTTTCTGTGATAGTCCGAGTGATAAGTGTTACCCTCAAATGTATCCATTCCCGGCCACGTGGGAGTAGTTGGTTGACCGCTACCCAGTGCAAGGACTAGGTGTTTGGGTTTTATCTCAAACGTTCCTCCATTCCGGGAAACGGTGACAGTCCATCGCTGCGTATTGGAGTCGTACCTGGGCTCAGGTGAAGACAAGACTGTCGTGGACGTCCAGATGTGCAAGTCTTGCAAGATAGCGTACGACTCCATGAAGTTTGCGAGCCTCGTCCGATCGACATATTTGGGAAACGTCTCTCTGTCCCTGCGAGTCAATCATGTAGTACAGGGGATGAAGGTGAGTGAACGCACGGATAAGGCTGATATAGAACTTCCCAGAAGACGGGTCATTGTCGGGCGCAGTCAAGATAAACACAGACGTACATTCACTCTGAGCGGCAGGCGTATGGAGTGTCAAAGTCGGGTATCTTGGGACTTGGCTCTAAGCTCAGTTTACCCGTAACAAGATATTGAAACTTACCTCTGGCGCCACACGTCTCCTACACGAGGGGTCTTCTCGACGACCAGCGTCCTTATTCCCATTCGACGGAAGCGTGCAGCACACATGAGACCAGCTTGACCGGCTCCCACTGCATCGCGGAGGTGTGAGCATCATGGAGCCAACGAATGAATGCGACACGAGACAAATCCACACACCAATCAGCACAGTTGGGTCCTTCTCAATCGCCTCGCCCTCCTTCACATACTCGTCCTCCCAAGCGGCCACCGTCGCTGGATCCTCCGGAATGCCTAGTGGGCGCGCGACGGGCTCCTCGTAGCCGATGAGCTCATGCAGACTCAGGAACACCGTAAGCGCCTTCCACCCGGCGCGTGGCGTGGGCACAAGCCGGAAGAACCCCCGGCCGCGGGCGTGCGGCTCGCGCAGCGAGAATGTGAAGGCGGCCTGGACGCCGCTCTGCGACGGGTCAGCGGGGAGCGGAAAAGCGGTTGGCCCGTCGAGCGTGCTATTTATGTCGAGCTCGAGGGCATGAATCGCGGTGGCGTCGAACCGGCGCCGGCCGTGCGGGGACTTGGGGCTCGGAGCGGCATCCGAAGTGAATCCGTTGGTGCTGTACTTGTCGGAAGCAGGAGCGGCGAGGTAGTTGTAGATGGTGTCGCGCCCGGATAGAGTTCTGAAATCCCAGGAGTAACAGAGGAGATCTGGGGAGGAAATGCGGGGAAGGCTGACGTCAGGTATGATGCCCAAAAGTGGTGGACCGGTGTTTACGTACCGCGAAGCCAGCCATCAGGTAAGAAGTGGTCGGCGAACGCGTCGAGGTCATCCGAAGACGCGGCAGCACCAAGGGTGACGAGCCAATCGGCGGCTGCTTCAGCGAGCTCAACGTCTGTGTCTAGCATAATAGCGTTTGGTGTGCTAGATCGTGTCTTGTAGGAAAACTGGCAAAAAACGAGAGGACGCGATGTGCCTTTAAGTACGCGCTATGATTAGGGGCCTCTGAGAAAGCATTGAGGCCGGCTGAATGTCCCTGAGTTCTGCCTGTATGAAGAAGCTAAAAGTATCTCGAGCAGGTGCCAATGGGCAAAGGTAGCGGAGCGTTGGCTGTTTAGGTGAGAAAGAAAGTCTCAGCGGTGCTTATTACGAAGGAAGCAATTCGCCGGCGGCCTAGAGGTTCAAGCTTTAAGAAGATACAGTAGATCAGCGAGCTGAAATGTCGGGAGTCGATTTAGGAACTCACCGAAGGCATATCACGCCCACACGGATGGTAACTCACATGGACAATGACGACTTTACTCTTGAGTGTACTATCAACCATCAGCCAAGCCGCCGTTGTCACATAGGGGCGCATCCACGCAGTGGGGCTTTCAAACTCAGCGACCGAAAGCACATGCCGCCACAGTTGGATAATCTATCTTGAAGCAACGTGTCGGAAGCGGGTATGATGAACGGGTACCCACAGCTCGGCTCAGTGCATGCAAGCTCCGCCAAACGTTGTTATTCTGAACATAACATAGTACCGTCAAAGTTGTCGGATATTCAATGCTACCTATCACGCAGCCGATATACCGAATATCGAAGATCTTTGCGCTCACGCTTCGTGGAAAACAGCCCCAACGAAGGTGCATGGCATCAGTAGTCTCGATCGAAATCAAGGAGTGAAGTGGACAACTCAGCGAATTGTACCCACTCACACTCACATAGCCGCGGTGAGGTCGCGCTCAGTTCGCACGGAGATGATGAATGCGGGTTCTATTATGACTCGGCCCGGGCGCGGAGACATGTGCAATGCTTCCGCTGCTTAGTCTATCTCGTTGGAAAAACCTAATAACAGAAGGCGAAGTCTCTCATTGGGCTGTCAGGGTGTACCATACGCCTATCAGGCAAAAAGACACACCTATCCTAAGACAACAGCCGAGAAATACTACGAACAAACCATCGCCGATTCTCAGCCGAGACCGGCGGTTATTCTGAAGGAAATTTCTTCACTAGATATCCTCCGAAATACAGGCAGAAGATGGACGACGAGCAGCCACGCCTGGTAGCGGGGATAATTGACGGAGATCGTTAGCGATAAGATGTGTAAACGGGAGTATTAAATGAAAAACTCACCTCGTACCAGTGAAACGTTTGTCTGTCAGCCTCCTCCGAATGGTTTAGTATGAACTCAAGTGCAGTCACAGTCCCGACGGCAATGAAAGCCGCGCTGATAGCAGTAGGAGGCTCCCACAGCAGGATGAGAACACCTGAGAACCCAACGGTCAGGAACAAGAGCGACCACCGTGCTACACTCTGGGACATGAGGAGAGGGAGTGTTCTGCGTCCCATTAACGCATCGCCTGAGCGATATCGGGAGTCTTGCGCGCGCCCCTGAGAGCCGAGCCATGAGCTCCAGTGAATATATGAATACTACACAGACTTACTCCCGCCATTAGTGAGAAAATATCAGTCTGTTTACGATTATCGCGGTAATGTAAATGTTTCCCAGAGGTTGATTTCCACCCCGTTGGTAGTTAGGACGAAAATAATAGTATGAAATTCAGGGAGCTTGCCGATAATGGACGTTGTACCCCAGCAGTAGCACATGCAAAGCACATGTACCCGACAGCGCCAAGCGGGCTCTTCAGCAGCGGTTCGGCGGACATCCCGTTTTCGTTATACAGCCAAATCGCGAGTGCGTAGACACAAGTGACTGGCGCCAGGCCGTAGTGCGAGCTTAGTGCGAGACACGAAAGCAAAGCCGTGACGTATAAACGTTGCTAGTGTCCTGTTCGGAGCGATATCCTCTTCGACGGAAACGGTCGATATGGTTTACATAGGGGGTATTCCTCCGCACCGATGATTTAACTGGGGCAAGGAGTGGGAGGCGCGTCGTCTGCTATGGAGTATACTGAGGGATCCAGATCACCTCGTTGACCACCTTCGATTGTGAGTCTCTTACTATCATTAATGCTGATGGATGGGACTCGGATACTGAGCATGACCCAGGACGGCAGGTGCAATGATGTTGCGAGACCCATACGGCTACGAGGTCGTCGATGAGAAGAACGACCCAATTATTGCAATAGCGAACGAGGCGCTTGACTGGTTCTTGAGGACGACCGTGCCACCATACTACATGGTCGAATTCCTTCCGCGGTGTGAGCCCTCTTAGCTCACATTTCCATTGGGCGGACAGAAATACGTTGACTAAGGGTCCAGTAAGACACGTTTTTGATGGCTCCCGGGCGCTGGGTTCAAACGATATGCCATTCACTTGCCACTCACATTGGGCGAACGATTGCGAAAATGGCGCAGCTTCCGTATTAATTCACAAAGAAGTAAATCGCAAGTCATTCTTGTAAGGCGCTGAACGCTAGACTAATTATGTGGTCTCTGAGAGGGACGGCGAAGCCCCTGTCTCTTTTTTCTCGTCTCTTCTTGTGGAGAACCCAGAAGACGATGTGATCATCAAATGGAGCACTAGATCTCTGTACTAGTAGGCCTACTCAGGTTAGATGTCAATATCTCGTCATTTTTGTGCGGTTAACCACTGATTCTAGTCTTTGCAGGTGCGTCAGATACGGCACGCGTGCTTCAATCTTCACCGCAACGATTGTCCGAGCTCGTATTTTATCTCCATAGAGCTTCTCTGCAATCTATCCCTGCATCATCGCTCTTATTCTCAATCCCTCCGTGGCGCATTAAAGGCCCAGGCTGAGCTCGACACTGTCATCGGCCCAGACCGTTGGGACGGTTAGTCCTGGAGAAGACAACGACGAGTGACCTCGTATAGTAGGGATGAGTAGCTACGAACACGCGCGAACACGCTATGTACTGCCTATGCCGACCATGCCGGTCCTAAACTACTACATCGTGCCCTCCTCAAGGCTCCGTCCAACCCTCCCTACTCCACCGTCTCCCTACTTTTTCGGACAGACAAAGCCTACCGTACGTCGATGCGGTCGTGAAAGAGGTCTTGCGATGAAACAGTGTCACTCCATTGGACGGGCCACACCGCTCAACCGAGGACGTTGTGCACGAGGGGTACTTTATTCTGAAGGGATCTATCATTATTACAAACATCTGGTAAGTAGCTAGTATTAGAGTAGTTGCGGAGATATGTAGCATTGGGGTTGACGGAATGCCGGATTGCGGTCTCCCGCTTCATTTATAGGAAGATGCCGCACGAGCCTACGATCTATGTTGGCCCAATGGTCTTCCGACCGGAGCGCTTCCTTGGCAATAATCCCGAACGCGACCCTATGGAGTTCATGTATGGCTTCGGGCAGTAAGTACACATCGTTATCATATTTATGTAGATGTGCTCGTAGCTTTCGTTAAGGTGGAGTTGTCCAGGCTTGTACTTTGCAGATGCAGCGATCTATACGACGGCATCGCGATGTGTTTGCATGTGTTCGATTTCTCGACGGCTCGCGATCCAGCCACGGGCAAGGAAATCGCGCCGGAGTATATTCCACTTCCTGGGACTGTCAGGTGCACACTTTTTGTTAGCCCCCGGTTCATCGACCGGAGCTCATTTTCGTTATGCAGTATAGTCACCCCACGCACGCCTTTCCCTTGCAAGGTCACGCCAAGGAGTGAGAAGGCGAGAAAGCTAATCGTCCACAGCGAGTGATGTCCCCTTTTAATCTCAAGCGCCAGAAATATGGCTTTGCCAGATACGTTGCGAGCCCTTCACTATTTTACATGTGTATAGCTTATTTGACCAATCTGACCAATCAAAGGCATGAAACAAACCGACCGGGTAGCACAGACTGAAAAGAACAGTCTAACGCAGCTATCCTCCTCTGTCGGCATTTCGTCGGAGACAAAATATGCATCCACGATCAGCTGATTACTAACCCAGAGCTTCTGCAATCTACCATATCCGGCGAGATGGTCCGTCTATGCTTCACGCCACTATCTTATTGCGCAGTTTTCTCTCCGCCCAGTACTACAGAGCATGGGGACGAGCTCACAGTGGCTGACTGTCAGATCGATGAAGACAAGAACACGTCTGATACGAACAACGTCCTCATAGGCGCTTTGAAGGTAAGTCGTCCATCCTTGCTTCTTACCTGTATCAATCTACGCTTCCTGAGTCCATTGTATCGTTCTTTACTCTACGCCCTACCTACCGTATTCTTCTAATGGATCAAAAGTTCCCATAGACGTTACTTTCGTAGATCGTGGTAGGGCTAGTCATCCCAAAGTGCATAGGTCCTTCCTATCTCGCCGCGTACCTTCAAGCTTCAACCCCCAATCAATTAGCAGGATTTCTTGGACTCGCTTGTGGCGACAGCTTAGCAAAGAATATTCGTTGCGCGGTAAGTCTTCCCCTTATCCCTCCTCGCTCGCGTTTATTTTCCCAGTGATAGCATGACCCGGAGCGCGATTAAATACCTCCAGATACCTACTATCTCTTGGTTCGATGTCCGTCATTCTTAATCATCGGAATTCTTGGCTTATATACGTTCGTCACTTAGACATCGGACGCCTGACTTCGATCTAAATATCCGAGGCCCTGTCCGTCGCTTATTTATGAAAGCGTCACCTCGTGGACCGGTTCTCGACGAAAACCCCGTGAGCTCGGATCAACTATATAGCGTCTAGCGTCGCATATGTTGCATCAATCCTGACGAACACTTCTCTTCTCAGAAACGCCGGCTCTCGCTTTCCAAATAAAGGGTATCAGTGGCATTGTCCGTCACAAGCCAGCCATACGGGTGACACCGCCTACTAATCGAAGTCCATGCAGAAACGAACGTTTCTCCTCCTTATAACTCCTCTACATTGTCGTCACCTCGGTGGTGACGAGGATCCGTAACTCCTCAACAGAGTCTTCGCCTCCCATTAGACCTATTTCGTTTTGCTGGTAACTGTCGAGGAATCAGCAGAATGTAATAGGTCAGAGCGGAAGATCTTACAGTCGTTCCTCACGGCGACAACCTACCCTCCATATCCACCACATCGCAATACATATGATAACAAGAATGCTAGCTTTGTTGGCCTCGACCTGGATTAGCAAAGGAACGTGAGTGTTTTGCGCGCTGGGAACAAGAGACTGTAGCTCACGTCAAGTACGAACAAGGATTTCCAAGTTATCATCATGGGTACGGGCGTTGGAGGGGAGAGGGGAAGGATATTGACTCGCAGCACGAAGCGGTCCGTCTTATATCTGTCCTCGGCTCGAGGGGTGGCACGTTTGGTTATGTGCGCTTGTGTATGTTTCCATCACCCTTGATTTTGTTCCGCTCAGGTGATTTTCGCCCCTGCGTAGAAACGTATCGCCCTCCGCCCTGCCTGTCTCGGCTAGCGGAGCGACCTCATTTATGTCACCCAACTCATCGTTCCGCGGCCAATATTGTTGTTCCGCTCTTTGACCCTGACGAAGACTAACACTTCATGTCCAGAACTCTATTGCTACATGACAGGTTATCGGAATGGAAGCATCTAACAAACATTCAATCAACTTTGGTAACGCATATCAAGGCTTGATTTGCTCGTTACAATGGTGTTTCTTTGGTACGCTTCGTTGACTGTGGAGTATTGCCATAAGCCAAGGCCCTAGCGCCGCGTCCGTCCTCACTGCAGTCATGCTAATCATTCTACAGTGGACCTGACGAGCAAGCGTCTACGATTGCGGAACCCACACCCACCAAAGGCAAGTCTAGCGTTATCTAATACGAAGTACAAATGCTCAGCCTGTAAGGCGGGCCCTGATATATAGCGCATCGGGTCTACGCGGCCCGCATATCCTTTCGGGCGTCCAACACACGAAGTCACCGAAACACACCAACACACCCTCATATGAATACATCGTAGCGTGCTACATTATTTCAACATGCGATTTATCATCATGTTTTCCTCTTTCTCTATGATTCAAATCCTCTTAATCCTCTTCTGCACTCTATGTTGGTTGTGATCCCTTTAAATATAGTAGAGGTTTAACAATAGGTCTTCGCGTCGATTTGCAATTAGGAGTTCCGCACTCATACAGTCGTTACTCCGCGTCTGAGCCTAAGGAGAGGTATCTTGCGAGAGTCGATCATTACATTAGCCAACAGAAGACATCTTTACATAGTTGGCATCCGAGTCGTTTTAGCAACTTTAGACCATTGAAGTTCACTTCGATATCCGAGGTTAAAGTTCTTCATGAGCGAGCCAACGTTGCACCATTGCGAGCGTCTCCACCGGCTTGTCATACGGAGCCTGCATCGTTACAACATCAGATTACGGTCACGATCTTGTACATGGGAACAAAATGCTCACCAAATGCCCCGCGCCTCTCACACTGGCATATGTCAAACCCCTTGCGCTCCTTGTCCATCCCGCCGTACGCCCATACACTGCCCACTCCCTCCTTCCCTCCCGGGTATACTCCTCCCTCCCGCTCCACTCCATCTCAAGCGTCCAAGCCTCGCTGCCGAGCCAATGACACATGAGATCGAGCTCGCCCGCATACACGAGCACCCTGATGCCGCGTTCGAGTAGCTCGGCGATGTATGACGTGGAAGGCCGTGTAATATCACCCGAGATGGTGAACGCTTGATTGGTGGCCATGCTGAACTGGGTGAAGTTGACATGGTCGGGTATACCTAAGGTGCTGCGAACCGAGGAGGTAGAGAGGTAGGCTGCGACGTCACTGGCAGAGAAGTGTGAGCAGGTGAGTGACTGCAGGAGATTAGCACAAAGAGAGGCGATGGCTCACCCCATGGGATAACAAGCGGTTCCATCTCCCTCCGGCGGATTGCACTTCTGGGAGATATCGTAAGGGTTTCGCTCTGCGTCATCTTTAGCATCGCAATGACAAGGGTCCAAGGTTCCAGAGAAAGACGCGCACGGAGTTTAGAGAACGACTCCACGAGTTCAGTCGCGCAGAATGAGAACGCAGCGGAGCAGTTGATATCGTCCCATTGATCAAGACAAGAGGCTTTGAACCACTTGAGGCATCGAGGGAGCTGAAAACCGCGAGGAATAGCTCAGCAACCGCTCATATACACCGGGAGCAAGAGGTAAAGGGCATACCATCTGTCTCATGCGTACGCACGCGCTGTTTTCGATCCAGTTAGCAACCTTGTGATCAGGGTTAGAAGGGTTCGAACCTAATGCTCTGGATGGGAAAGACGGATGCATTTGTACATTGCATGTCGACGTAGCCGGGGAAGAAGTAATACCAGCCTGTCATACCATTGCCTGTCGCACCATATCGACATTGAGTTATCCGAGGGATGTCTTGCCCTTTTTCAGACGATAACAAACACTTACCGATCATGACTGAGTCGAGGTTGATTGTTTCCATTCCCTTGGCGGCGAGACGAGCGTTTTGGTCATATAGTGCCGACGCAAACAACGGGAGGTATCGGCCCTGTAGTAACGGTTCATTTACATCAGCCACTTGACACGGGAAATCAGCGAACGCACGGCATATGATTCCCCAGAAAAGTGAAACGGTCGTCCTTTGAACTTGGTGAAATGTTCGAAGAATATAGCGACGAAAGCAGCGATGTCGACTGCTGCCTCCTCCGTCGTGCCCTGTATATCCGAGAATGATGGGCAATAGTTTGAAGACACAAGAAAGAAAGTATGGACGTACGACGACGTGATCGTAGTCGCTGTAGGAAAACCCGACCCCGACAGGCTGGTCAATGAAGAAAACGTTCGCGTTGGTGTTCCAGGACTGTTCGTGGTATTTGATCCCTTCTGGCGTCATGCGGCATGGTCCAAGCTCAAGAAACAGGCCCATCGCGGACGAACCTCCAGGACCTATCACTCATTAGAACTGGCGTTATGGGACAGGGCAATGGAAAGAATCACCTCCGTTTGTCCAGAAAATCACATCATCCTTGTCTGGGTCACTCCTACTCTCGAAGAAGTAGAAGAAAAGATGCTTCAGCCCAACATCGATGTATCCCGTGTACGCGCTATCCGCCGTTTGCGAACAGCAACAGTGATCAGCACGACTGCTTACAAACCCATAGAGTGAGGAACGCGCGTACTCAACGGTACCATCACAGAACCGCGACTTCTTGACGCGTACAGAGTGCTCTGGGAACTCCGGATGCTCGAGAACGGTGAACTGGTCGCGTTGAAGTGCCTCGAGGGATCCAACTGGGGAGAAGGAACCATTTGAGACTCTGTCCATTGACGACGACAGATTGAACGTGACTTGGCCAGGCTTTGAGGCGATGCCGTCAACGGCGAGTCCCAAGCCGCCGATGGCAGCGAGGACGAGAAACCTCAAAGAGAACATGGCAGTGCGAAGGAGAGAGGTGCAGGGCAACGGCTTAAGTGTCTAAAACTGGTGATGGGTTCATGATAAGCAAAGCTGCGGCCTGCGGGACGCAGCAGCAGTCGACGCTGGTGAGAGCAGCGGCGCGCATGCGGATGAAGTGCACGCGACTTGCGGTATCAATATGAGCTGCGCCTCCGTCATCTCTCTCAGTGTCTTCCTCTACGGTCACTCTCCACTCAACGATGTCGCTCATGGCCTCTTCATCGGTTTCTCGTTTCTAATCATCTAAGCTCCGAGGCTACGCAAATGGTCACCGTTCACCATCGTCCTGCAATATAAACCAAGACAAATGTCAGTCCCTGGGCCTACCATCATGCCGACGAACGACTCGGACGTCCAAGGCTTGTCATGGTGATTTTGTCCCTTCAACCCCGTTATTACTTGCGAACTCCTACATCGTGTCTATCTGAGCTAAGAAGGTTATGATTACTGAACAATCGAAGTAGCCATGGAACGCTCTACGGCCAATGCCAGCCAAGGAGATGTCTCGATGCAGTCTTAGAGCGATGGCAAGACGACGAGCAAATATCCTGAATGACTCTGGCAGAATGAAACAGAAATGGCCTAGGACTGAAAAGAATGTGACGATACATTTGACCCACGAAACAGGCGCGTGCATACATTTTCCCGCTCACTTCATTCCTCCTGGGCTGGAACTAATCGTCTGAATCGTCGGGTCCATCTTCCAAATCCGATGCCACCCTCATGTTGATGGTAGCAATCATATAGGAGTGGGATCCAGGAAGCGCATCCTCCGACGTTCTCTTCATACTCTCTGGGTCGTTTCTGTCGCGAAATGAGCAGAGGAAATGAGGAGGATGTTGGAAATCACTCACAAGCTATCATGTACTTGCTGACGCACGCAAATTGCGTACTGCTGCACTCTGATGGTTCTCCTCGGGGGTCTGTGGTGGGCTTGGCGAGGATATTTAGGTGGGGTTTTCAAAACTCACGGTTGCCTTTGCTCCTGACGAACTCGGTAGTGACGTAGGACGACGGTACCTGTCTGCCAGACAACGACCAGGACTAGCGCAAGTGAGAGAACCTAGGCATTACTAGGTGAGCGAGTCATGATGCTGATCATTGGTATCGAAAGTCACTCACAACCACGTTCATTGATGGCTTGGACATTACAGAGGCGATGTGGACTGAGGGAGGATGAGGGTAGGCGGAGGGGGGAAAGGTGCTCTGTGTACGGTCAGGGCATCGTCGTTCGATGGCGCATTTGCGTGTGTCACGTTAACCTTTTCCATTGTTCATTTTCCTGCTCCCTGTCTTCCTTCGGCAAGGCGGAGCGTCTCGTTTGCCTCGACCCCATGTCGTCGGCATGATGCGGCCCTGTAGCCTCCCGTACCTCGGGTCCGCGACCCTGTACAAACGCACCTATGTGCGCACAACCCAGCTAGGCTTCAGAGTTGTTCCATCCATGATTCTTCCACCTTTCGCCATTGAATATACTTAACTCGATGTTTTCAGATTTATCATAGGCACTCATCCTCTGTTGCGCCGATTACGCGGCTCGGGTATTATACAGGCGCGCTCATTCCGTCGGCCGCCCCGCGACATCGCGCTTTCATTTACGCCTGTCAGCGTCGGGCATAAGTGACACTTTTGCTGTCAACGTCGCCTCGGTTATTCTACTCTCCAGATCCCGCATCGTACCTTGCTGTTGATGCATATGCAAGCCCTCACCCAGGTCTACTTGGCTAATAATTGGCCTCTGCACGAGGCAAAAGCCGCTTCTCAAGTGCCTCAGCTCAACGACAAAAAAGTACAGTATCGCATTCGGAAGAGAAATGTGCCACCAGAGGTTCGTTCGAGATACATTTCCATACAGTGTGCTCAGCGCTTGTTTGATCTCGCCTTCTTCCATCGAGCACTGACCACTGGTACGTACCCCTTTGCAACCTGATCCCTGTTTCTGCATTCCAAACTTAGAATCAGAGATGGGTATCAGGATGCAGCGGGGAAGGTCAACCTGAGCATCAGATACTTGATCTCAGTTATTCCGTTGCCTTAACCGTCTAGCATTCACGGTTTGACGAGGGTCATTTCAATAGCTGGGAGAGGCCACCTTGACTTGTGTAAACGTAAGTACTGGATGATGCAGTCCTGTGGGCTTCCATGACCAGTTTGTCTTACGACTATAAGCTAGGAAGGGAGACCACGGAACCAGGCTGCATACCACTTGTCAAAGTGTACCTACGCGAAGCGCGCAGGCTACCTACGATCCGCTATCGAGGTTGTAGTTTTGTTTCTGAAGTTCGTTGGCCAAGTGTTCGTTGGAAACCTTTGTACATTGTCAACACCCGATATACACTGCGAGATATATTTACAGGTAGTTCACGCAGCCGCAGACACCAAGTTCGCCGCCTCGGCCTTCCACGTTTCTTTCTCAGCATTATCGTCCGGCAAATCCTGGAACTCAACCCACGTCTTCATCTTCCCCAGCACGAATTCCTCGTACCGCACCACCCCATCTGGGCTCGGGACAACCGCATCCACCCCCGGCTCGCAGAAAAACGGCACACTGTACCTACTCTTCCCCCGCGTCACCCTGACCCGATGCCGCGTCGCGACGTACGTCCCGCCGCTCAGCTGCGCCATGAGATCGCCGATATTGACAACGAGGCTGCCTGGTACATACGGCGCGGGTATCCACTCACCCGCGGCATTGAGTACCTCGAGGCCGCCCGTACTGTCCTGGTGCAGAAGCGTGAGCAGGCCCGAGTCGGTGTGTGGTGTGCAGCTGAGCTCCTGCGTCGACGACGCGGGCGGAGAGGGGTAGTGCAGGAGGCGCAGCGTCGACGCGCTGCCTTGGAGGAGCATGTCTGGATCGAACGCGGGCGAGTCAAGCGCGTGAGCGAGGAGGGAGAGGAGGGCGCTGCCGAGAGATTGCAGCTCGGTGTGCAGCTGCTCGCATCTGGCGCGTGAGGAAGCGGGGAAGTAGTCGGGCGGGGGGAAGAGATTGGGTTCTGTGAAGTTGAAGGGAGATAGGGGTGGACGTGCGGATGTGGGAGTTGGAGTCGGGCCGACTTCAAAGCCTTCTTTGAGGTTATCGTCACCCAGCTGAGCGGGAAAGTAGCTAGTGCACGGTGTCGCATACGTTCGTCAGGGAATGAGCGGTAGAAGTGGGAAAACTATATGCGCACCCGCGATACGTGTTGGAATTTGCAGGACGGAACGTCTTCTTGGCGACGCACATCTTCTCCTCCTCGGGCATTCCGAAGAATTCCTTTGCCGTGCCAAAGACATCATCGTGCGAGAAGGAGAGCGGAGGATTAACGAGATACGCAAAGCCGACTGTCTTGAACACCTCGTGCAGCTCGCCTGCGAGCTTATTCCGGTCTTCGACGGATAGTTTCGGGCCCTTGGAGAGAGGCGACAGGTCAACGATCGGGAGAGCGGAGAAGGTGGTTGCCATCGTTGGTGTGTCCGTAGAGGATCAAGAAAGTTGAATCAGAAAGCAACGGAGAAGAAGAAAGTGGTCGTTGATCACCCCAGCTTAAGTAGCTGCACGAAGTTCACATTCGCAAGGCAATGGCTGCGGGTCAGTTACTATGACAAGGCACAAAGTGGGGTGAGTTTTCCCGACCAGGAGGCCCGCTTTTCAGCTAAGATGAAGAACAGCTGACGTCTTCGCATGTCTGCAAGAGGCTCATGACACTTGGAAACATTGATTAAGCCGAGGTATTGGCTGGTATTGACCATCGATGCGTGATGGCAAAGTGATCTACAGCTTAAGCGAGAGGCTAGGACCGAGTTCCGAGAGTCAAGCTGCCCCAGTAAGCAGGAGAGTGAGAACCCTTGATTTGTCCAATACATTGAGCTCCACGACATGCTGAGCAAGGGCAGTCCGTCGTTCGTCCAGAAATGTCGGGCCGGGGTAAAAAGCTGGTCATGCTCTTGTTTGTGTCTGAGAGTTTAGAGGATGAGAAGATGCCACGCCATCCAAGTTCAAGGTCGTGTGCCCGATAAAAAGTGCTGACGTCAACCTCGCTTAGTCTCTCGGCCGGAACCGTGAGAAACTTATCCCGCACCGGCCGTCTATGTCGGACCACGTGGGCCGCCCTGAGCTAATTGTTCCCGTTCCTTTAACCTCACCAGTTGCGTCACTGACAAATGTCCTCCATACAGACGTCATGTCTTTGCGCACCCAAGCACTCCTCTTCAAAAGGCTCTTCTCGGCGGCCACTACGACTACAACAACCATCATGTCCAGCAAGCTCTCGAACAAGATCACGCCCGGCATTGTCAACGTCCCAGGGCGCACGCCCGACGCGCAGACACTGACGGAGCACCTGCTCGCACAGGACAGGGAGAAGAACCACTGCTTCTTTAACGATAGAGGGTTCCACAACCATCTTTCCCATCAGTGAGTCCCTGTGCTTCGAGCTTCTAGCTCGGATCGACAGTCCTGCACTGGTGCGCGAGGCTGAAACGCTAAACTCTGCTATTCTTAGCATCCTCGCCGCGTACGACTTGGGCGCGACCGGCAAGCTCATGCAGGCTATATTCGACACGGAGCAGGAGACGCAGCGACCGAGAGAGCTTCCTGTTTCAAAAGGGAAGGAGGCTAAGGCCCCAGAGAAGATTACCCCGCAAAATTTTTCGCAGTTCCTTGGCAAGGAAGAGTGCGTCTCTCAGATGGGGTTTGTAGAGTTGCCCTGCTGACGCTGAAACAAGGTACTACACCTCCTACCTCGACTTTTTCACCGAGCAAATCGCAGAGCATGGAGTTTCAGAGAGTCTCGAGACATTCGTCTTCCATGCCACGGTCAACGTCGATGGGATCGACATGCTTTCACGTTTCTGTTCCGGCGCCTACCACAACCTCATACAGGCAGGGGTACGTCATGCATGCGAGAATGATATTGGTTTGAGTTACTCACCGTAGCTTTAGTACGGCGTAGAGTTTGGGAGCAATGCCCTGGTGGCTCAGGGTAAGTGCACACAGGCATCTTCGCAAGTCAAGCTAACCTTCCGTCTTTTCCTTAGGTTTAGCCCAAGCCGCCGTGCATGGAGCCAGCTTAGTCGAGCTATTCGATTTCGCCAGGCCAGAGGCTAGCTTCGCCAAGCTCACAGCCTCCGCTCAAGAACAACCTCACAAAGAGTCTTCATCGCTTCTCGCCATCCTATCAGAGGTTTACGACTCCGAGGTTCTCCACCCTATCATGCCGTACGACCCAGACATGCTCCTCTCCGCTCGCCGAAAGGCGGTCATGCAAGGAGAGCGCCCTGAGGCAATCCGCCGCATCAGCTCCAAGTGGTGGAGGACGGCCTCTCCCGACAAAGAAGCCCTCACGCTCGATACCAAACTCGAGGAGCTCTTTTGGGCCACCACGCTCCTTCTCATTGGCTCAGGCAAGCACGGCCGCGCCCCGCGGCTTGACTTCTTCATCATGCACATGCTCAACTGCACGCTCTTCCTCCCCTCGCTGCTGCGCTCAATCCCGAGCAACGAGTCTAAGGTGAAGCTCATGCAGGGCTTTTGCAGGACTATGATCATGGACCTCCTCACGCGCGGGCGCCCGCGCATTGACACCCGGCTCGCCATGTCTTATGCATCCGACCCGCGCCCGCCCAAGGTCGCGAGGGAGAAGGAGAACGGCAAGGACGCGAACGTGAAACAGCACGGGGTCGGGGACGTGAGCGATCAGGGGATGTATAACCCTTGGCACAACATCGTCAGGAGTGTTGTGCACGCACCCGACGCGCACACTATCAAGGCCGTGCGGGCGCTTTACTATGCCGCGCAGCACTATGGGCATAAGGAGGCGGATGATATTCCAGGAGCGTTCAAGGAGGGCGAAGATGGTCAGAAGGTGGAGGTGCTGCAGGGCTTGGGCCAGGTCGACGGGACGGTGTTCGTACGCGCGGCTGGTGTAGTGATGGACACCCTTGGATGGGTCACGCATGGCCAGAAGCCGGGAGAGTGGGATTTCAGCGGGTTGGGATGGGAAGATGCGTGGAAGACTGCGGACAAGAAGAAGAACTAGTGAGCGCTGTCGAGTTTCTTCGGCTGTATGATATTTGGACGATTTCTGATGTATGTCTTTCCTATCTATTGCTGTACTTGTGTCTACCTTATGCGCAGCATCAAGCCTAGTATCCAATGACCATCCTGCTTATGATGACAAGTGTCTTTGTTGAGGCCAAACGTCGACGCGAGGCGCCTAGTGAACGTTAACGTTGGACCATACAACCCAAGATAGGGGGCGTCTGAAGGTTCTCATTGGCTGAACGCAGTCACGTGCGTCACGTGGGCGACGCGATCTGAAGCTCATTAGAAGCCTTGATTTCGGAAAGAAGCGCGTTTGGGGGAGCCTTTGCTTCGACACCCAACTTTTGTCTTTCATCCCCATCCTTTTCTCTTGTCTTTTCTTCTCCCACTATTCTCCGTTCCTCCTTCTTGCCATCACCTCGCTCCTTGCTTGCCTTTCCTTCCCTCACTGTCTTATCCCTTCCATCCGTCTTACTATCATCTCTTTCATTTCATCTCCCATCACCGCTTTCTAGATCCCTCTCTTCTTGCGATCATATCCATTCTCGCAGCTGCTTCTTTCTTATTTGATATCATGGAGGGGCCCGAACGTCGCAGCTTTCTTGGCGCCCAAACCCTGTACAAAAATCGACAGTCGGACGATCGCAAGCCGGCACATATCCTCAACCCATATAATCGTACGACGGACGCAACGAGGATCACTGGGCTGGCTGGTGCCGGCTCGGGCTCCGGCACTGGCCACACTTCCTACTTTCGGGAGTCTCTCGCCCGCGGCCAGCCTACATCCCAGTCTACTCAAAGCATAAAACTCGAAGAGAACCGGATGGGCGGATTCCATACTCCTCCCCGGATCAACCCAAGTCTTTATAGCGGGAGTCAGTCGGCTCATGCTCCTCGGCGCTCCCAGGGACCTGAGACGCGTTTTGAGTTCGAGACGTCAGGTTAGTAACCCGCATATATGCGTCTCCCCTGCTCAAGGACGTCGTTTTATTTGGGTTCATAGGCTCTTACACCGCACCCAACGTTTCATCTCAGTACCTCGCGCCTAGAAACTCCCCGTACGAGCCCTCGATTAAGGAGGAGCACGACGCCGATGCCAGCGCGTCACCTCGCGTCATGCCAGGAGATGATGAGTCTGACATTCTCGCTCGGCTTTCGAGGATGCAGGCCCGAGCAAAAAATGACAATGTGCGGCTCGTAAGTAATTGTATGCTCCTCTACGAGGCACTCTATACTAACGTTTCCCGACAGATAAACGAACGGTCCGCTCTCGAGGCTCAACTCTCTGAAAAGGATCGAGACATCGCAGAGCTCAAGCATCGCGTTGCTGACCTGACCAACCAACACTCCCATCTCAAAACATCCAACAAGAAACTGGCGGATACGGCTAACAGGAAGTTGAGTTCCGCGATTCATTTTCGCGTATAGTCCTACTTACGCCATCGGATTAGCTTGGCAGAGCTGAGGAGGGACTACGAGGCGCTCAAGGCTGAGACCCAGCCATTCTCCCAACTTTTAACAGAAGGTAGGGAAGCCATCACCGCCATGGCAGAGTTCCGAGAAGTCGCTCGCCATCGTCTTACTCGTAAGTTCCCCTGCTGCCCGGCTGAGCACTACTAACCCGCGCTATGACAGAGCTCGAGCCGATGCTGGATGATGATGGGAGCTTTATAGAAAGTTCAAGCGTACGGCGAACGCTTGACGAGCTGCGTAGCGATCTCTTAAACAGTGTGTTGGCCGAATCCCGGAACCTTACTTGAACGCTAATGACGCCCATCTCCTAGCCCAACAGGTCACGGATATCCTCCGAGAAAGGCTACGTGACATGTCTTCCGACCTCAGTGAAGCGCGAAGTCGAGGCCTCGAAGTTGAACAAAGTCGTATGCAGGACGTTAGATCCCTTGAGGTGCTGTCCGAGAAGTATAGACAAAATGGTGAGTTTCTTTCAGATAATGGAGGTGCGGGTCTAACGGAGGATAGTCGCCGAATTCTCTGATCTCAATAGCCACTACCAAGTTCAGCGACAAGAGTACTTCGACACCCTTTCTAAGTTTCTTGAGGTGGAGCAGCAATCGTCCCAGTTTGGTGCCCAGTGAGTGCGCATAACACTCTGCCATGCAGCTATACCCATCGTGATCGTCAGGGCAGAGGAACTTGGGCGACAGGTCACTTCTCTGCAGCACGTGTAAGTTCGGCGTCGTCACTTGTTTATTCCTCCGGCTCAGCACGTGCCTCTCAGCTCCGACGAGAAAGACGGGATCCTTAGGGGAAAAGATGGGATCCTCATGGAACAGGAGACTGAGCTTCGAGACCTCCGTGCCGCAAGGTTGTACTTAGAACGGAGCATAGCGGACCTGGAGGACAGGTAAGCGACAGCGTCATTCTCTATCATTTGGCCCTTACCGTCAAGTTTCCTAGGGCTCGTAAAGCCGAGCAGGATGCCTCGGATGCAAAGACCATGTTCTTCAATGCTCAAGCTGATTCGGAGGCGCTTCGAGATGCTCTCAGAGCGGCGAACGAACAATTGTCGAGGCTTCAGGCGACGAACGAAGCGGTAACCGACAGGTATAATTCCGTGCTCAAAGACCTCTACGATGTCGAGTGCTCGCAGAAAATGTCGGCTGCGCAGCTCTCCGACGCCATCGCCGAGCGCGACTCGCTTAGGGAGGAACTAAAGGTCTCGCGACAGCAAAACGAGACCAATAGGGCGAGGTAAACTTCATCATCTGCATTGTGTTATTTATTCTTTGGTCACATTTGCTTGTAGGTGGCAAGAGTCAGAAGCGAATAGAAGGGTAAATTTCATCATTTTTACCGTTCCCTTAAGTGTTTAACGTGTCTGCAGAACCTCCAGGATCGGTTTGAAGAACAAACCGTCAGCCTGAAGTTGGCGAAGGATAACGTAGGCGAGATCCAAGTCAGGTTTACCTCCTTCTGTCGTATGCTATTATTCTGATCGACTCTAGGAGCGCTTGGATGCATCCGAGACCGCAACGAAGGTGAGAGTTTATGTTGGATTCCAGAAACGGTGCTAACGTGCGTGACGTCTCAGACCGACATGGCGTTTCTACAAGGACAGCTTCTGAATATGAAGAAGAACCATGACGACACGAATGGGGAGCTTACTGCCGTCCGTACTAGTGCTGCTTGCCTTGAGAAAGATCTGGCGTGTCAAGAAGTCAAGTATCAGGCGTCGCTCTCCCGCAGCGAAGAGGAACGTCTCCGAGCCGTGGAACGACAGGAAAGTCAGGAACGCGAGGGGCGGAGGTGCAAGGAAAAGGTCATCGAGTTGGAGGGGGTATTAGCTGCTAACATTCGCAGGGTAGAGGATCTTCAGAAAGCATACGAAGATGCAAAAGAGGGTACTAGGACTGCCACAGCTTCTCTTACCGCACGGGTCACGGCTCTGGAAGCATCCGAGAAACGCCTCATAGAACGATCCAACACCATCACCGGAAGGTACAAGGCGAACGACCTGGTGGGTAAAATTCACTACTTTGGATTTTATATACGCGCCACTCATCACGGATATTCATTCGGTTGTAATCAGAATCAGAACGAGGCGGCCCTGGTAAACACGATAACCCAGCAATCAAGAGCTATTTACGAGCGTGAAATCGCTACGAAGACGAATGACATTCGGATGGTTTGTTTCCTGTATGGTAGTTCGCGCCACATGACTGACCGGTGAGACCGGACACAGCGCGATAACATGATCAAACAACATGAAGCCCGCATTAAGCAGCTTGAGACGAGCTTGTCCCGGCGAATCAGAGAAGAAGTGGGTAATCTCTGTTTGTCACGCTCTCATAGCAAAGGAACCCTGATACGACAACAGGCGCCATCGGTGGCAACTTGTGTTGACCGCTCACACGATGTCAACGAGCAGCCAACGGACTCGGAGGGTAATGTCAATGCACATGTGAGTTTTCTCCTTACTATACTATTACGACGTGGTGCTATCGACTGCGTCACAGAACCCGCCCTATCGGGCTCGGACAGACGCCATCTTGGGGGCGACCGGTGCAGGGGGTGGCAAGGGATCTGGCATCAGACCGTCGCAAATTTCTATGTCCAACAAGCACGTTACGTTCGCCGATATATGCGACGACGGCGATGATATCCTTGACTTTGAGGACAGCCAGCGTTCAGCAACCGCAGGTGGCGGACGAATCAAGAGGAAAGACGCTTCCCCTGTTGTTGACGTAGACGACGATGAAGATGAGGAGCCACCGCAACCCCTACGACCGGTCAAACGCCCGGTAAGTAGCCTCGGGTTTATAACTTATCTTATCACAGCCTTAACATCGCCAGCAGCGAAACTCAGCCAGGGTTCCCGAAGTCGAGCAGGTTGCTGACAAGGTCATTTATTTCACATTATGAGATCTCCCTTCTTAATTCCGGAACTTGGCTGATCTCCTTTTCCCGCCTTATCTGTCCAGGCCTCAGCCACGACGTCCAACAAGAAGGGCACGAAGCGCTCAGGCCGCTAGATGCGGCAGGGCGACTGCAGGTTTCAGGGGCGTTATTCGGTACTGTGTGACACATGTTACTTCTTTTCACAATTTCCGTCGAGGCCTGTTTTCGTCCCTGGAGCTGCCTATGTTGGTAAGCGGTCCAGATGGCTCCGCTCCATGATGCTGTCGCACTGCCAGCGTGGTTCACGTTTGTTGATGAATGACATGCCGTTGCCCTTTGTTCCACATGCGTGAAAAGCGGCTTCTCTGAACTGCCCCATTGCGTGACCGGTGACTCAATGACAACTGTATGAGTAGCAGCTTATAATGCACACACGAGGGTAGACGAAATATGTCCATTTTTGTAGTGATAGAACGAAGAGCACATGGGACACTAGACAGCATGCAGTGAGGGATACAACAACAAAATGCGGCTATAGGACACTGCTCGAGAGGCAGATGGTAGTAGCGATATAGCGTAAGACATGGACGACTACTATGCATAGCATGCGATGGTTGGGTTTGATTGGACTGAAATGTTGTATGGATGAGAGCAATGGGGGAAGGGGAGAGAGATGAGAGATGAAATGGGAGCATTGGGAATGAGTGTCCGAAAACGTAACGCGAACTCGGATCGTGATGAGACGGTATACGCCCGTCAAGCCATAAATAAACCAGGTGGCGGCATCCCAATGTCGACAAAGTCCAAGAAAATACGAGCGAGTATGAGAGAGTGACATAGTAGTACAAGCAGGCTGGCAGGCAGATGAGATGGGAGTGGATCGAAGGGTCCACTTGATTCGTTCGCGCCGTGAGCAGTAGGCACGATGCTACATCGATATCCACTCCCGCTCACTCGAGGAGGCGGAGGGTGTCGCCCTCAAAGACGATGTCACCACGCTCCTGGAGGGCGGCAGCGGCCTTGACCACCTCGGTGGTATCGAAGTCCTCGTACTTGTCTGGCGGAATGGTGGTGTTGAGGTAGGTGAGGAGTGAGGAGATCGTCATGTCATCCGAAGGTTCGTATGTTGTCATGAACAAATACGCGATCGACGAAAAGATGAAGTTGGTGCTGTGTTCACCGAGACGTCAGCCGGGAATTTTAATCGCACCGAAAGCCAGGAAACACGGGGAGTAGAAAAAGGGTTATGTCGGACAATGACGGCGAATAAGATAGGGAAAGACGAGAACGTGAAGAAGGTCGGTGGTGTGACAACAGGGCGCGCGATCGCGAAAAAGGAATAACAAACACGACGAGATAGGAAACCGACACTCACCGGCCTGGCGCGGAATTGAGCTCCGCAAAGCCGATGTTGAGCCGCCTCATGAGGCGGCTAGCGCCCGGCGGAACATCCGCGACGGGGATCTCTGCAAACTTGCCCTTGGCACCGCGTGCTCCTCCGCGTGCGCCGCCCCTAGAAGAGGCTGAGCCTTCAGCGGCCCACCCACCGCCGCCACTGACAGCGGAGGGGCCGTCGAGGCGCGGCTTCTTCGCACGCTTGCGATAGTGCACGCTGGAGGCAGAGCCGCCATCTGCATCTTCAGCGCCATCGATCATACCGTCTTCGGACTCGAGCTCGTCCTCAGATCCATCAGACATGCCATCGTCATGGCTGAGCCTGGAGCCACTTGCACCGCCGTGCATCTTGGCTTCAAGCTGCGCAGCTTTTTGCGCCTTGCGCTCACTAGAAAAGGAAAGGTAGGGAAAAAGCGGATGTTAGCATACAAACCATTCAATTGAGGACAGGTGGAAGGGAAGCGAAAAGCCCGGAAACGTACTGTCGTATTAAACACTTGCCCCGATGCTGGAGCCAGGGATAGGCGCAGTAAGAACTATCCTGCCTGAGCTGAACCCACTTCCTGCATAATTTACAGAACACCCGGTTGGGCTCAACCTCGCCGACGTAGGGATCCGCACGGAGTGTCGATGCCCGCTGCTCCGCGTTGCGGCGGCGGGACTCGTGTGCAGGCGGGAAGTTACCCGGGTTGAGATCCTTGAACGACGAGGACGGCGACTCAGGGTCACCGCCGAGCTTGCCGTTCGCCCCGGGTGTCATGGCATCCGCGGAATCCGTTGCACGCGAATGTGCACCGCCCTCCGATTTCGAGCTACGGAAAAGGATTTTAAGGCAAGAAATAAGACAAAATATTAGAACACAATTAGATAGGGCAGACTTACGAGGAAGCAGCATTACGATCGGGCAGCGACTTCTTGCAAGAGGTGCGATGTGAGAGCCACTGCTGCACGGCCTGCATGTGGTTGCTCGAGCTGACACCAATCCACGTGTCACATGAATTGCAGAGAATACGTTCGGCATCGAACTTGCGGACGTCAGGGTCTTTCGCGAGTATGGAGTTACGCTCTGCAAGGCCATATACGTTCTTGTTACTGAGCGACGGTGGTCAGTGTCAATGTTTAACGGGAGATGATCGGTACTCACATTTTCTTAGATAGGCAGCTCTTCCGATGAGCATCCCAGGGGATCGAGCAGTACGTCGAGTTGGGACGGAGACGAATCCACTTGTCGCACGACGCACAGAGGACGCGGTAGGCTTCGAATTCAGCAACGTAGGGGTCGGACCGTAGATAATCGATCCGCTCTTCCTCCGTCCTCTTCGCTCGCCGCCGCTTAGGTGGCGGATTCGCGAGGGCCTCCGCGGTACTTTCTGGGGTATATATGACTGGTTCAGGGGGAGCCTGCATCGTCGTCGCGCTGTTGGGGTAAAACAAATAATAGGAAATTGCGGAGTAGCGACGAGGAAAAACATGAGCTGTCCGCCACGTAATTCTATGAAAAGCACGGGAGAAACGCACCACTTTTGCCGGTGAGCATCCCAGTGCTTGAGGGTAAAGCCGCCTGAGGCGTCGTCACGGAAGGAGACACCTTGGCCGCAGGTCTGACAGATGACCTGGCCGGCCTCGTACTCGTCTTTGGGGATCTCTTGATCCTCGTCGGCGCTCTCGCCCTGAGCGTCGGCTGAGCCACTCTCACTAGGTGGCGACTTGCGCTTCTGCGGGACTCTGTGGCGGGATGAGTTAGAAGGGTGGCTCGGAGTGGCTAAAAGGGGAAACTGACGCATTCGCAGATGCAGAGGGAGGCGGAGAGGGTGGCTTAGGGGTATGTGGAGGAGACGCCGGGACCTGCTGTGTTTCGTCCTCCTGGCGGGGCTCTGGAGACCTGTTGCTGTTATCGTGAATAATCGATTTAGAGGGGCGAGGATGGTCCGGGATCGTGCGATGCATACCTGGCAGCGTCGACTTCCATCTGTTCTGGCATATCCGTGATGTTTTTCCGATCTGTAGTCGAGGGCGTCGTGGGCGGCGGAGAGGAGAGCGGGAGGGGAGACGGGAGGGGACGGGGGACGGGAGGAACGAAAAGGGGAAGGAAATGGAATGTGGTGGTTGGCTTAATATGTGTAAGCTAGTTCGGGTCCAAAGCGTATTTACAGAAACCAGAGAGAAAATAAGTAATATGTCATGTCACAGGCGGAAACCAACATATCTCTTCGCACGACCACACAGAAACACAGGGGGCTTTCAATCTCCGACCGACAGCAACCTCAATTAAATCCCAGGAACATCATCGGCTATTAGTCGTCTTGTGCATACCGTATGTTACCATGTCACCTTTGCCCATCCCATCGATCCCCGTCCTCGAATACTTGTCCGTTTATATTTATGACAACCCCATCATCAATACAGCAATACAGTAACCGTTACCTTCTCTTGCCCACTCCGAGGCCCTCGACGCCGCCGCGTTGTCAACGTCAACTTCTTGTTCCTCGCTTATGTTCTTCGCTTAGTCCTATACCCGTTGCCGACATCCCCGCTATTATCCGATTTGGAGCGCTCAATGATGATGGCATATGTTTTAACCAGTCTCACCCGCCCGTTCTCAGACCTGCCATCGCGGGCTCATTCGGGTCCGCTGCCTCGATCCCCCTCCACTTTCCGACCTCAGATGAGAGAGAATTCGCGATGGAAAACAAATATCTACAGAATTCCGAGATGTGAGATTGTGACAGCCGGCAAGTGGCAGACCGTGTCCATTTTCCACGGGTGTTTTGTGTTTGTTTTCGGTTTCTCCGGAAATTATACGGTACGTGCCCACCCACCCGATATGTCCTGTTTCAGATTCCAGGAGAAACATTCGGCTGACACGTCTACACGCACGCACTGTCGGTGACACGCACCCCCCGGGAGGATATCAAATCAGCCTGTCTCACAGTGGGCCAAACTCTGCCAAACTGCCACTCGCTCGGTCCCTTGGTTCGCTCCACCACTTTTGCCGTGGAACTCTGGACGTGCGCACATATAATACCCTCCGGTAACCTAGCAAATTTCGGTTTCTCATGTCGCGATCGCACCCGTATCCGTGTTTTGGGCCGAGATTTCCCGTGCTTGCTTACAGACAGATCATCGCGAACGCACTAGCGTGCGTGTTTTGTTACTGAGATTGGAGATTGGACACAGATAAGTTCTGTTATGATTCGATACACGCAGCCCACCGGTAGGGTATCACCACATAGTCTAGATCTAGACCCGTCACACGGTCTTCCATACAAACGGGTGGAAGGTCGCTCCTGGTTTTGTGCGTTTGAGGTAGTGGAGTTGCCAAGGAAGGGACCGGTGACATATCTTCTTCCTTCCAAACCGCGCCTCCTTCCTTGCTGCGCGCGTCGATATGATGCCCCTGTCCCCACTTACGCACCTGATGCGGCGTCTCACCCTTGTGTAGGCAACACCCTCTTTGTTTCGGAACAGAGTCATGAACCGGCGAGGTGTTGCATCCTACATCTCCCATTACGGCCATCGTGTCTGCGGTGCGCATATAGCCATTTCCGTCGAATGTCTGCCTCCAACTGAGAAGAACTCGACGTTCTCGGCGATGCGACACGGCCGAGCTTCTCTCAGCGCCTCCGAGCTCATTTTCCAAGGACTTGATTAACTGGCTGATGCAAATTCAGATACGTTGCATGATGCACGCTATCGAACACACGGCCTTTGTGACCTAAAAACGCAAATGATGTCTCAAGATCTCCCTACATTTGCCAAATACAGGGATGACGACCTTCCTTCCCTTCTTTAGAAGCTCCTCGAGACACACGGAACGTCGACAGGTGCGGATCCAGAGCACCAGTACGTACTCCACAGTATGTGCCTATTGACCGGCGACTTGGCATGCTGACATTTGACCAAAGAAAAAAAGACGCATGCTCGCAGATCCTCGTTCGTAACGAACTGACCCAGAAGCGGCAGTTCATCATTGCCAAATGTCCATTGAAACCGGGTGGCGGCAACGTTTTTCATGAATATGCAAGCGACACGCATGCATGTACGCAGAAAAAAATGCGGGTGCCTTGTCCATGTCATTGGCAATAACAAGAGGATGATATGTCACGACGACAGTAACAACCAGTGTCAGCACAGGCCAGGGCCGAGTCATCCGACAGTGGCGACCGGCAACATATGGGAATGATGGGTATGACTTGTCTTGTTTTATTCACTCTCCGATGTTATCGACCCGAGGCCTGGAAACGCGCGGCGTGTCTGCATGATGATGTATGATGCAAGACGGACCATCAATCGCAGTCGCAACAAAACGTTCGCCCGAGGAGCGAGAATCTCTAACGTTCCCGCCCGGCCACGGAAGCCCTAGGACATTTCGAAGCAATGTCGAAAGGCGCACTGCCGACGGATAATGGTAAAGTTTGCCCATTATTGCTCCTCGTCGTCGCGCTCGAAGCCCGAGGCGGTGTCGTTACCGTCCCGGCGGTACGGTCACGGCAACCCAAAACTGAAAAGAGGCGCCCGACATTGGAGCTCAGCGTCGAGCAAACCAAACCTTGTTTACCGATGTGGTATGCACATCCTCGGCTATTCGAGCTCCGCCAGGCGCAAGGTCTGCTCACTAGCTCGAGCTTATCCCAAGTCAAGCACCGCTAGGCGCTGCAATCAGGTCCCCGAGGTCGCCGCTAAGAGCTCTGCATTACTCCCCTGCTTTGAGTTGCGCTAGTCTAACGTTGGAGTCGCAAGTAACCCGCGCTGCTGCGGAATGTTACGAGACGCTGATCGTTTCGACGAAATAGGGGCACACGGCCACGCTGTCACACTCATTTCCATATGTCATGGGTCGCCGGCCGCGGTGACTCACCGACGAAAACAGCGACACCTATCACCGACATATGCCGATAACATGGCTAATTTCTCCCATGTCTTTCCTATTTGGAAACATTCGTCTCACCATATGTCATACCGAGTGATATATAATGCCAGTGTGTCACATCGCCCATCATATCGCGCGCATCTCCATAAGTTTTATGCGTGCCTTGCCTTCTTTGCGTTTCTCAAACTCCGCCGGCTAAATTCTCGGAGAAAGAATGTGCGGAAATACAGCAAGGCAAGAAATTTATGCAGAAACAAAACTGGAAGTCGGAAAACACATGCCCACGAGACATCTTCCCATGTGCGTTGTTGCACGCGGTGCGACGAGGGCGGCCCTTGGATATCCTTATGCATATGCTTCCCTGCAAACTGAACCCTCCTGGTGTCCTCTCCTGAATCTGCGGCGCACTTCGGAACGAGAAGGCACCATCTGCATCAGACATATCCAGCGGCGCTTGCATATGCTCGAGGTGCTGTAGCCCACAACTCTCCGAATCGATCATATGGAGAACCTGGATCCCATGTATATCGGTGTGTCGGATGTGATTTATCATTTTCCGATTCACATTTATCAGATCCATGTCTCAATCGCAGACACACGACGGGCAGGGTTTCGAGTGGCTACGTCTAATTCGAGGCACGCGCAGGTACCCGTTCGGTCTGTTCCTCTCACCCCAGGCCCCCGGACTGCTACTTCAGCTGATCATATCTCGGCTCAAAAGCGTCAAAGTGATAAAAGTAAACCCAACTTTGCACTACGATTGGTGCATGCGTTCGTGTAGCGCACATAAGTGTGAACGAATGAAACACACTGACCATATGGATAATGGTGCTCACAGTTGCCCTACAGACCGGTCGAGATCTTTGGAGCCCTACGAGAAGAGAATCTTCGGACCCATACGATGGCATCGGCTACGTGGGTTACAAAATATTTGGAGGTCGGTGCCGTATCGATTTCGTATGATCTGCTGACTGATTTGAACGAGAACGAGCAGCAAAGGGACATGGTTGACGCATTCGCCGAACAGGACGGCCGGGACCGGAGCCAGCGGACTCTAGCGGACTGTCACAGCGGGCTCGTCGTCAGCGTCTTACGTGACCGGTGCGATTTCGAGGGACAAGGCACGTCACCAGTGGGACGATCGACAGGACCCACGCCACCGACGTCTCGTCCCCCTGGGCGGCTGCTGGCAGATGCCACGCGAACGCGCGTGCGGGAGCATCTCACAGCACCGAGACTGCTTGTTCCATATTTAGCCAGCTGCGACTGTCCTCACGCCCGTGACCACGAGAAAGCGCTACTCAAAACACACGGATTTGAAGTCTCAACGTTGCGAGGTTCGTACTTTAGCGCGGGCCGCCAGCTGTCCGTGGCAAGCGCGAGCACGGCTTATTTTTTGATGCGGTCTCTCAGGCCATCGAGGTTCCCGGAATTTGGTATGGATACTATTGGAACAGAGGTTCGTCTCCGCCCCGAATAACGCCTGTTAACGCGCAAACGAGAACTCGAGGAAGCCATGATCGAGGAATCGTCCATCTGAACGAGCAACGCTAACGGTTAAGAGCTAGAGCTCACGAGCTTAGAAAACGCACTAGAACACCCATTCCCCTATTCAACCCCGATTCGGAACCAATCCACCAAACGAGTACACTCTACTGGTCGTATTCATTGAAAATGCCTTCACAAACTCGAGCACCCATAGTGCTCTGTGCCAACGGATTCTTGTTTCTTGGCAAAATAACTATTGAATCGCAATAGGCAATCACGTTCAGGCGTGTCCTGTGTCTGGACCCATCTTTCACAATCTCCTCCGCACAATCGGAGCAGAAGATCAGCCTCGTTTCCATTCGCCATGAATTCCAAGAATGCCATATGTGTTGGACATTCCGTGACACCGTCTTATCACTATTCTGCTCCACCGTGTAGGATCAAATCGAAGGACGAGAACAGGCGAGAACGAGCAAGCGCTTATTTCTGAATGCACAACTTCAATTGCGTTCACAGAGAATGTTCCCAAAAACATGTCGTACGATGTACATACACATGCGATCTTATATGTCCCTTGTACTTCTACGCACTGTTGGACTTAGCGAGGCGTTCTCGCACTCGCTGGGTAACGACGGCAACGGAGAATCATGATTATCATCATCCCTGCCGGGTTTTCCTGAATATGTTACGACATATAGGCAACTTGTTCTCGGAAAAACAGATGTTGCTCGCCTATATACCGACATTTCCGCGGAGCACGTAAAGCAACCCACATCAATGTCATTGTTCGGATCTCACATCGAAGAAGGAACGACAACACACCAACTCGGAGAACAGAAAACGCCGATATTTGACCAGAAACAAAAAGAAGAAAAATGAAAAGACAAACAAAACAAGTAATCAAACAAATTAGAGTTATGTCATACTGACGCGTGACAGAGCCGAGATTGTGAGCAGAATAAGACAAAACATATGGTGGGTAATCATGATGTCGCCGTGACATGCGAAAGTGAGACGCTGTCAGTGGGGATTTAAAAGATGACATGATTCATGATCAACCCCATGACTAAATGGTAGGACCTAGCCGAAGGTCCCCGAGGTGGTTGTCACATCGGGGGACATTGGCTAACAATCAGGAATATGAGCGACATTGAGGCAAGTGAAATGGGACATGATACGAAAATGCAGCATAGAGACATGCAGCTTGCCAGCCTTGTAGTGGGCGCTTGGCTGGCCATGTCATTTGCCGAATTGTTGGACAGCCCTTGTCCCCTTACTGTGGGTACGACGCATTGTCGGTACGAATATATGCGTCTGTTGTTAGAATCCGGCGTTGTGGTATACATGAGGTAAGATGTTTATGCTGATATGGATATGGGTGCGTAAAGGATAAATAACAGCGTTGGAAGTTTCCGCAGTCCGAATGGAACAACACGTGGTCCCTAAAAGACAATGTCTGCAGACGAGGGTCGGCTGATAAATAGGTCTCGATTCTAGAAAACCAAATCCGCGATCATTAGATGGAGTAGAAACTCGATAATCACTCGCGAACACACCTCATGGTGTATGGTATCTCCGAGCAGCCAGGCCTTAAACCTTTCCGTGCCCGCCTTGCTCAAGGAAACTTCGCGTATGCTGAGCGATCTCAGCGAGACCAGAGAGCCATCTATTGAGCTCTCGATCGAAGGTTTCGCCAGAACTGCCTTGAGAGACACGGCCGATGAAGTCAGACCGGGCAGGTGCGGCTCGGACTGCGACCTAAACAGACGTTAGCATCCGTGACTCTCTTCGTAATCAGATGCGTATAAGAGATGGAAAATAGGGCCAAGGAGAAACCCGACGGGAGAAGCAGACGAACAGGGATAATTGTGCGATGGAAAAGAAGGGCGGGAAAACACACACCATCGCGAGCGAACGGACGACGAAGCCATGTTGGTGCCGGAGCACCTCATCGTAGGCTCTCTTGAAACAGGCATGCATCTCAAGCGACTGCTCAGCCTGCATGTGTTGCAGAGCGCGGCAGAGGAACGTCAGCCCTCTACGTTGTGTGCACGTAATGCATTCGCACACGCATATATGCACGCATTTATGAAGAGAGCATGTTCATTTCCAATCATGGTGCGTAAGATAGAGCACCAATATGCAGAGCTTCAGTGAACATACCGCACGAGGCGAACGAGACACTGCGTAGCATAACGATGTCCATCCGCTGCCTCTGCAAGGACCAGTTCCTCAAGTGTACCAGAACGGGGCTCGTTGCCCTCGAAGCGATCACGAACCCCCTATCACAGATAATCAATGGCACAAACAAAAATATAAGGATAGCAGCACAGCTTACACTGATGTTGGATTTTATGTCATTTTGGACAAAGGCCCATAAACCCGACCCGAGAAGATCTATTAAGGCAAGATAACGCAGAATAGATGGTCAGTTCTGATGAACCAGTGTATACAGCGCTTGGCCAAAAGCCGACAAAAGGGGCACAAGCTAGCGGGAATCTACTTACCAAAAAGCTTGACAAGGCCGTCGGAGGCTTCGAGAAACGGTCGGGTGACGACGCCATCATCCGTGATAGGGACGTCGGCGAATGACTGTCATACCATGGGAGTATCAGTTCCGTGGATATCAGGATCATGTATCCAAACGTAGGAAAGTAAGTTGGACAGCCCGCATCCCAATAGATCCCAATCAAACGCCATGTCATGCGCAAGAACGGCGCACAGGACGCAAGAAAGGGGGCGGGCATATCGGGCGAAAAGGAAGGATGTTTGACATATGTATCGACCAGGCTAAGCACACAGATATGACGGACGAGGGAAGAATCAAGAAGCGCAGTTGATGCGATATGTCAAGAGGTGAGAACGATTCTAAGACAACATTCGAGGCGAAGGGCGCAAAGCCGCGGTGGACACGGGAAAGATAGATTCATCATCATTCGCAAAGCGGATCGTTGCTTACCGTGACGGTCTCGAAGTAAGGACGTTGCTCCTGAGATCCCATACTTCAAATTTGTCCCTGTGCGACAACTGTGCGATCAAGATTTCCCTTGGATCCTCGAAGGAAAAGGCGAGTACTGGTAAGCGAGCTGTGGCCTAAGAGCGGTCTTCGTCGTGTCAAGAGTAGGAAGAAGACCAGGGTAGGAAGAATGCTGGCTCTAGGAGCCCTCACGCACGACGGGCGCGCGGAAACCTCGAGGACGACGAACATGAGGATCTGGCAAGTCTTCCCACTCCGGCCTTTCCATTTCTCCCTCTACGCGCCGCTGGACAAAAGATTATGTAAGCCCCCTATCTTGGGCTTTGACAATCCTGCATGACCACGTGGAACCGTGCTCCGGACGATGGCGAACGCCACCATCTTTCCAACTGTCACTGTCAGTGCTCAACGCAGGGCGGATAAAGAAAGATACATGAATGTGTATTCTTTTTGCAAGGATACTCACAAATTCAGCGAAAGCGGTGATTACCGCGGGGCCGCCGTCTTCTTGCTTGAATTGGGCCATGGGATTCTTCATGTTCCGAAAACTGTAAGACTTGACATGGAAGCATCCATAGAAATAGGACTTGGACGGCGACGAACGGAGATTTGTCAAGCACTGATAGGTTGATGGAATTTGCGGCGGAGATGACAAGGCCGAGGGGTCCACGCCCAACCATTAGAACGATATGACTGAATTGGAATAACAGATCCTTCGTTTGTTGTGGCTACACGAAATGCTACGACCTTCGTTGAGCTACAACTCGCACATAAAATGTCGATTCGCAAGCTGGAACAGTGCCTCAGCAGTGCCTCTGATTAATAGAGCATAGCTAATTAATATTGCAGTAATAAGTGATCTATAAGCGTTGGTATATAGAATTGCCATGTATCCATGGCCTGTGGGTATGTAGTACGTACATGATGCTTGTCCTGAGAGAAGACTGCGCATCTATCGTAAAAACAAATCCAGTGCTTTGGGTCAACCTGCGCCCGTGCCTCGCAAACACCGCGTGATGAATGATTGAGAGAGTTGATGTACATAATTGTTAAGAAATAACACAGAATGAGGCTGTCGTGAGGAAAAGCGCATATGAATATAGAGAGCCAATTTTACAGCAACCCGAGTCGTGATGAGACCTTATCTCATCGACCGGCAATGTTCCGGACCCGTCGAAATGGGCATTATGAGACCCTAGTTTGAGGACGACGTTCTCACTCGGCGTTGAGCGAGGTTTTATCAGTCGGAACACGCCGACGTCCAGATCGCCGAAGGAACGCCACAGGTATACTACCTGACATAGACGTATCGGGTACTTCCTTGGCGGAAGACAGCCCATTCTCTTTCTCCGAGCCTGCGTCAACCGTAGTTGGCGACGCCTCCAAGCCCGGGTCGAGGCGCGCCCGTTTTCTGAGAGGAAGTGTAGGGTCTACCCGACAAGCCGGTGCTTTCCGCTTCCGACTCTGAATCGCCGAGCTTTGTGTCGCGGAGATTTTGACAGCGGGACGAATGATGCGAGACTTTCTCGGTGTACTAGTCCGTTTTGTGGGCTTCTTCTTTGAGTTCTTGCCCTTGACACTTGGTTTCGACGACGAGCCACCGGTGGCCTTCCTCCCCTTCGCGGTGGATGCGCCCACTGTTAGCTTATTGACGGTTACCTCCTTTGAGAAGGCCGACTGACGAGCCAAAGGAGAAGTACGAGAGCTCGACCCCGAAGTACACGACGACAGACTTTTACAGACGCGTGAGCTCGTGCGAGTAGATTGCGAAGAGTGTGGACTTGAAGGCGCAGACGAGGACGACGATGCATCTTCCTCATCCTCGCTTATCCGCTTCCGCTTGCAAGATGACAACGCGCGAGAGGAGTACTCGTGGCTGGTATCGTTGGCACGCACGTTCCTGGAGACCAAGGACTGCATAGTAGGTTTTCGTCTGGAGGAGGCCCACTCCGTCTGAGGCAGCCGAAGTGTCCTGCGGAGCGTTGGCGAGTACGCATAACCTAAAGGAGTCGTCCGCGCTGACTTCGCATGAGGCAACGTCGAGAAGTCTAGAGGAGGCGAGACCGCTCGAGAGTGATGTTTGCGAGCCTCTTCGAGCTCGAGAGCACGCGTAACTAGCTCGGGGGGAAGAACACACGCGATAGCCGGTGTAGACATCAAGTCTCCTGAACGGCCATTGACACTCGTGCTTGCGGTCGTTATCGCGCTCGGGACATAGGAAACGTTTGACGATATTCCGAGTGCGCGGTGAGGGCCGCTCGAGCTGTATGGTTCCGGCGTGGTGGTAGGCAAGAAGGCCGGTCGCAGTTGTTCCTTGTAGTACGAGAAGCGATTTCTTGAGGGAACGGACGGGTAGGTATAAGAGTACGTTGCTGCAGCCATGCCAGATGGCCACTTCCACCAGGAAAACGGAGATAGAGGATGAGAGTGGGATGCAAGCGTCGAGCAGGATTCGGAGGCGCTGGATGAGGATTCGGGTGTTGATGAGTCGTGAGTATTGCGTAGGGCGTGCATATATAAGTGAGAAGGAAAGGGGATTTAAGTCTGGTCGAGATCTGAGGACGGGGGGTGAAGTATAGGAGAGGAAAGTTGGATGTATAGGGTTTTGATTCAATAAAGGGGCAGAACGAATCCGATAACTGGATGTCAGCCGAGGCGTTGCGAAAGAGGTCTCGAGGGGAAGGCGCAGATGCATCCCCCATGCATACCTTTAAGTCGTCTGAGAGCCATCGTGCTTGGACCGAAATCTGAGCACTTGGCGTTACAAGGAGGCGGCAGAAGCGCTCGGTCGATGGCGACGGCGGGTCTATGCGTCTTCGCCAGAGGTGGCGTCCTTTGACCCGGAACGACATCGGGTCATTGCGAGGAGGCATCTTGTTGTTCTTTGGACAGCGCATGCGAGTAAAGATAAGAAGACGAGAAGGATGGTGTCAGTAACCTTGTTTGAGTACAAAAGTGCCGAGCACCGCAACGGTGTTCAGCTCGTCGGGAGTCGGGACCGCGTCGCAAAGACTTGGTGAAAATCTGCACGATACATGTCCACTGAGCTATCTCACTTTCAGTACTCAGCTCCAAATTATCTCGATCAGCTGGTCAGAACGCAACAGGACTACAAGAGAGAGTAAAACTCACATGGGTAAGCGAACCCCATTCTCTATGTCAACTGAAGGTTTATTGAAGGGTGATGCAACATCTCGCCAAGATAGTCGATCACGTGGAAATCTCATAAGACCTTATTTGACTTCTAGCTTATTGTCTCTGAGATACTACGAAGGTCCGAGCAAGGGAGCATTGGAGTCGACCTCAGCGCTGGCAGCTGATTTTTCTATGCAAACCGATTGCTCATGTCCAATGTTTCCTGTGCTTTCAAGGCACGTCGTGTCCCGCTTTCGACAAACGTTGAGGGCGGATAATAGAACAGGCTTTGCCGTAGTATTGTCCGTCATGGAGCGTATCGCTCCGCCGGACAGAAATATGATACAAGGGAACAGGTCTAGGATGCAAAGTCTGAACAAAAGAGAGGCATCGTACGTCAGCGAGATTGACAACCAAACACATTGTTGCACCCGAACCTGGTCTTCTGCTGTGCGCAAAGACGGTATCTGACGCTACTCACGAAATGTCAAAAAGAATCTATACATGTGTAATTTAGCAAAAGAACACACCAAATGTACTCGGCTATCAAGCAGCGTGAAGAGGGTGAACGATAAAGCCCTATAGAGAGAAACCATAGAACGCGGAAATCCTCTGCGGGTGGAGTTCGTGACCAGTGCGCAGCAGGTTATACTGTAGATGCGGCTACTGAGTCCTGCCTCTTCAGCTCAAAGAGGTTCTCCATCGACCGTGTTCAGCCTCGAGTCCTGAGGATCGCATGCGCAGTCGCACGCGTATTGGGCACTCTGTAAAGAGCATATCTTAGCGAAATGCACTGTTGATACATAGCCCTGAGTGTTAATGAATAAGCGGACGGCGATCGCGAAGGTAAACATGGAAGAAAAAACTTTGATTCGGAGCCGCACGATCGATGCAGATCAGTGTGGACTCTGTCCTGGGCACAATAACTCAAATCTGTAAGCCGCGGAGGGAGTTACAGTCCAATTGCATACCCCTTAGCCCCTTACGGTGAAATTTCTTCGAGCCAAATCGTATCCGATGATCCGCCGACAGCAAATTCTGGGGACGAGACAAGTTTGGCCAACGCAATGGCGATGTACGTTCCCTGAAAGTCAAAATTCACCTTGAAAACCAGCTTGAAACCTCTTGAAACCCAAAATAAGACGTGAAAGTCTAAATTTGACCCCCTTGCTGCACTGTACTTGAACCAACCCGTCAAGTTGGACATGACGGAGGTAAGAGTCCGAGGATCTGACGTCACGTTGCCTGTAAGCTTGCACAACTGTGACCGCCGTCAGAAGTTTCCCAAGTTCTGAGACGAAGAAAGATGAAGGGAACGAAGTTACACTGCGTACTCAGGAACAAGACAGGCACCAGAACGGCTACAAGGTATCATCGACACCTCCGTGAACCATCGACTCGATCAGTGTTGCCGGTGGATCGGTACGAGTTGAAGCAACTTGAACTGCGCATATAGGCACAGAGTCTGGGGTAAATAGAATTGCCGAAGAAAGTTGACTGCAGCGGTGCAGCTGCGCAGGCGTCGCCTTGGGTTTGTTTTTAGATATCCGGCGGAGAGTCAGGCACAGACTCGAGAACGTGCGCGGCGCCCCGTCATTAAACGCGCAGCAGGAAGGCGAGGTTGATCTGTTGCTGCGGCAATACTATAGAATGTCGTTAGTGTGCTGTAGCGGGTGCGGATAAACAGTTCAAGCCGTCGGTTGTAGTCTGAGTTGTTGCGGGCTTGCCGTCTCCGATGTTTATGATACCGCGTCGAAGAGAGTCATCATGACAATGCTGACTAATCTTGAGTCACCGGAGCTGGACTCAGGCCTAAAGGACATTGCTGCGAGACGATACGGCTTTGAATTGCATGCCCGTAGGTCTGGGGAAATTGGCTGTAGGTATACAGTTTGCGAGGGAGCCCTGGTTCCAGAACAAAGTTCATTCGTCGCGAGGAGACGGGAGCAAGGCGACGCGGGTGTTGCCGAGTGTCAGCCCCAGCGTGGGGTTGAATAGGGTTGAATTGGTCTGCCATGTCAAGAAAAACGGAGACTGTTGAGATTGCATAGCCGCCCGTCAGAACGTCAGAAAGTGTCGCCTTGGGGCCGTCCAGCTGGAGAAAACGATCGCTGTGAAGGAGGTGATTCTTGAACAGCCCGTGCAGGGCAGAGCCACAGGGTCTCCGCCATTGATAATCTGGAGCGTTTATCATGCGATGTGTTTCCTGACCTTGTAGCCAACGCCGCGCCCTTTTTAGCTTTGTTTTTCTCTCGCACCCGCTGGCCCTCCCCCTTCCCTCAGGGCTGTCACCCTGCTTTTCCCAGCCTCCGGCTCAAATTGGGCCGCTCACTCCGCGTATTAACTCGACCAGTCACCCTCCCTCACCACCTCCCTTTCCAATCCTAGCATTCCGCGTCTCCTGCTATCACCCGCCCGGCTCACATGCCACCCGAACCAACACGAGCAAAGGCCAAGCGCAAGGCGACACGCAAGGAGGAGGAGACGGCGTACCGGTTCGACGGCGGTCACTCACGTGAGATCGAGCAGAAGAGGAATGCGGGCCAGATTTCGTGTGCAGAGTGCAGGAGGTGCGATCATCGCGCTGTCACCCTGCCAAAGTCATTCCTCATTCATCCGCTTATGCCTCTCCATCCTCTCTCTCCTCCATCCATCCCTGCTTCACTCAAACAACGTTCATCCTCATTAATCATTGCTCGACCTCTCGCTATGATACCCACAGACTCAAGATAAAATGCGACAAGCAGATTCCATGTCAGTCATGCCAGGCAAGTCTTTGTCCTCGCATTCTCGACGTCCCACTCCGACTCGGGCGTTGAATATGACCTCCTGTCTGACTGTCCACTTGCCCATTCCCACAGCGCAGGGGATGCGCGGCACTATGTCCGAACGGTAACGTCTCCACACTCTTTCTATCGTCGTCCCGGAGCCGCTTTATCTAATAATGTCACAGGAAGCCTTGCCACCGGACAGGGCACTCGGTGAGTACCTTTATACACCCCGCGCGTGCCATTGGGTGCGCGGCAGCAACAAGGATTAACCGTTTTGCTTCTGCCTTGTGGGCTGTGTTCCCGCCGTGGTGCCTCGTTGATTTGCGTATCTGCACGTGGACCGTGGATCGTCTCCGCCTTGGCCGATCTGCACCGCATTCACCCTTCTTCCTATTTCTCCGTCGATGTATGCGCAATGAAGCTTCGTCCTCGCTGCAACCGAACATTTCCACCGGCGCATCACCAAGATGAGCGACCGAATTCGCCTGCTCGAAGACGCGCTCGCCTCTCTACAGTCCCAACACTCGTCCGAGCCGCACCCGCTCCTCCGGGATGACCTTCTTGGAGTCAACCAGCGGGATGACGAGGCCGCGCTTGCCGCGGGAGCAGAAGGACTATTGGAGGGGTTTGTCCAGCCTGCGGACATCATCGATTCGTTTGGCACATTGTCAATTACCGACCGAGGTGTCTCGAGGTTTTTCGGGCCCACTGGCGGGACGGAGGTAAGCCTTAAGGCTAAGTGGTGTACACCTGTAAATGGCTAATTATCTTTGGTTCTATGCGATTGTTACGACCTTTGGTTAGGCGCTTCTCATGGTACGTCAAGTCTTTGCGGTCCGTCGTCATATATGCGCATGCTAAAACTATCTGGTCGCCATCGTATTGCCTTTCTGCTCCTATCATGCCCACGTCTAATCATGCATACACCCATCGCGCATATACCCACCACGCATACAATCGCCACTCCCGGTCCTTCCATCTCGCGTACGCCAATCTCAATGTCCACCCGATCACATGCAACACATAAACACAGTCTGACGGCCCCCACTCCGAATCCAATTCCCCCGCCCAAACCCCTGAATCCGGTACTGGTGTCGCCCCAAGTGACCACCGCGGCTCCTCCGCAGGCAGCAGTGAAAGCCCGCCTGCTAATAAGATGTTCTCCGTCTCCTTTCCGTTTACTCCCGTGGGCCCGCGCGCGACAGTGCAAGAGCTGATCGAGAGCCACCTCCCGCCATGGGATAAGGCTGAACATCTTCTTCGGCTCTACTTTGATAATGCGGCATGGCTGTTCCACGACGTGAGCAAGGACCAGGTCATGAAAGAGCTCGTGCCTGCGTTCTACGACCCGGGCTCCAAGGACGATTCATCCGGCGGGAGCGCGCAGCTGGCGCGGCCGAATGAAGATCACTGTGGCCCGCATGGGCTTTGTGTGCTCTTCCTGCTCTTTGGGATTGGGGCGCTGGTCGACTTGGAATGCTCGGCGATCAGTCCCGAGGCGGAACACTTCCATCAGATCGCGCGCGCAGCTCTCTGTATCCAGCCTGTGCTCGAGAAACCGAGCCTCGTGACAATCCAAGCACTGCACCTACTTAGCGTGTACAACGCGATGAGCGGGAACGAGCTTGCGGGAGAAGATACAAGCAACGAGACGACGTGGAGCTTGATCACGCTCGCAGCACATTTATCTCAGACGGTGAGCGCTTCTTTGCGTTTATCACATGACGTTGAGGCATTTGCTGACGAACTCATCTGTTTATCCTTCTTGCAGATTGGGTTGCGTAAGTACCTCCCCGTGTGGTGAGAGGCGACGTGGTTCTGATGTCCTTTTTCCGACATCGTGCTTTTGTAGACCGGGATAGCGCACGATGGAACCTATCTCCCGATATCGTCAATCAACGACGCACCCTCTTTTGGGACCTCTTCGTCGCTGACTCATGGCATGTTAGTCCCTTCTTGCGTTACATTGATTACACAGTCCAGCTGACGAATATCCAATTGACTCGGACGTGCAGAGTCTCAATACGGGCCGGCCACCCACGTTTTCGCTTGCGTACATCGACTGCCGATTCCCGATAAGCGAGATCAAGTCAGAAGAAGGTGAATCTTTACCTCCTAGGGAGTGTAAGTTTTCAAGTTTGTGTCGTCACTATGGCTAAGCTATATGATGCATGTTTACCACCACTATCTTTTCTGGAACCGGCTTTTTTATCCATCCCTCGGACCTCCATCCAATGAACAATGGGAACTGAAACGTACAGACGAATCCTGGGGGTACCGTTTCGCCTGCGAGTGCGTCGCTGAGGTTGCCGCACGTACGCTGACCGCCGAAGCACCGAGCTACTCGACAATCATGGAGCTCGACCGCAAGGTGCGCGAGTTCCCAGTCTCTCCGGCTGCAGAAGCCCTCGTCGCACAGGCGAATGCCGCTAGCCCGGCAATGGTACCCGAAGAGAGGCCACTCAGTATTGCGGAGAGTATGGGCCTTTTTGCGATGGCGAATTCGCGAGAAGTTAGTGAGTGTGGCCAGTTTGTCAACAACCTCGCTCGTACTGATTCGTCATCCGTAGTCCTGTTGTACATCCACCGGAGCTTCTTCGCGCAGGCGATCATCGAGAATCCTGTGAATCCGCTCAAGAGCGCGTATGCTGCCTCGTTCTTGGCTGCGTACCGCGCATCTACTACAACTCTGCACACCATACAGGCGCAGTTCCGAAAGCACCCGATCCTCACAGCGCGGTTCTGGGTGGTCTGGTCATTTGCCTTTTCTTCTGCTGTATTTATACCCTTGTTGTGTCGATGAAATGATACTAACCGTGCTCTCATGTAGATCGTTTTCGGCACGATTGTCACGCGTGGGCCGAAATCGCCACTCGCTGCGAATGCTCTGAAGGAACTTGATGATGCTTGTGTCTTGTTCGCGAATGCTGCACCTCGGTGTATGCGGGCAGCAAAGGCATTGGTGTGTAGACGCGACCCCTTATACTATGGCCTGATGTTGACTGTCCATTTACAGCCGTTCTTGACGAAGCTGGCCGAGAAAGCGCACCACGCTATGAACATGGCGCAGACCGGAGAGGTTTCTTCGATGGAATGCGGTCAACATTGGAACGTGGAAGAAGCGGAGAACAACGATGAGCTTGCCATTTTTGCCGGTCGCACGCGCGTTTTGAACACGAAGCGACGCTCAGTGTCTGCGGAACCTCAACCATCGTTGGCTAGATCTTACAGCTCTTCGTCGCTCGCGAACACCACTACATCTATGGAGCAGTCTCACTCCCAGCAGTACCGGAATGCAGAGTTCCTGGCACCTCCCCCTGTTGTTGATGCTTCGCATTCTTCTGGAGGCTGGGCAGCTCATGAGCAATCGTCGAGATATACGCATGATCAAGCCCATCACCAGGAGTACCCCGGCAATATGCTACTCCCGCCCCATCCTTCTCAGCAGCATCAGCAAACATCGTACCAGCAAGCGCAACCGCCCTTGCGCCAGTCGACATATCCATTCCCGGCGAATGAACGCATCAGCCACCCTCAGCCGGTTCAGATTCCGCAGGTTCCCCAGCTCTCGTTGTCAACGCGCGAGCTCCCACTTCCTCATGCGCAACCTCATACCCATGCTCATCCCCACGCCTCCCAGCCGCGTCCACACACACACCACCAGCACCCGCCCCTACCTCAGCCCTCACACCTCGCTGGACCCTCGGAGATGGGCTACCGTTCCCAGCAACATGATCTTGCATCTCACCGCTATCCGCAGCAGCACCAGCAGATCGCAGCGCACCCACACTCGTCTTACCACCCCGCCCCCGACTCTCACGGGATGTACGACCGCTCAAGGGCGCAGTATGACCACTCGCCAGCGCCATCAGCGCACTCGATGCACTCGTTGCAAGGTCATCACGGCCATGGATTTGGGAATCCTGCCGCCTCGCATCCTACTAGTGGTAGTACGAGTGGGGTACCTGCCCCGCCCGATCTTGTGGGGTTGGGTATGGCCTCAGAGGAGTCTCGACTAGACGAGCGGTGGACGTCATTCATGCGTAATGAAGGGTACTTTGACGGGTATAGTTATCGAGGGCGGTAAAGGTTTGGCTTTCCTGGGTGATTCTTTGGCAAGGACGATGAACCTACTGTTACCCCAATCAGCCTGTATACACGCCGGATGCTATGTGTCTCACTGCTTCTTCCACTGAACTTTTGACGGGACTTTGCATATAGTTGTATATATCTGTATACAGTTTGGACGAACATCTATTTCTCACTCTTTTCTTGCTTTCGTCTTCGCTTTCTACATAGGCCGAGTAGTCGCCCACGTATATCCTGTAACAACAAATATTGTTGGTTGATCTACATAGAATATAGTACATACTTAAAACCCTTCTGTGTCAATGGGGCCTGCGTTTTACTTGGGTTAGCAGTCGGCCTACCGGCTTCAGTACCCAAGGTATCGTGTATCAAGACAGATTGTCCATTGGCTATGTCACCGTCGCAGTCATACAGTAATCGTACGCGTCTACGAAGTCGTTGAGATGCAGGGACGTAAGTTGTAAATTGTCAAAGAATCATGCAATCTATTGAATCTAGTACGTGAAATGTCCATGTAAAACCGGTTGAGAAATGTCAATGTCATGTCAAAGTCCAAACCACCCCTTCTCCCTTCAGCTTGGCTAAGGAGCGCCGGCTGCCACGGCGTCTCCACGGCTGCTTAGCTGGAGGTGTTAACAGGCGGGAAGGGGAACGTCTGGTTCGGCAAGGAGTTATAGACGGGGCATAAGTCCTGCCACGCCTCTGTGGAATGCGTGAGTATCGGGGTGCTAAATGAGAGGAGGATGGAAGCACTGACCGTTCACGGGGTCGTTCGATGGGACGTCTTCCGGCGCCTCGGCGAAGACGACAGCCATTCCGCTAAACATAGACACATTAGCAAGCGAACTCCACGACGACGCGCAACCGCGAAGGTACGAAGGTTACTCACACATAAAGATGGAAGTCGATGTGGCTGTATAATAGGAGTGGGAGATGACAGTCAGCAACTATGTTTCTGCGGTACGGACATGTGGAGAATTGAAGAAGGGCGAGTGTACACACCAGTGAAGCATCCAGGGGCCTGGGTTGTTCGTAATGAACCGGATCGTCACGTTATCACCTGCCACGCCTGTGTTCGTGACGTCTCGCATTATTGGGTTCACGTAGTTGTAACTAGTTGAACCCGCACTGCGAATAACACCGAACTTGTGCTGTAGATAGGGATAGTAAAAATGAGAAGACGCGAGGAATTAGAGTGGTGTGAGACGTACACCGTGCAAGTGGAAGGGGTGCTAATGAATCGAAGCACAAACGAGGGTCAGTTGATCCGGTTCTCATACATGCGGCGGAAGAAGTTACGCACGGGACGACCGGGTGCATCATCGGGGGGCATCGAGACCTCAACGATTTTGTTGCGTGGAAGAGTGTAGATGGACCCCGAGGGAATGAGATCCAACGCCTGCGTCTTACCACTGAGGAGCTGCATAAGGATGGGCGTGTCGGGTGGGTAGTACTGGGCGCCGTTGATGAGGTAGTTGTAATTCGTCATGTTCTTGTTGAGCACGAGGTTAATTCTAATATCCGGCTCGGGGTCCTGGAAACCGGGGTACGACTCGGGCACTAGTGGATTGAGGAATGTTTCGTTCAGCGGGAAACTACTTGGCGTCGTGCGGTTGATCGGGGTTGCGTCAGGTGCACCAATGTAGCGCAAGATGGCGGTCGCGTTTGCACCAGTGTTGGAATCAGAGTGAATCCAGTAGTTGTCCGGTTCCTGGTCTGCTTGCATGATGAACGAGTACCGCTGAGCAGCATAGATCTGGATGGAGTCGACCTGGTATGGCTCGACGTTCTCGCCGTCGGCTTCGATGACTGTGAACCGGTGGCCGTCGATGGCGAAGATATAGTTGGGCTTGCACGCAATGTTTAGCAGGCGGAAGCGGTAGCGCTTTCCCCACTCGACGTTGATGACCGCGTTCGGCATAGACGGTCCACCAACGTAAGATCCCATACCGTTGATGAGAGCCGTCTGAGGGACAACCTGCCGAGGAACCTGGGGGGATGGAACATGGTACCAATCCGCGAGGGTGATGATAGTTGACGCTAGCGGAACGTTAGCATGAATCTTCTATCGCCGTCGTTTTACGTACCATTGTCAACGTCGTACCAGCCCAAAAAGGGGTCCTCTGGATCGTAGATGATGAGGGGACCACGAAGACCGTCGCAGTACTGGACACCAATATGGGAGTGATACCAGTATGTCCCTGTCTGCTCGTACGCGGTGAAGTCGTAGGTGAAGTTGGTGCTCGGCGCGATCGGACATTGGGTGACCATGCCAAGACCGTCCATTGAGTTCTGGCCTTTTTGGAAGATACCGTGCCAATGCTATTTTTGTCAGCTACTAAACATGCAATGCCGTTGATCCAGGAGAACACGTACCACAGTGGTGCTAGTAAGCATGGTGTCGTTCGAAAGTTGATTCACGACATTGATCTTGAACCTGTCGCCCTGGACGCTCTTCAGCACGGCCACAAAACAATAGGAAGTTTCCATACCTTCTGAGCGGTGATAATGGGACCGATGAAGTCGTCACCAGCAGTGATCGCTCTGTTCAAAGTCAGGGGTTTGAATTCCATAGGAACGTATGGAACTAACACTCGTTCAAAGCCATCCGGGTTTACGACAGTGTTCTTGATGACCAGCTCGCCTTCAGGTCCGATGACCTGCACGGCTCGCACCAAACTCAACAGAGAAAAGAGGGCCAGGAGTGCGTTGTGCAACATTGCCGGGGTTACTCGTGAAGATATCACGAACAGAGGGTATAGAGCCGATGGTAGACGCTCGAAGAGGACCAGACTGAAGAGCGTAACCGAACAACGCCTCGCCTTAAGTATGTGGAGCGCCGTCAGGGTTCGGAGATTTTTGCCGAGGCTAAAACCGTTCGCACCTCGCTCTGCAGACATGACGGCCAGATGTATGTGATAATAAGAGCAGGAATGTCAAAAATACGCGTCGCGCGAAGGTTTGGTCATGGTGATCCACAACACCCTCGGGAATGGGCCATTGGTCAACTTAATTTGGCTAACCACCCGTCTTGAAGCGAACACGAGGCATTTTTACGAACACCCCTAAGGCCTAGCACCTGAACTCCGCATCCGAGGTGTGCCTCGACTGTAACGACCAAAATTCTTGGTCTTTGATAATGAAAGGGGATGTCAGGATTTACTCGTTCAACCCTTCCATTGGCCTTTGTCTGCACAATGTAGAGATATCAGTGAGAACACCAGTTGCGAAGTTTAGGACGTGTGCTGACTGAGGAGGTCATAAAAACATTCTTGACCGTATCAGCGAAACAAAAGCCTCCGAGAAGCCTCCTTGATGTGCTTCTGAGGAGCTCCTAACAATAGATATAGCTGCCGCGCCGAAGATAGCTTCAGATACGTCAATCATGGAGGCATCGAGTATTTTGCAAAATATTCAGCCTGCAAGTCCGCTCTCAGCTGACAAGACTTACGCCCATCGATCGTGCCAGAGATGAACATTGTGAGCCCACCTTTGCCTCACGAAGAGCGCTGTAGCCCGTCGTTCCGATACGCGGCCCAAAATATCTCGAAGAGACCGCTGGTTGCTCCCGACGATTGGTCCCGTCTCATTTCCCCCTTCTTGACTATACCGACCCTCAGCTGATATGACGACCAGAGGTTCGGAGCAGCAATCTCGCTCTTTTTGTGGATGGAAGAAGGCCATAATAAATGGAAAGAAAGCACTTACAGGCAACACCTTTGACTGGCGCTAAATGATAGCCGAGAAGCCGGAGAGTTTCACGGTGAGCTCCGCGCGTGATCGAAGCTGGGGCTCTGCCGCTTTGTCACTTCGTGTTTCCTCGGAGATACCTACTTCGAAACAGCTTCACTGCGTGCTGATCGATACAATGCTCATCTCGAGCCTAGATTTTCTCAGCACGGCGTTCAGTGCGTTGAAGTATGGCAACGGCTCGCGCACCTGTGCGCGGCGTGCGCGCTGGCTGATAAGCCTCACTGGGTTTGGTACCAATATAGCGAGATTGGGCGTACGTCATTCCTAAATGATGGGAAATGCTGAAAAGATATGATGTTGAAAGTGGTTTCAGAGAAACACAAAGCCCTCACCTCACGCCACTGTCGACAGCCCGTATTTGCAGGGACGGGTGAGAAAATCGTAGCGTACGACCGAGGATGTAGGTGAACGGAGTCGGCGCCAACATCGGTCCTTGCAACAGTAGATAACACAAAAGAGGGTATCCGATTATCGCGAAGGCTATGAGAAGACAGACTGTGAGAGAAAATTAGCCGGATAAAATCAATCTTACGCCACAACATGCTTCGAAGAAGGCGAAGGAGTCACCAAATAGGCAAGGTTGCGAGAAACGAGGGGATACAAGACTTGCACAACGATGTCTCATCTCCCATGTATGAATGGCATGGGCTCAAAATGGGGGCCAGCGATCTACTTCCCAAGCGGCACTTGCACAGGACACCCGTAAAGCAATGCACAATCGTCTGAGCAATAGTTAGAAACATGCGGAGATAATTCGAGAAGCGGAGCAGGGACAACGCTAACCCTCCATGGCGAAGTCGGCGTGCTGACGTATAGGCATATGAGCTTCGATAGAATGCTACCGATGAGAGACTTTGAGACTGATACGTCTGAGACCGCCATTCCAGTGACTTGTGGGTAGAGGTAGGTCCATGTCCATCCCTCGGCTGCACCTGAAGGGGCACGCCTGCCCAATCTCGTAAGGGCTAGATGGGGCATAAGCTATAGTTCAGACGCAAATAAACGGTGGATGATTCGTCCAGAATGGATCTGCTCGACAAGTGCCAACGACGAAATGCGAAGTTTCAAGACCAGTTCCAAGACCAGCTCTCTATTGGTAGGTGAGAGAACAACCAGGATATCTGCCGGAACAGAACTCTGTGAATTGGTCTCATTCGTCGAGAACAAGGGCGACGTTCGTGACTTACATCGGATCCTTCCTGATGGTAATGAAAAACTCGGCCGAACTGGCGTACGGGCCGCTGCCGCTGACGGCCACACATTAGAAGACATCCGCCTGCCAGTTATTTCCGTTCGACAGCTCTCCAGATCTCTATATAGATCTTGAACCAATGACGGATGATCGCTGAGTGAAACACGTTCTCGACTAGAACTGTCAAGCACGAATCAGAGCCATAGATTGGGAGAGACGAGACCCTGAGGTGCAATGTGATCGACATCGGGGCGAGGTGCACGTGAATGCTCCGTAACATGCCAAAGCCCACAGGTCAGTATCAAAGGACCAACGCCAGGCCTCCATTGAGACGCACCAATAGTGATATTTTGGGATTTGATAGTGAGCGCAATATCGAGTGGCGGCCGAAGGCCTATCTAGAAGCCGCTCCGCGCTCGCGGCACTACATATGTTTGTCGAAGGGTCAGCGGGCATTGATCAGGCTCCGCGGCGGCTTCCTCCAACTTTGATGCGCTCCATCACTGTATACAATGGCAGGCTCCGTGCCTCAGACGCATTAACGCGGCGGTTCGTTGGGCGGCCGCCCTTAGACGAATGAGGCTACATGACTAGTACCCCGCCATTGCTCCCTTGTAAAGAAACCGCTGAAGATCGTTGCAGCGCGCCATTGCGAACATCGTTATGAAGCAAACCTACCGACATCTAGCAGCAAGTGAACGCAGCGCTGATCGATACGCGAAACGCCGCAACCACCATACCCGGTGCGATGCATGACCGCGGAAGGCCGCACAACCGCTGGCATCAGCCTTCAGAATTCAACTCCGTCCAATAGATTGCACATCTCACCCCCCGGTGCGCGCGAGCTATGGCCACCCGATCTGAGATGATAAGATTATATTAAATCCGCGGATTGTTTAGTTCAGCTGAGTACGAAGATCTGTGACCTACACTTGGAAGGATAATTCTTCGCCCGAGTACAACCCAAAAAAAACAGAGTAGCAGCCCTGGCCTTGCTCATGGGAAACATTCGCTGTGCCAAAGCATTCATGCTTGAACCTTGACAAACACACGAATGTTCATAGAATAATACGCATAGATCCCTCGATAATGAAGTCAGCTCGATGTGAAGTTGCCCTGGCACACCAATAAGTTCGCCGATGTCTATCCGCTAGGTTCAGATCTGGCTTACCGATACTCCTCGGCCGCCAACTTTGCTAGGCGCCGATGGCGTAGACATCCTGAATGCGAGATAAAGCCATGAGTATCACTTCATAGCTGTACCGTATTCATAAGTACCTATACATTGGTCGCAGGTCGGCGTCAACATCGCTTTTAGTAGCTGCCGTGAGGTGACGATAACCCACCTATACGCTGAGTATCGTCAGCTGGATGTGACATAGGACGCCTTGGCACGGCACCTTGACGTGGAGTACATGCTTACTGTCAGACGAAGGGAGCGAAAAGAGAAACCGAAGTCTTTGCACGCGGCCGAGGATAACGTTCACTGATGGATGTATGCATCTCAAACCTGTCAAAACCACAAATTCAGCGCCTCGTTCACTTTCCACCGTCTCGTCCACTTTCCACGAACACGCGAAGAACTAGATGTTGCCATGCTTTGGGGGCAGCGATCCACGCCCAATTAAATTGGAAGGGGGAGGGAACCAATGAGGAACGAGGGCGACGACATACTTTTGGCTGCCACCTCTGGTATACACCAATCCATCGACGCCCTGCCTTGTCGAGTCCTATGCCAAGGCTACCTCTCGATCCTCGGACATGAAGGCATGCTTTCGGGGGCTGCCATGCTGAAGAGAGCGTATATTGTGCACCTTCGAGACACGACGATGTTGACGAGCAGCGCTCACCTTCAGCCACGGCATAATGTCGTTTTCTTGACCCCCTCCTGTGTTGGGTTTGTGAGAATGTGTGTGCCGTGACGTTGTCAGATACATATGCATCCTAGGGTTGTACTAGGGTGTATGCGTCGTGAGCCTGCGCCAAATCCCGACATTCAGTCTCACGTCCACCGCCCACAAGATCTATCTACAACAGTCTCAATCCCAGTGGGCATAGAGCACGCATCGCATCTCATGGCAGGAACAGGAAATGAAAACCGAGAAACGAGGAATACACACCTTCGGCGGCCCAGAGCAAAAACGCAGATCCAACACACGATCACATCGTGACTTCAAAGCATCACTCCTACTACCTTCCTGTAACTTGCGCTTGCCTAGAATCCGCGCATACAACGTACAAAACCGAAGGTTAATCTGGCATTGACATGTGAACGTAACAGGCGCTTACGGAAACGCTCCATACACCGAGTTATGACGACGGATACTTGGCCGTATGTCTCGTGCCTCGTCCTACATAGTATACCAAGGTCTAACAATGCCGCAAACACGTTGCTTCCGCGCTTGTATCTGTATGTCTTCCTGGCGCGAACATCTTGAGAAGGTACGACCAGGACTGGTGAGAATACGTAGGAGCAGGGGACGATGTCCTTGAGTCTCAAGCCTAATTACATGAGGAATCAAGATTTCAAACGACTGTGGATATTGCAGCGAGGATCTTCGCCGGTGGTGATGCATGGATGTATGGGGCATGGATGGAGGCTGGTGATTGGTGAAGGCGCGATGCAAGGGGAGGATGCCACGTGCGTACCTCCAGCGCCTAAAGATAGGGGCATACTCATCTTCAAGCTTTTAACGACATGTTGAATTTCACGGTACCACAACATACGCTATTCGTGGGCGCCCCTTTCGATAACTCAGCCAGTAGTACGAAGACCTAGGTCGCATATCTGCATTGTCCTTTGCCAATCAAGAAGAATTGTGCCGCGACCGTAGCTAACAAGAACTAGTGGCAGTCAGGCTATAGCTAGGAGCAGGTAGTCAAGAGCAGAACAGCGAGCTAGCAATGCGCGATGGAGAGTAGAAAGAACAGAAAGAGGAGCTAGAACAACAAAAGGATGGGGAGTACTGTAATCTGTAGCACGTGTAACTTGATTAAGCCAAGCGAAAAAAGCAAGTGTCCGAAGCGCGCGTCCGTTTCGCGGCGCCTACTGCACCAGGGTACGTACTGCATACGTATGGATGGGATGGGGTGGGGTGGAATGCGGGGGGAGGGATGGGATGGAATGTATTGAGTGCACGAATGAGAGTGAGATGTATGGTTCTATTGTACAAGCATGAAATCGACAGCAACTTTTACCTCAGCAGACATAGACGTCAAGAACGAAGCCAAGCGCACTATTCCTCCTTGACCCCGCCGTCTGGCAGTCCACCGCCATCGCCAGCGACCCCAGGCGGGGAACCGCTCGCTGTTGAGTTCGTCCTCATTCGCTTGCGCGAGCGCGGAGAGAGCGGGAGCGCGCTGCCTGGGGGGCCATGTGGGGACTTACTAGAGTCCCCTGCCGATGCGGACGGCGGATTCCCACCGCCGCCACTTCCGCGTTCTGCGGAATAAGGCGCGGCCTCCCTCTCGCGCTCCCACGAAAGTGTATCCCGGTTCGCAGGGGGGAGAGACATGGACAGTTGGTGATTGCTTTGGTTGTTCGAGGGGTTGAAGAGATCAAGCCAATTTGGTTCCCCCGGCTGTGCTATGGAGAATTCGCTGTATAAGCACGCTAGGGACGACGAAATCCCGAGCAACACTCACGGGGATCATGCGCGGAATGCGGGGGCGCTGACTGTTGCTGCTGATGCGATTGATTGTGAGTTGGCCAATCTAACGGCGCAAACTGAGGGTTTTGTGCGTGAGGTTGACGGTGGTCTTCGTTCTCCAAAAACGCAGAGAGCAGATCCGGCGACTGTTGCGCATGCATCCCAGGCCCATGCCCATGTTGACCCGGCGGGAGGTTCCCGCGCATCAGCTGTTGATAGACATCCGGTTGGTGGGAGAATGATGACCGTTGGCTGTAGCTGTTGCGAGAGACCTGTGTTCCGCGGGTGCCCGAAGATGGAAAGTCAAATGACGAGGAGATAAGCGAGGGCGGTGGACTGGTCACGCCTAGGTAGCTTGACGAGTATTGCATTTGTGAGGGCTGTCCGGGATGACGACTTGAATAACCGCCTCCAGCGGAGTTAGGTGAGGGGAGATAAGAACCATTGTACATGTCGTCCGTGACCAGTTTGTTACCGAGGTTGGGTGCCAGGCGCTGCTTCTTGGTGACCTGGTTGCCAGAAGCTAAAAGTCGACCGGAATGATTATGTCTTTCGCCCGATATCGGAAGAGAGGAACCCCCACCACTTGGAGACAGCTGCGAAGCGTGATGAAGAGGCATTGGAGGTGGTGGTATTGTCATTGTCGAGCGGTGAAGAGGGTAATCCAACTGGCTACCGTGAGCGGACGCTATGGATAAAAGAAGGGTCAACGTACATCGTTCATTCCCATATCCGAGTGGGGCAGCATGAGCTTGCCCGGACTGTATTCCGTCTTTGCCTTGGGGTCACCCCGTTTCTTGTTACCACGAGGGCCTTCGTCATCGTCGTCACCGTCGTCCTCATCGTCGCCGTCGCCGTCACCAGCGACCTTGGCGTTGGCGTTGTTGGCGAAGTCGTGGGGTGTCCGTGTGTCCTTCTCACCGTCATACTGAGGTCACAGTCGTTAGGGGTATCAACAAGAAGATAGCATAGATACTCACTCGCATGTGCCGTTGAACGATGTCATGTATATCCCCCGAGCAGTACTGGTACAGCTTTAGGTGGTGGCCCGCGCGTTCCTCTGAGCAACGGCGGCGATAAGCAAACGACAAGCGATATGGTGAGTATATGCGGGGTGTACGCACCAAAAATGATGACGGCGACGTCGACAGAGCAAAGTACACCGAGTTCGTACGCCTTCTTGAAGAGACCATTCTTGCGCTGGTTGACGTCGGGAGCGATAGTGGAGGGAGATAATAATAATTAGGGTCCGCCAAGACCAATTAGGAGCAAAAATAGCCCTTACCTTCAAGAAGGTGACCGAACGGTTACGCTCGTGCTATGAATATAATGTAGGTTATCGAGGCCGTCAAAGATGGCACGGGAGGGATGGAGGTAAAAATGGGACGAGGCGCGCTAGTAGAGTGTACATTGCACGGCAGGAGATGGGGAGGCAGCCGAGAATAGTAGCAGCATGTCTAATACAACGCGACGTACAGTGATAGGCTGGATTTCAATCTTTCTTCTCCCCATTGTGCGCGTGCTCTGTGGTGTCGGAGATGGTCTGAGCTTGCAGAGATGGTGGAGGAGGGGAAGAGAGAGAGACGACGGTGCACCAGAGGATGGGAGACGGTCTTTGAGCCTTGGATCTTTCACTTGCCTCGGCCTGAAATCTGCAAACGGGTGCCGAAACTATACAGACCGCCGTTCATCAGATTCACACCTCTTGATTCTCCGGGGTTCCTTTCATTCCTCGGGGTCACCCGGATTCCACCCCGCTCCTTCCCTTTTTGGCCATCCTATCGCGCAATCTCGCCCGGCCCGTGAGAGATCCAACCTGCGACTGGCCGCGACTGGCCTTCAGCCTGGTGGGGTGACGACAAGCCACAAGGGTTGCCGGTTTGGTGACATTCAGTTATCGTTTCATGCCACCATTGTCAGCGAATGCCCAATGACGATGTTCGCATGAATCATCCTATTTCCTCCTTCGAGCTAAGGACGCCCCTTTCTACATCATTTTACCCAAAGAGTTCTCATGGTGTCAGCCCATCCCCTTCTCCGCAGCATGCACGTCCAATCTCCTGTCGTTGCTGAGGATCAGCAGCCCGGGGCGTCAAGAACGCATGCCCATGTCAACCAACGAACAACGTCTCCAGGCAATGAGCGATCAGGGGCTACATTGAGGCCGCGGTGAATAAGGGTGAAGAACACTTTGGTCAGGCACTCGTTTGTCTTCCAGCAGGTAATTTCAGAGACCCCGTTCAGAGCGAAAAGGGACTGCCGCGAGGCATCATACCATTCAGCATCATGATTTACCGGTAGCCTCTCGCGGGCGCCACACCACGTTTCCTGGACTGGTGAACATGACGGAGTTCCGTTATGCCTGATATGTCCAAATAGTTCACGTCATGTTCGAGATCATCAACAACGGGTAAGTCCACAAGTCGGCGCCTTTGGAAATACCTCCGAATGCTAACTGACCTAGATGGCTAGAGTGTGATCATGATGGGTATGGAGGAGGCTGAACGCGCTGGAAGTCTCCTGGCCTTCTCTCAGTATCGCGGGGTCTGAGTCTGCGATTCCGTGGGAGGGATCGCCCGGGCCGCTCCCACAGAACCGCTCATCGGGTACCTGGGCGGTGACAGTTGACCTTCGTCCCGTCGACGTCAGAAAGTTGACAGCGGCAAAGTAAGCGATAATTAGCCACAAAAATATCTTCCCCAAAAATAAAGCGCTTATTTTTGGAGTGACAGGACACTATTTTTAACCCTCGCCTTGCTGGCAGAGTACGTATTTTTATCTTCTCCAGGTCCCAATATTAGTCCGCCAACGCACTATGCCTTCATCAACCCTCGAGGCCAACTTTCGGAGCACAACGGCGTCGGTTTCAGCTGAAGCTCCTAGGGTCTTGGTCACAGGGTCACCAGGCGAAAACAGGGTTTCGGTTCGACACGGTTGAGTTTGATGGGTATGCCGTGAACAGGACCTCCTGTCTCCACGCTGCTGACGGATCTGGTCGACTCAAAGCCGGCGGCCTTATCGGCCTCTTACACGCTAGCCCTACAAGTGCGTTAAGCTTTCTGCCTATCCCGCTTGCGCTCTCATGCCCGCATGTCCGCGCCCTCCCTACTCCTGATCCTATCATGTCTAACTCACGGTCCCAACTGCCCGGGTCAGGCAACTCCAGCTGAAGTGAAATTCTCGAAAAGCACCGCGTCGACGACGCGTTCGTCCCTGGCTCTGCCCTCATGTATTTCTGGCACACGTCAGGCAAGTAACCTATCCGCCGTCTTACAGCGATCGACAAACGAATTTTAAGTCTTGTTTTATTTTTATGGCAGTCAATATAGCTTGCTTGGATGTTTTCTTAGCTTTTGAAGCGGAGCACTTTCTTACTTTTAGTCCTCGTTTGCTTGAGCGTCTGCCTGTGCACTCATCCACCATGTCTACAGCAAGCTTTTTCCCCGGCGAACTTTTTCTCTTCCTCCGTCCTCGTGATTCAGTATGCAGCGCCGGGTCGTCCGGACATATGGTTATCTAGACGACTTGTCTCTCACCAGAGGCAGAGGTTGACACCCGAAAAGGCCAGATGACTATCCCACCCTATGGTGCGCTTACGTTCCGTGTTCCTAGACTCGATGATCTCGAAATCGAGAAAGAACGTCGCAGTTACCCACTCCACGACACTCGCCGTCTGGCTACTTGCTGCGTTCCGTTCCGTGTGCCTTGTCCTTCTGACGCACTCTTCTCGCGCAAATTGCAATATCATTACTGTCTACGCATGGACGGGCTCGTTGCTCGTCTCATGGTTGCGCCCAGCCTGTTCGTCTGCGGGAACGTGACGCAGCGACAACATGATGGTGTTCCCATGCATTGCCGCCCTCGGAATCCGCACATCCCGTAGCGCCTCACCACACCCCTCAGCTCATCATCATCTGGCCCGGCAGTGTCCGTGAGCACGCGTTCTGCAGCCACTGGCCCGTGCGTGCCGTGGGTTGCGAGATCTTATCGCGTTCGTTCAATTGCACGCTCGCGGGGCATTGTCGGCCATTATGCATCGTGATGAAGTATGTGCATTCAACGATCCATGGGCTTCCGGTGTTCAATCCAATTGCAGAAGCGCCATTTGCCGTCACGCGTCGAAGTCGAAGCTCTCCCTCCCTCATTTTGCCCTCCACCTTCCATCGGCGAGCTGCCCTCCGCCCTGTGATAGGAGCGAGGGGATGAAGGATTGCCTCATTGGGGTAGATCCGGAGGGGAACCTACACACGAAGCCCAGTTATCCGGATTCCATGGACCTACCCATGCTAAGGCTTTGTCTGATACAAGTGTTGATGATGAGGTTCGGCCATTCGCTGGGATGCAGCGCTGAAACGCTGAGCTCGCTAAAACATGCATCCAGCACAGGATTACCAATTGGTCTAGACTATTCTTCCCCGCGTTTGGCGTGGAGCGCTTCTTGTTCTCATTATCCCTCATTCATCGATTTGTGCTGGACGACCACTCTTCCATGTCATGTACTCGATCCGGGCACCTCAGGCAGATTCTCATTACATATATTGTAATGAAACATCACAGAAATTAAACATCAAACGGACATCTTTTGGACTGCTCTACGCTCTTCTGTGTATTGGTGTTCGATGCTTCCATTGGATGGCACCACTCAAACACCGCCCTCATAGGCGCGCAAATCACGGCGACAGGGTCTGCAGCTGCTTAGACCCGGCGCCCGAGCGCAGTCTCTCACGCACGGCGTGATGGAGGGAGACCTTGACAGCGGCGCGGGAGGACATGCCTGTCGTTGTCAACCGCAAACCTTGGGTTTCTTACGAGTGGGAGGAAGGGCGGTGTTCCGCCCTGCATAACGGCTCGAGTCCCGCCATTTACCATTCTCATCTATGGTGAGGTCATCATCTCATCTCATGTACAGTAGGGTACATGCGTAGCACACAGATGGGTGTACACGTTCAGACAAGAACACTGGTACGGGCTCACTGCCTCTAGCCAACATGACGCGCCTGACCCAGGCACCTCCGCGCCCCGCATGCAAGCGTCGCAAGCGTCGCGGTGCCCGAGCACCCATGTTTCGAATTCCGCGCGCTCTCTGTGCTCGCACGCTTTTGCACCGCTCAGACGACCTGCGGTGGTTTTCGGACGGACGGCTCGTTCCCATCGTCGACGACACCGTAAATGTCCCGAGGGGAACAGACTCCCAGGATCAGAGGTCCGCAAAACATCCGGGACTTCGTCTGTTTCTCCCTCCGCTGATGCCGTCTGACGTACTGACTTCTAGGATAGTTGTCTAGGGTATGCAAGTACCTCATCGGTCTTGAATCATTTGTCGTGGCTTCAATCATGACATCGCCTTCGATGCGCCATGATGCTGTTCAGACCTACTGGATTATGCCAGGTTCTCTCTTCTAGAGCAATCCTTTGAATTTTCGGCTGATCGTACTCTCGGCATAGATAGCTAGGTGTGGGCGTTCAATAGAACGTGCTGATTGTTCTCCGCGGAGGTGTTTGTTGGCGCCTCGTAGCCCATTGCGGACTCTTTTGTCCTTCGCTTCGCTTCGTTCTCGCTTTGCGCCCTTGTCCTTTTGCGAAGGAGCGGAGCAGCCTCAAACAGGATGGTAGGTTAATGGCAATTGTGTTTGCGTTCCGTCGGCGTTGCCTACCTCGGAAACGAGCCCGTGCCAGCGACTGTCGCACTTGCCGCATTGTATCGCACAAAAAAATAATCATTTTTGATTTTATGAGAGACCTGGGAATCTGGGATGCAAGACTATCACCCGGATCCAGGGGACTAGAGTATACAGCGTAGATGGCTGAAGAAAGCAATAAGCATGTGGCTGCGGAAGCCCTTGCCTGCTGGCAGGGGCATTGCAGCAATGTCATTTTCCGACGTTCCGCGCGAGGAAAAAGCGACAATCGTACTCATCCTGCACTTAGAACTACCATGAAGCCACCGCATTACTGCGCATGAATTCATTCTCGTGACACCGGCGAAAAAACCGCAGCATGTCACTCGTAGAGCACATTTGCGACGTCTCGCACAAAGGATCTGAAGCAAACGCGACAGTCGGTCCTTGTCTGAAGTCTTCGTCCGGTTTGAGCTGCCTTATGAAACCGGAAACGATGCTCGGCTGGATGACGTTCTCTTGAATAACAGCCCTCTAAAGACCGCAATCCAGGCACCATAGGGTTCATTATAGTTACCGAAGTACGACGATTCAAAGACTGAGCAACCCCAGGATTTAACCCTGCTCCAGGGGGCAACGAGCTAGAGTGTGGGTGAAGCTGCGGGTGAAGCTGCGGAGTGCTGCTGCGCATGCGAGCTCAGGGGCTATGTCTTGCCACTTTCCAGAATCTGCAGAAATCTGACGAGTATGTCGAAAAGGCTTTACCTTTGCGGCATTCATCTTTGTATTTGCTATCTCCGTCGAGTTTCAAGTGAACTAAAGCGATGAAAATAGACGGGATGTGCCTTGCGAGCTATAGTTAGGTGTAGCATAGCACGCTACCTCCCCGGACTCGAGCTTCGCGGCTGAAGCTGTGTTCGCAGCTTTCTGATAGGCTGGGTGTTCGACTAGAACGATGTGGCATCTTCCGCGTGGGTGGAACCATGAAACTGCAAGAGATTTTACCATCGAGTTGGGTAGCACTCTCGGGGTTCCTACTAGGAAGTCGCAAGGAAGCCGAGACAGAGCCAAACGACTGACTAGGAGGGGGAGAACGTTTTCAGTTATCTGCGGTGTGAAACTTCGGTCTCGAATGCTGGTGCTTCCTAGATTTCTCACCGAAACGGTACCCTATTATGAATAAGGATGGCCGAGGAGGACACCACGGGCAAACTGCCATTTTTCGCGAGAGGAAAAAGAGAGAAAAGGTGTGTAGGTGAAAACCTTTTTCGCTGAGTTTTCACCGCGAGAAAAGTCAAAGGAAATATTACCATTAAACCCGAGAGAGCGCCTTTTCTGGGTGAGAAAAGGATAAATGTCTGCTTATGGCTGCCTAATTTGGTAATTTGGCCGACTCTGGGGAATTGATATCCTTTTCTCGCCCGGAAAAGGCGCACTCTCGGGTGCAATGGTAATCTTTCCTTTGACTTTTCTCACGGTGAAAACTCAGCGAAAGAGGTTTTCACCTACACGCCTTTTCTCTCTTTCTTCTCCAGCAAAAAAATAGCAGTATGCCCGATGGTGGGAACTGCTCCGTGCTGCCCATGGAGGGTATACCCCTATTCCGGATTTTGCCGGCGGAGTTTGAACATGGTACCCCTCTGCGTCGTCGTCTGGCCCATGAGCGACTCTGTCTGACTGTCATTGAGCTAGCTGACTCGATGCTACCTACAAAGAAGCTTGGACATGCTCAGATTGGATCCAAAAACTCTGAGTACAAAATAGTCGATGTGACAACTCAATATTGCGTGAAACAATTCACTGATGCCTCCAACTTTTCATAACAGGCCGTACGCGTCACGACGACCGTCAACGTTGTGCTTACTATGATCATATGGACACTCAAGCGCTCAGTACTCGCGAGTGTCACTCCACTACCTGATATCTTCAAAGCAATCTTTCGCTTATTTCCTCGCGGTTGTCTCACAACAAACGTCAGCAATGAGTCGGAGATGCCGTAATGGCAACGAGGCTGGAGTGCTGACCTTTTCAACTGCCAACTCAATCGATATTTATCAGCTCCTTGTTGGAGTTCTTCTCAGTTTGAATAGCGGATTGGCACATCGATGGCTCATTGAGGCGCCAAAGCTAGTCCACTCACGTGGCTTTCCCATGCAATTGCCTCCATTCCAGGTAGCTCGGCCGACGACCTGACGTACGACTTTCGCAACTTGTGGCCTTACCGGGTCACTTCTGACGTAAAGCTAGTTAAGATATCCGTTTCTCCTTCTCTTCTTGCTCCCAAATCTGTCAATTCGAACTTACGCTAGCGACGGCTATGGTGTCCAGACCCTACGCAGGGCCCTCACAAGGTCTCGGTCTTGCCACTCCACGCGTCCATTCGTTCTCAGGTGCCACCTATGCGCCCCGCGCCGCGCCTACATGATGACATTTCGTTGCAATTTTCGGCAAAACGGAAGGAACTTGCAGCTACTCGCGCCTTTTTCGAATTTACACATGTGTGCATACACGACAATTAAAAGGCAGTCGCGAGCAGTCAACTTCTGCCTACTCGTATTGATTGTGAACATCTTCTCACTCTTCACAACTATATACTACCACTCTACAGCGATCGCGATGCTGGCTGATGACAAAGATAACGCTCCTGTTTCTCAATCAGGCAGTGAACAACCTACTAGCAAGGGTAGCGAAGGCGGCTTCGACGACCGTGAGCAGGGAACGTTTGCTCTCGACCACCCTGAAGGGGGATGGGCTGCTTGGTGCACAGTGCTGGGCGCGTAAGTATCCTGTCCCCGAAACGGGATTGCTCGCTGAATGTGTTTTAGATTTTTAGTACAAATGTGCAGCTATGGGTGTGTATATATGCAGGTCTGAGAAAATGAGCGAACTCACGTCTTTTTCAGTTATACGAACTCTTTCGGAGTATACCAAGGTGAGGACTTCTACTCATATATGCCGTTCTGCTTCAATTGTTCCGTTGTCGCGTAGAGTACTATACGACAACGTTCATGACTAACGAATCCGCGTCTGTCATATCGTAAGTTCATGTGTCATATCCTCAGGCACTTCCAATGACAGTCATTTCTCTAGCTGGATTGGCAGTGTAAATGCCTTTCTGTTTGAGCTGGGGGGCGTTGCAGCCGGGCGTCTCTACGATCGTGGCTACTTGTACGTGTTGAGCATATCTCACCTCACGCCATTCATATGACTAAATCGTTCGTTATTTCTCCGCAGTTACACCGTGGTGTACGGTGGCTGCTTTATGCAGTCGTTTTCCTTATTCATGCTTTCGTTCGCGAAACCTGACAAGTTCTATCAGGTAGGATGCTTGAATGATGACTAGGGCGTGTGCTACATCAATGTTACAGGTGTTCCTTGCCCAAGGGATAGCCTCAGGCATCTCATCAGGCGTTCTGTATATTCCGACTATGGTGATAGTCTCGGAGTACTTCTCAAAACGCCGTGCCCTCATGATGGCTATTGTGGCTTCTGGAGCAGCGGTAGGCTCCGTCATACATCCGATCATACTGAATAACGCGTTGAACGGACGCATCGGCTTCGCGACCGGTGTTCGCGCGAGCGCTGGTCTTGTTAGCGGCCTGTTACTTCTGGCTTGCTGTCTCATGCGGACGCGCGTTAGTGCAACGAAGCGCTCGAGCATAAGTTTCGTCAAAACTATCAAAGGTTGTGTAAAGGACATCTCATATATGTTGGGAATGTTAAGGTAAGTTTCAGCTTTGATCAACAAACCATACTGACATGTTCTTTCTAGCACCATGAGTTTTGCAATCGCACTGTACTACCCGGTATTTTATCTTCAGCTCGACGCTGCCTCCCACAACCTCCAGCCAGTCTTCTCGTTTTACTCGGTACGTCATTGATCGATTTCCCAGCGATTGAAGCTTGAGCTTATGAATGTTCAGCTCGTCGTGCTGAATGCATCCAGCTTTGTAGGACAAATTATATCTGGCTTCTTGGCACACATTTTTGGTGTACCTATAGTGATGCTGGTTGCAATATTCGGCGGAAGCGTAATGGTGTTTGCGATGGCTGGCATCACCTCAGTCGCAGGTGTTGTCGTGTTTGCAATTATGTATGGCATATTCTTTGGCATGTGTAAGTGTCCTGCCATTACTCCTACTTTCCATTGGTGTTCTTACGCTCCCGGCGAAGTCATTGGTATGTGGTCGCCCACAGTGGCAGCACTTACGCCGAATCATGAAGAACTTGGGTACGTCTTAGCTGAATGCGATTAACTATGTGCCTCATGACCGTACGTCAGAGCACGTATGGGGATTTCGTGTGCATTTATGGGTCAGTGGTAACTCAACTCACAATCAAGAAATGCGTGTTCGACATCATATACAGCGATTAGTGATTTGATTGGTGAGTAGTGTTTCGAACGATGTCACCCGCATAGATCGTGAACTCCTTACAGGAACACCCATCTCTGGCGCGCTCTTGGGTACCCAATATGTATGGTGGAAGCCGGCAGTGTTCAATGGTGTCAGTCCTTTACAAAGTCACCGTCCTCATCTAAACTCACATTTTCGCCACAAGTCGATCGGCGCCTTCGCATTTCTACTCGCCATTGGGATGCGCTTCACCATTAACAAATATCACCTGCGAAAGAGCGCCAGCTAGTGATCTTACGGCAGAGCGGTATAGTACCAAGGATTTCTAAGGACAGCTAGTGTCGCTTTAGGAATTTGTGGTTGTGGTTGTGGCATAAGTTGAAAGTACGGTAGGCAAGATGATCCAGCCGAGTTAACATGAATTTGAAATACACTTTGTCATCTCTCGATCCGTTAGTTCAGCCATCTCAAGTAGAAAAGCTGCTCTTGGAACAAACTCTAGCTGTGATGTCAATCTAGCTTCCAGTAGCATGTCCTTGAGCCCAATAATCAACTACCACGTATATTAGAAATTAAAGTCCATTATACAAATCCCTTATCTTAAGTCCCATTAAATACGAACACCATCTTCTCCGTCGCGTCAAATCCATGATAATAGTCATCTTTAATTGCGGAAATTCGTTGTAAACCTCTCATGGCCATCACAGCGGAGGAACCACTCCCCCAAGCTGGCTAGGCGAGAGCGCATTGTATGCAGGACACAAGTTCTCCCACGCCTCTGTCGTACGCAGTTCAGTGCGAAGGAACGGGCTGACGGAAGACGTACTTACCAGGTACATGGCCGATATGCTGCTTCGTCCCAGAGGGGTTCTCGGCAAAAACAACGGCGAATCCCCTGTGTAACGGTGAATATCGGAAGAAACGCAGTGGGGTAGAAGAACGTACGCTTCCAGGTGCCAGTTGATGTGACAATGCAAGAACCACGGTCCCGAGTTGTCCGTCGTCCACCGGATGACCATGCCCTGGCCCTGAGTGCCGCTTGACACGACGTCGCGGCGCACGGGGTTTTTGAAGTTGACGATGTCGGAGCCGGCGCTACGGATGACGTCGAACGAGTGCTGTTATCAGAGGATCGTTATTAACAACATCACAAACGAAAGCAGAGGAAGGACGTACACCGTGCAGATGGATAGGATGCTAAGTCGCATATGGTAATCAGTTCACATAAACACATGATTGATGGCTGAAAGGAGAACGTACTGGTCCTGCAAACCCCTCCCCATTCCACATATGCAGCTCCACCGTTTTATTCGGCTCAAGCACATACACCGTCCCCTCCGGCAACAAATCCGTCGCAGCGTACTTGCCGCTCAAAATCTGCAGCAGCACAGGCACAGTGGGATTCACAAACGTCGCGTTGTTGATATAATACGTCCCCTTCCTGTTATCCACGATCATAGCCAGGTTGATGTCCGCCTGGCCCAGCTCAGGCACGCCCGGCGCACCAGGGTTGATGAACGCGTGCAGGTTGCTCTCGAGGAGCGGGTTGACCGATTTGGCCTGCTGCGTGGTGGGATCCACGTCCGCCGCGCCCTCGTACCGCAGAACGGCCATGTTCAGCCCGCCCGCGAACGTGCCCGCGGCGTTGCCCGTGTTGGGCATCGCGCGGATCCAGTAGTTGCCGTTGGCTTGTGGGTCCGGGTCCGTGGCGTTGAGCACGATCGAGTACCGCTGCCCGGCGAGGATCTGGAGCGAGTCGACGGTGAGCGGCTCGGTGAGCTGCCCGTCGGCCTCGATTATCGTGAAGTTGTGTCCGTCGATGGAGAACGTGAACGTCGGGTCGCACGAGAGCGAGACGAGCCGGAAGCGATAGCGTTTCCCCTGCTGCACGGTGATGTTGGCGAGGGGAGAGGCGGGACCGCCGGCGTATCGGCCGAGGCCGTTGATGAGTGTCGAGTTGGGGGAGATGCCAAGGATGCGGTTGTCGACTGGAGCGGGGAAGTGGTACCAATCTTGGAGGGTGATCACGGTTGTCTCTGCGGCGCGTCGCACGTTATGGGTTGTCGCCACATCTAATACGAAGCGTACTCACCATCATCAACGTCGTACATATCTGCCATTGGATCCTCAGGATCGTATATCACCAACGGCCCGCTAAGACCGTCGCAATACTGCGTCGTGTAGTGCGAGTGGTACCAATATGTGCCCGCCTGGTTGTTCGCGCTGAATTTGTACAGGAAAGAGTCGTTCGCCGGGATCGGACACTGCGTGACGAACGCCGTCCCGTCATTATAGTTTGTTCCGTTTTGGTAGATCCCGTGCCAGTGCTGCAACAAGGGACAGGCGTTGGTTAGCTAAGAGGATAGGAGAACACGAAGTGGGTGAAGACGTACGACTGTGGTGGAGAGGTACATAGAAGGGTCGGTCATTTGGTTGGTAACATTGATGCGGAAATCATCGCCCTGCAGGTGACGCGTTGTGTGAGTTCGTGTCGCACCGAGGGACCGCCATGGCACGACAGCGCACCTTGTTAGCCGCAATGAGCGGGCCGGGTAGCGTTCCACCAGCCAAGGTTGCACTGCGACAGAGAAGTTAGCTCATAGTATGCATGATAGGAATGAAACTCTGTGCAAAACGAACGGGCGACTCACGACCGATTGTACCCATCCGGCGATATCGCCCTGTTCACGATAGGTAGTTCTGTAGTCGCATTGAGAACGTCTGAACGCGACGCATGTAGTACCTGCAAGGCCGTCGTACGAGAGACGATCGAAGCGCCAGAGACCACAGGAGCATTAGACAGCAGCAGTGAAGCCGCTAGCGAGAAGAAAGGGATGCACGCGACCATGGCTAAGATGCTATTAGCTAAGGAGGTAAGGTTCCTTGCTCGTACCAGCGAGGCAGATTAGTGGATATATGCGTCAATAAATTACGGTGCCTCCACCGCTGAAGGAAGGTTTTATAGAGCCAAAAAAGCGCCTCAATTCTCGTACTGTATGCCATAATACACCTCGGTGCGCCGGCCGAAGGCACACATGGACACTTGAGTCAACGCATCACAGAGCACCGGGTCCAGGGGCGGACGCCGCCTTGCAAGGACCAAGAACAAATGGTAGACGATCCGTGCGTTTGATATGTATACCACACCGAGGTTTCTGCGAGCGAGACTAGACCACAGCTGGACTGGATCGCGCTGAGAAGGCAGGCGAAGTGGAAGGAGAGGTGCCGCCGAGTCGAGGAATGCGACCGGTTTTGCGCTAGTGACTTCGGGAGGGATATGCTTCTGTCAATTATCCCCCTGTTTGCTGTGCGCTGTGGCCCTGCCGAGCGGCGCTAACGAGAGGTACGGTATGTGAGCATATCTGCACGGACAGTGCCTCCGCGTTTGGCGTACAGACAGAATGTCTGGACCGGGCCGATTCGGACCAGGGGAGAGCTGACTGTGTTATGAGGCAAAGTGTTTGAGGCCATAATCGATGCGTTGCACACGTACACTGGTGGTGGCGCATGACTAGTCCACGGAGACGTTAAGCTGACCAAAGGTGGTGTTTCAGTGACGGACTCAAGACAGGATAGGGAGCAAAGAGAAAGAGATGTAAGCTTCTTCATATGGAGTGACGGCCGCCACAGGAGTTTGCGAACCGTAGGATGCAAAAGGCACGAGCATACAAGGGGCCTGGAGACGGGTAGATTGCCAGAGAGATGGAGACAGCGACAATAAAATGAACGGCCTCGAAGTACCGACGATTCGGTGGTAGTCGTCGCCCGGAGTACTAGCGTCCGCGTCCATGCGTTCCTGTTTCGTTGTGCCCTCCGAGTCCGTATCCTTTGCGGACCGGCGCTTCTCATTCTTTAAGCGCAGCCACAAGTGTCCTCGCCACCGCACTAAGGGGCCGGTGCAGGGCATGTTGCTTCGGTCATGGTCGGCATGGTGAAGCAGGAACAGTACAGAGCCACGACTAAGGGCATAGGTCCGCGTCATTTGGGTACTAGTAGCCTAGCGTGCCGGTAGGAGAGTTTAATGCAAATCCGGGGAGCTTACACCAGCGCGTCTGGACCCGAGCGTACAGGCTGTGAAGCGGTGAAGTGGCGATAATGCACTAGCTATAGCATCGTCGGTATGGTCCCGATGTATGCTGTATAAAGACAAGAAAAGACGAAAGATAAGTAGCACAGGTCGAAACGACGACGAGTGCGCGAGAAAGACCACGTCCAAAAGCTGCCGGCCCTCAACCGGCTTGTTTAAGGTTAGGCGTGCACAGCCACGCCCGGGCACCTAAATCTCATAGCAGCACCTGCAAGTCTGCGACATTATAGCGCTCGTCTCAACGGATGCACACGAGCGGCCCCGATATAATCTTCCGAGAAAGAGGGCCGTGCGCGGAGTCGTCTGGGTGTTCGGTAGCGCCTTGACGGAGTGTAATATACTCGGGCACGCGACGCCCACCTTTCTTTTTCTTTCATCTACTTATTTACTTGCTCGTTCCACCTGGTGAAGGGTGCAGGAGGGTACGTTGGTGGGGTAAGGGACGAGTGGGATTGCCGGTCACGGACGCTTTCTGCTTTACACCTGCTTTACTCTGCCGCGTTGCTCACACCCCAGTTACTGGGTGGCGAGAACCTGCTAGCTTGACCAAGCGAAGGACCTCACGTGCTAACACCGGCCACGGGGACGCTGAAAACGCCCTTTGGAAGGGGAGGGCCGCCGGTGTTTGCTCCGTCGGTGGTTCTGAGGCGGGATCGCATAGGGGGCGGCGTATATAGACCTAGCGTAGTTAGCACTTACGTAGTATTGTTCGCCATGCGGCATATACTCAGGTGTGCCCTCGGCGTGGAATATGTTTCACGAAGTTACGATGGGTATATGCATAATTATACAAGATCGCTAGCAGTATGGATACAGTGGTCAATGAACAAGCAGCACAAGTCGTAAGTAATTAAGGTCCTGGCTGATCGTGCTTTACTGAGAATGATCGAACATCGCCCATCAAGCGCAGGTCATAATTAGTGTAAGTGAGTTCATGATGGGATGAACAGAGCGGATTATGCATGGAAGCCCCCGACAAAGTTTCCGCGCGAGTCGTTCCTCGTATGTGCGGGAGGAGGGCCAGCAGGCTGACGAGAGGCATGAAGTGAGTAAAGCGCACGATTATGGGCAGAGAAACAACGGCAAACGCACCGGCTGATACTGAGGCTGCGCACCACTAAACCCCTGCTGCTGCGTATACCCCTGAGTTGCACTGTCGCCGCCCATGGGCTTCCCATCCTTGTTGTACGGCGGGGGCGGCGGCCCCGACGGCGGAGGGTACGCAGTCTGGGCGCCAGGACCACCTGGACCTTGCCATGGCTGCTGCTGGGGCGCTTGCATGCCGTTGCTAGGAGTATACGGCGGAGGGCTCTGCCAGAACGGGAGGACGCTCGACTGGTTGGCATTGCTGGTGGGCCAGACGACGGGCTTGACGCCCGCGTTCATGAGGCGGCGGCGACGGCGAGCCATGAGGGAGCAGGAGAGAATGAAGAAGAGGAGGGCGATGATAGCTGTGGAACGGAAGGTGAGATTTGAGCGGTGTTGGGGGAGAAATGGAGTGGATTGGCTTACCTATGGCTAGTCCGACCCACCGACCATAGTTGTTATTATTGTAGCCATTGTAGTACTGAGCATTGGTTTTCGAGAAGAGCAGGGCTAGGGTTGTGAAGAGGAGAGGGCGGGTGTAGGTGGACATTCTGGATGTTGGAAACAGAGGGAGGTGAGGAGGAGGCTCGAGAATGGACATGAGCTTTACATAGCCTAATATTGAAACTGCGCAGTCGACGTTCTCGCTATGGTGCAGAGTTGGTGCGGTGACGTCGACAGGGGTAAACCCTAGGTGGCAGTGTAAAGAATTCTATTCGGCAATGTCACCGATGCGGCGTCGGCCATCGGAATCAGTGCCAGTGGGCCGTCGGGATTCAACGTTCAACCGTCCTCGTTATACCATTCATTCTCTTCCCCACGACGGACTGAGGGTTGTATAAGTTCATATCTTGTAAGCTGCTTGAGTTGTACGGACATACATGCAACTAATAGTTGCACTTTATCAAATCACAATACTTCTACGGAGATTTAGCTCGGTCTTTACCCCTGCTAGTGGTAAGCGGAGGCTGTCCGAGGAAGTTCGAACAAGAACGCGGCCGTATAAGCGGCATGCAGTTGAGGCTGTAGGGATGCCAAAGCAATTATCAAGCGACGCACAGCAAGCTATGTCAAGGACTAAGATAGGGGCTTTTAAGCACGTGATGAGGACGAGTACGCGACGGCAACGATCGAATTCGGAGGTTGCCATCGACGTGGAACGAGCCTTGCCCTTGACCTGACCCATCCCAGGAGGACAACCAGTGCAGCTCTACCATGTCTCGCTTTGTCAGAGCTTCCAAGTACAGGTCCGTCCCTTCCTGCCTCTCTGATAGCCACTAAGGCTGATCAAGGTCATGTCTACTTTCTAATCTATCCTCGTGATCGTGTCTTTTGGCCGATCGCTGGGGGATCGCACTCGTCGCGACGTCTGCATTCGACGGTGCGCTCTTGCTTTGGCTCGTCTGGATCATCATCGGGAATGTGAATGTGGCCGGGCTGACATAATGGACCCGGCGGGGACAGACACGTTTACGGCCAGCAGGGCAAGAAGGAGTATGGCTACGAGAACGTCAAGGTCTCCAGCTCAGCCTGGGACACCAATCTCATCTCTGCTTCTGGCGTAAGCTTATCTCGCCCCTACCAGTCAGCCCCCATACTCACCCGCGTGTACAGCGCTATCTCGCTCTGAACTGGAACGCATCCGGTGGTGGCGCCTTCGCTATTCTCCCCCTCCCCACGCCCTTTGCCCCGCTGCCCACCGGCTTCCCCTCCAAGCTTCCCGACGTCATCCCCCTCGCCCGCTCCCACACCGCCACGGTCCTCGACACCGACTTCTCCCCTCACGACGATGCCCTCCTCGCCTCAGGTGCCGAAGACGGCAAAACCTTCATCTGGAAAGTCGACGCCTCCACCTTCCAGGGCTGGTCCGAAGACGACTTCGTCCCGCGCGACTTTGACCCCGTCGCCCGCCTCGACGTGTCCCCACGCAAAGTAGGCCACGTGCTCTGGCACCCGACGGCGAGCAACGTCCTCGCGACCGCAAGCGGCGACCACACCGTCAAGCTCTGGGACCTCGCCAACAGCGAGAAACCACGGGTCGTGCTGGGCCCGCATCAGGACGCGATACAGTGCGTCGCGTTCGATCCGACGGGCACGATGCTCGCGACGACGTCGCGTGACCGCAAGCTCCGGATATTCGACCCGCGTGCGGGGCCCGACCCTGTGCGCATCGCGGACTCGCACGGGGGCGTTAAGGGCGCACGGGTGACGTGGATGGGCGATACGGGGCGGATCGCGACGACGGGATTCAGCAAGATGAGCGATCGCCAGGTCGGGATTTGGGATACGGCGGGGTTGACGAATCAGAAGATGGTCACGATTGATCAGAGCGCGGGTGTGCTTATGCCGTCGTGGTGCGACAACGGGATTCTGTTCCTTGGTTAGTTTCTCTGTTTATTTCTGACTCGCTTGCTTATATCCTCTGGAATCGGTGATGGTGGTGGGCATATGCAGCTGGCAAAGGGTGCGTTATCTAACTTTCGCTTTCGCGCTTACCAGGCGCTCACCTGGCGCTTGTCGTACCACAACAGAGACGGAAACGTGCGCTATTACGAATACGACTCGGACTCGCTGCATGCGCTCGCCGAGTACAAGTCCTCGGAACCGCAACGTGGCATGTGCTTCCTCCCGCGGCGCGCGCTCGACGTCGGCCAGTGCGAGATCACACGCGCGTACAAGGTGTACGGCGGCACTATCGAGCCCATCGCGTTCATTGTCCCGCGCAAGGTGCGTTTTGTATCACCCCACCTCTATGAATCCTTACGTGGATTGAAATTAATTGCGAACTTCGTTCGGGCATGTGTAGGACGACTCGTTCCAGGCGGACATCTTCCCCCCAGCGCCCTCGGGTGAGCCCGCGATCGACGCGCCTGCCTTTTTCGCGGGCAAGCCTGTCGAGCTGCAGCTCGTGTCGCTCGACAATGGCGCCGTTGTGGGATCGCAGAGCGCCACCGCTCCTCCCTCTAGTGCGCTCACGCCCACTACTCCTGGTACGCCCCATTTCCCTACATTGCACTGGATGCTGGCGGTTGTGCTGACAACAAGATGGCTGTGTAGCCCCGTCCACCCCGGCACCCGTGACACCCGCTAGGGCGGCGAGCATCCCCACCCCGGCAGCCTCGTCGCCTGTCGCGAGCACGCCCCCGAGCGCGACTGCGCCTCCTGCTGCGAGCGACGATGTACGTTTTTATCCCATTACTTGCATTGTTGACTGACATAGGCGTTCATAGGGCGAAGTTGCATCTGTCCGCGAAGAGAACGCGCGCTTGAACAGCGAGCTGCGCGAGGCGCGTGCGATGATCCGCAACTTGGAGCTGCAGGTCGAAAGTATGAAGGCGAATGCGAAGAGGGCTGCCGAGGCGCTGTTGAACGCTTGAGCGGTGGTTCCTGGTTTGCGGGGAGTAGAGCGTGAGGAGATGGATACCAAAATGCGGTGGTGTTGTTGTTTTTGTTTCTTGCTTCTGTCTTTTGTTTTGAAAACAGATTTCTTGATTGTGGAGATAGACAGTGTATTTGTTATTACATCTTTCGAGTTGAACATACGCTGTTATGGTGCTGGCCCCTATCTTGAGGTCGGGCTCGGCGCATTCGGCCCGTGACGTTGACCACGTGGGGTTGATGTCAGAGTTTTGCCATTGGCGTTGCTCTTATCAAACAAGTTTTGTCGGTGATCTGACAGTATGGACATCCTCTTGCTCTATCTCATAAGCTCAAATGAGCACGCTCGGGAAGGCCATGGAGCAAATGTCTACGCCGCGTACGAACGAATTGGAGAAGCACAGACAGGACTTGGAGGATGCGGCTGAGTTTCCGGAGGGAGGCTGGGCAGCTTGGTGCACTGTGCTTGGGGCGTAAGTTCAGTTGTTCAGAGTGTCCCTGATTTCGAACTGAGAGGGATGTGTATAGGTTTCTGATTCAAGTTTGCAGCTATGGGTGGGCCGTAGCAGTGTGCGCGTTGAAGATACGTTGTCTCACGTTTGTCTAGGTATACCACGTCTTTTGGAGTGTATCAAGGTGAGCAAGCTGTTTTAGCCTCTCGATTAGGCGGAGGGGTGACATTGATGGCGTGAAACCTTAGATTATTACACGGAAGCCTACATCACGAACCAGTCTACTTCTGCAATATCGTGAGCAGCTCGAGAGCGCACTCTCCTATCGTCATGGCCTGATCACCTGTCTGGAGATAGTTGGATAGGAAGCGTAAACGCGTTTCTGTACGAAATCGGGGGTCTGGCGTCTGGACGCTTGTATGACCGTGGATATTTGTGAGCACTTCATCCATGGTAGATTGCGCTCGCACGCGAAATTGACGTTCGTCGAAGCTACCCCGTGGTCTGGGGAGGGTGCCTGTTGCAGGCTTTCTCTCTCTTCATGCTGTCGCTTGCGAAGCCGAATCAGTACTACCAGGTGCGCGTATTCCAACTCCTAACTTGCCAGAAGGTGACCACAGGTATATGCAGGTCTTCTTAGCCCAGGGCGTAGCATCGGGCCTGTCTGCCGGAATGCTATACGTGCCCACCATGGCCGTCGTAGCGCAGTACTTCTGTAAGCGACGTGCGCTCATCATGACCATTGTCTCCTCGGGTGTAGCAGTCGGCTCTGTGATACACCCCATTATGCTGAACAACACGTTGAGCGGAGACCGCTCCCTGGGCTTTGCCAACAGTGTTCGAGCGAGTGCGGGGCTCGTCAGTGGTCTGATGCTGATCGCATGCTGCCTCATGCGTACTCGCCAGAAGCCGCCCGAAACGAGCGTCGACTATCGCAAAGTCGCCAAGGGCTGCGCTACGGACGTCGCGTTTGTGTTTGGGACGCTCAGGTGAGACTCTGGCTCCGCCGAACACCGATCAATCTGTGGCAAGCTCTTGACTGACAGTTTTGGATAACAGCTTAACCATCTTCGATATCGCGTACTACTATCCCCTATTCTATATCCAACTCGACGCCGTCTCGCATGACCTCGACTCGACGTTTTCGTTCTACTCTGTTCGTCGACTCCTCTGTCAAGAAGTTGATCTGATTGCGAAGCTAACATCATGCTAGCTCGTGATCCTGAATGCCGCTAGCTTTGTTGGTCAGATCGTAGCAGGACTCCTTGCTGACACATTTGGCGTTCCGAACGTACTGGTTCTGGCTACGTTCGGGGGCACCATCCTGATATTCGGAATGATAGCGATCTCTACCATCCCTGGGTTTGTAGTGTTTGCGATAATCTATGGCGTGTTCTCTGGAATGTGTACGTCGCCTTCTGAAAGTGCCCGTTTCTGCCTGTTTACTGAAGAAGTTACCGTAGTTCTCGCCATGTGGTCACCAACAATGGAGGTACTGACTCCGAACAATGAAGAGCTAGGGTGCGCCGCGTCCAAATGCTGCTCTAACCAACCCTGACATCGCATTAGGGCACGGATGGGCATCCTGTGTGCATTCATGGGTGCGTGTTTCTTGTCTTGCATCCGAAACATATGTTCTCAGCTCGATTCACATAGCAATCGGCGGCCTTATTGGTAAGTAAAAAACACCGTAAAAATCCTTCTTCCTCTGTCCTCCTCGCTCGACGGCGTTCTCATCGGCATGATCAAACCTTCTACAGGATCTCCGATATCAGGTGCGCTCCTTGGCAACTCGTACAAGTGGTGGAAGCCCGCGCTATTCAACGGGGTGCGTACACCGTCGCCGTTCACTGTTCGGTCACACATCTGGCCGTAATTATGTCCCCTGGCGCTCATGTGCCTGCGCAGATTGTCGGCGCGCTCGGTTGTTTCTTGGCTGTTGGTATGCGCCTTACCATCGACAAGCAGCGCTTCCGTGGTATCAGCATCACTGACCCCTGAGCTGCACATCGACACGTATGGGTGGGGGAGCATATGGTTCCTGCATCGCATTCGGAGGCGCCCATTTCATGTATGGGATAGACGCGTTTGGGAGATGGAACGAGGCACACGAGTATACTACACATGCGGTGCCGCAGTCCCGCTGCAGCGCTCAGTTGTTTCATGTGGAGCTTTAGAGACGTGCTTGGTCTGCGCCACTATCTTGTGCGTAGACTGGATGCACCTTGTGCATCCGAGTGTCCCACAAACGCGCTGCTGTAGACGCGCGCTGCTGCTGCGATGTCGTAGAGCTGAATTTGGCTCATGAAACGCTAAATATAACATTGGTTTGGTGCTGCCGCTTGGCCGTCAACTAGACAAAAAAACTGAATGGAGCACCTCCACAGCTTCGAGGGGGTGGCTGAATTCGAATCAAGGAGACGGCACTGTCCATGATGGACGGCTAAGACTTATTCACCGGTTAGAGCGCTCGAGACGCTGCTGACCTCGCTACTTAGGTGCGGCTAACACTTTTTGGCCGAGTGGGTGTATTAGGTGACACTCGTAGGCTCCGAGGTTATCGGGAGGATCAAAAGTGAGTGTCCAAGTTGTCAAACCAGTAGATTAAGTCATAAATAATACATGTGCGAGGGAGCGGTGGTATGGGTCGATAAATGCGGGTTATAGATTAGGGAGGGAAAAGGGGCTACAGTAAATGCAGAGGGTTGCAGAAGCAATGAGTGTGGAATAGTTATGTGGACAAGTGATTGAGTCACGGTGTACCAGATTATGGTTTTTGTAAGTGAGTAAGATATTGGAGACAGCTGTGCGGTTTACATGATTCTGAGAGATCGCTTGTCGTGCAAGCCAGGGTTAGCCGAGTTGAAGGTATTGTAGGCGGGACAGAGTTCGTCATAAGCCTCTGCAAAAGGCACGTTAGTATCAGTCAGGGACGGCGAGGAGACAAACACGAACCCGGCACGCTCTCGCGGTGAGCAGCTGTGGCAGATGGGTTTTCGGCCATCACAACGGCGAATCCGCTGCACAAGGGAATCGATGAGAAACATTCAATGAAAGGCGCAGCTATCTTTCACGTACTGGTTCAGATGCCAGTCGATGTGGCAGTGGAAGAACCAAGGACCACTGTTATCTGTCACGAAGCGAATGGTCACGTTGTCACCGGGGCTGTTTCCGATTGATACGGTGTCCCGTCGCGGTGGGTTCACGAAATTGGGCGTGCTATTGCCTGGTGAGCGTATCACGTCGAAGTTATGCTGTATGAAGCCGCTAAGTAACCAATAATGTCTGTGGATGGAGGAGACTTACCCCATGAAGATGCATAGGATGAGGGGACCCCAAGGCTGCGCCGTTGTATGGTATGCTCAGCTCTATCACCTTGTTCCGCGGAAGTTCGTACACGGAGCCTTTCGGCATCAACTCCGATGGATGTATCGCGCCGTTGAGGATCTGGAGCAGGACAGGGACACCAGGGTTATTGAAAGTGACGTTGTTCATTGTGTACAGGTTGTTCGCCATTCCGAGGTCAAAGTTGATGTTCACATCTGCCTTGCCGATCTCAGGAACACCGGGAGCGCCGGGGTTGATCAGTGGATGGATGTCGCTGTTGAGTAAGGGAGTACTAGGCACAACGGTGGAGTTTGTCGGCTCCGCATCTGGTGCGCCCTTGTAGCGCAAGATCGCCGAGTTTTGCCCACCCTCGAACGTCTGATTGGGCATGTTCGACGGCACACGGATCCAGTAGTTATCGACAGGTTGATCGGCTTTCACTATTACGGAGTACCGCTGCGCGGCGAAGACCATGATCGAGTCAACCTCAACGGGCTCTATCAGGATTCCGTCGGTCTCGATGACAGTCATCTTGTGTCCCGCGATGGTGAAATTATAGAAAGGGTTGCACTGCATGCCGAGGATGCGGAAGCGATACGACTTGCCCTGCTCGACTTCAATGACGGAGAGGTTGACAGCTGGACCGCCAGGGTAGCGTCCCCTTCCGTTGATGAGCGTCGAATTGGGGTAGACAGGACCATAGATGTTGTTGAGAATTGGGGCTGGGATGTGATACCAGTCTGCAAGGGTGATTACCGTGGTTTCTAAATGCGCCTGTGAGTCACCAATATTCTGAGATAGCCGGTTTACTTACCATCGTCGACGTCGTACATGTCAGCGTAGGGATCCTCGGGGTCGTATATGACGATCGGCCCTCTCAGACCATCGCAGTACTGCACAGCGTAGTGTGAATGATACCAGTACGTTCCCGCCTGCCCCTGGGCGTTGAAGTTATGCGTGAATGAATCATCAGGGACGATTGGGCATTGAGTAACGAAGGAAGTGCCGTCTGCCCATTGAGATCCATGCTGGAAGATTCCGTGCCAGTGCTGAAAGAGAACGTTAGTCGTGATCGGGATCCGAAGCCTGCTTTACTTACTACACTAGTGACTTCGGCCATGGTCGGGTTGGTAAGGTTGTTTATTACGTTGATGCTAAAGTTGTCGCCCTGTACACAAATAAGATACGCAATGAATACTCCACATGAACTTGACCTCACCTTTTGTGCCTGGATCAATGGCCCTGGAGTGCCTCCATTTACGACAGTAGCCCTGAAATGCTCGGTCAGAAAGTGCTTGAGGAGCATACACGCGAGACGTACAAACGGGTAAAGCCGTCGGGGGACACCACCGCGTCTGATATTGTGAGGTTGGCGACAGGTCCCACTGGCGTAGGAGACCTGATACCAATGGTACCATTTGCATGCGAGCGAGCGACGTGATTAAGACGCGATATAGACACAGCAAGACAAGTTGGAAGGAGAGCAAGGCCGTACGCGAGCCAGAGCATCTTGAAGAGTGGAAGTAGGTGAAAGGATTATAGAGTAGATTATTAGTGGGAGCCTTAAGTACGTTTGCACGGCTAGCGCGCAATAGAGTACACCGATTAGATGAAGTGTGCGTTAGAGATGGCGGCTGGCACCCGATAGACGATGAGGTTCAACTGAGTCTCAGGTCCCGTCGCTTCTGCTTCATATATACGGTTCCTGAGGATCCATAGGCAGAGCTATGGCATTTCGGTTGTCTCGGTCAAACGACTACGAAAGCTCCGCCTGCAGGCCCAGGAGTCAGGGGGAGCAAGTAGTCGGCGCCACTAGTGTCCATTGGATGCTGTCCTAGAAAGTCATGCTATAATCGATAGCAGAGAAGGTACAGCACGTACGCATATAGCATTTACAAGGCCTATAGGAGCCGAGGAATGCAGGATCTAACTCGGCGATGGTAGCATCTAGTCTGGTTTGGCGCTCACTGCACATATGGTTCACCGGGGGCAGCGCTAATCATCTCGAGCAATTATGGCCAAGTAACCGATAGAAGTCAAGTGGAGGTCAGAGTTCGGTATCTGTATGGTTAACTGGTTCATACATCGTTTGCGACTCGCATCCGAGCTGCACTCGCCGTGGTGGAACCCAGCAACTAGCTAACCCACAATAGGTAAGCGCCATGCCGAGGACTGGGTGCAGTGCAGAGGTGTACGGTTCGGCAGACCTGGAATCCGAATGGTTGCAGAGGTTTCGTATGCAGTATGTCAGGAGCTATAGCATATGCGGTGCCCGTGGCAGCCGGTAGCGGTGATGGATGAAAGCGTTTAAGGTCTCCGACAATCCCGCTGTCCGCGCCCGCAACGCAACCACCAGGTTCAAACTCAGTGCTGACTGAGTTTGATTCTTTCCCTAATTTATATATTTAACCCCTGTCTTGACGGCGCTAGACTTTTTTTGTGCGTCAATGTCAGGACCAGTGCGTTGCAGCAGCGTAGCTGTGCTTTTCGAGACAACAGAAGCACAGTACGTTACATCGGAGCGGTCCCGGTGCTACTCGTCTCGGATGCCCTCACTCAAGTGCTCAAGGATTGCACATGTTTGAGGCTAAGGGTCGGCGGCCTGCGATAGCGAACGGCGGCCAACAGTAGTACGCGCAGATCATGTGCGCATGTCTTGGGTACCACCGAAATTTTGGATTAAAGCAAACTAGGTAACTCATTATAGTCCGTTTATACCGCGAGGCATACGAAACAACTGACCAAGGTAACAGGGACGTGTTCTACGTTTGAACGTGGAAGCGTTCCTGGTATTCGGACTGCAGTCCCTGTTTGGCGATATAGCTAATGACGTTAGCGTCAACGTCTCTTAAGCTTGGGGGAGTAACCTGGCTACCCTGGCGCCAATCTCATTAATGTGTGTGGGTGATTCGGAACACAGCACTGCGGGGTAATATACCCGCAAACGATGAACGATACTTTTTCATTGGAGTTGCTCAGGCTGTTCTTCATAAGTAGGGGATATAGTGACCGGAGCTTGAAGGATGCACTGACACAATGGGAACTTAGTGACAGCAGGAATGCAAGCTCGGCACGACCAAGCGGTAATCAAATTGCCCGAGCTATGGCTTGGCTGTGACTAGGGTACGAGAAAATGTTCTGGTGCTAGAGTCGGTACTGGAGTTACGAATGCAAGTTGACAACACTTCGGGCATCGAATCAAGGAACCCAAGCTTTCAAGATTCTATTTACTTGCATAAATCGGGGCAATCAAGTACGCAGAGAATATGAGGCGTGTTTGGCGGAGCAACGGGCCGACGTGGGTGCATTTCGCCGAAACGCTGCCGCGTATGCTCGCTAGTGGCGTCGTTGGCCCCTTTTGCGACGAGTTTTCGTCCTCACTTACATTCTTTTGGTCTTTGTTATTAAGGTGGATTCTTCATCGATACTGAAGAATCGTCCGTTGGCGCTGCTAGACAACAGCTTTAGTGCTTCAACGTCTCGCGTCAAATTGCAAAATAGGATGGTCAGATGGTACGCGGCCATAACTGGCACTCGTTCAACTTGCTTTCCTTCATTATAGCCTCGGCCGTTGCTGAACTCTCGTGAATCTATAGCTTTCAACATCAGACTGATGCTCGTGAGTGAAAGAATACTTGCTATTCCCGGTTTTGATTTAACCGCTAGATTGCCGAAGGAGGCTGTGAGATAGGGAGATGGTGGCGTGCGTTCTTACGCTACTTTCCCACCAACACGATCCTAGGAAATGCCTTCGGGATGTGAGTTACTACACTGGGTGAGTGTTAGGTATGGTATATCATAGTTGCATTTAGGGAGGTGCACGGCAACCGATTTCGAGATCCAATCATCGTCCAAGCGCAAACAACCCATAAGGGTATTGGATTTTGATATCAGTACTTGTATGTACGAACCTCGCTCGCATTGTTATGGTCATACGTTACTGTAGGTTTCACTCGTTCTCATCTCCATTACTTTAGCTCAAGCAGTCATATGTAATTAAGATGTGTCATAGCTTGTCGAATCTTCACCCAATCAAAAAAAAATCCATTTATTGTCCTCTGAGGGTCCGCCCTATGTGAGACATGATAGCTGTCCGGTTTGTGTCCAGTAGTAGTTATCGTAAGTACTAGCGTTTTGTGGAGTGATGACAGTGGCTCGGTTGAGCATTCACCCGATTGTCCTTCGGGCTTCCCCTCGCCCGGGACAAACGTGTTTGTGTTGTCGCGAGCTCGGAGACGTCATCACACTCCGCATTCTGGTTTGATTGTGAAGTAGTATATCCAAGGTCTAACAGAACAAAGTCAGGCAAACTTCGATCGACTTACACTTCCCCACCAGCATATTTCATTTACTAGTGCTTTGAGTTTTCGTTATTAACTTCGTAAAGGTGTCAAATTTGACAACTTCTTTGCCGAGTCATTGCTTATAAAATCAGGCAAAGGCGGGGCTGATAGAAGTACTGTACCACGAAGATTACTTGCTTAGTGAGGACCCGTGATGCGTTTCAGGTTGAGGTATTTATATATATATATATTTTACTCAGAACATGAGATACTATCGTCCTATAGCTAGCACGACCTTGTTGTATATTAGTGCTATGTAGTTCTGTGCAGAAATTGAATACATGTTACCGAGGCCCCCTATCACAGTAAATGCTCTGCCAAAGGACTTTTACAGATGAATGAGCATGAGAAGTAGAAATCCACGCCCATCAATGTTCGTCATTCAAAATTCAGCCTGAGACGTAGGTAAGAGGTTGTTTCGCGGGATATGAGGCACGTATTTTGGAGAAAGTTAAATACGCTCAAAAGTTCTTCTCGTTTTTTCCTTCCAATATTTCACTTGAAACCGAGCCAAGTGTGGTGTAAATATTTCCCCTAGGTTGAAGAGGGTGGTTGAGAATTGGCACAATTTGAGAACCCAGCAGTGTAAAGGACACTAAGTATATCTTTTAGCACGCTGACCTCGGCCTCACTCATTGAATCCATGATGCGGCATTGTTAACAGGAGATATACCGGATCCACATGCTCTTCATTGTGGGTTAAGTATCTCATGGCCTGTTAAGTGAACGACTCGAGAAGAGGGCGTTAGGAAGTTTCAACATATATTGCTGGGTTTATGTGCATCATAGATGATCTGATCAAAACCCAGTGGCGTATCGTCTTGTGACATAATGAGCGTCAAGGTATACCGGGGATTGCACCCTGGTTGTAGTTGCGGAGTTTGTTATGGGTGAATATGTTCAACCAGTGGGCTTCCAACTTGGTAAAGATCTCGTCGCGGTTGAGTACTCATAAAGAAGCTCCTGCAGAGTTTGGCGAGGATAAGCCTTGCAGAAGCGGAAGAGAATATGGAATGAGCCGGATGGAGGCCTCGAGTGAGTTAAACACCGATGCTCACACGGGCCTGGCCTCGGAAATGCGCGGACGGTGTTCGGCGGCGTTTACGTGCTGCGGGGTGTGTCATTGACGCGTTTTGGCGCTGACTGAACTTGGCCGACACTCCGAGTTCGTCGCCCGTCCTCCACCACGAAAACTTCTCCCTCTTCACCACGATGAGCTCGACTCGCCCCAGATGGGGTCCGCTCACCTCCTTCCTCTTCTTGTCTCCCTTGTTCATTGCTCTTCCATGGTTTGCCCACAAGCATCAATACAGTCAGTACAACCGAATGCAATGCCAAGAAAAACTCCGCCTTCTGACGTCTTTCTCCCACAGCTCTCCCCGTGCCCAACTCTGACCTGTGAGCACCTCTTCTCCGCACTCGAGTCCAGAGGGAACTGACGGTCTGACAGGTATCACCCGACGACAAACCTGCCCCTCATTTCAGAGTCTGCCATCCTCGGCTATGCAAAGTATCTCTCCGAGGACGTCGGCTATCGCACACCTGGCACGCGTGAACACGCGCTCGCCGACGCGTGGATGGTTGACAAGGCGAATGAACTCAAGGCCGAATGTGATAAGCTCGTAAAGGACCAGGGACGCAAGCTAGAGTGCGAGGTTTGGCGGCAGGAGGGAAGCGGTAGTCATAGGTGCGTGCCAAAGACTTTCTGCTCTTCCCTTCGTTGCTTACATTGTGTCTGTGCGCGACTTTGCGTGTCTGCGTGATACGACCGCCATGTAGGTTTGACATGATGAACAAGCGCCTTTACAAGCGCTACGTGGACCTGTCTAATATCGTCATCCGCGTTTCCGATGGAACCGAAGCAGGCAAAGCCGACGCCGTCCTCGTCAATTCCCATTTAGATAGTACCCTCCCCAGCCCTGGCGCTGCGGATGACGCCCTCGCGGTCGGCGTGATGATTGAATGTATGCGCGTCCTGATCAATACCCCGGACTGGTCACCCAAGCACGCTGTCGTTTTCCGTAAGCAACTCTTTGTTTTGGCGCGTTTTCGAAGGAATTGACGCGTCTTCAAGTGTTTAACAATGCAGAGGAAAGTTTGCAGGATGGTTCACACCTGTTCTCGACGCAGCATCCTATTGCTAGCACGTGAGTCCCCATAGTTATCCACCGACAACGTGTTTAACACCCCTTCCCCCAGCGTTCGTGCCGTCGTTAACTTAGAGGGTATGTGGCAATTTATATGATTTGGACTATAGCTGACTCGACTTAGCTGCTGGTACTACTGGACGGGAACTTTTGTTCCAAGCCACGTCCGGCCAGATGATTGAAGCATACTCCAAGGTACCAAGGTGCGAAAATCTTCTGCTATGAGTTCCCGCTCTGGGCTTATTGTACCTAGGCCGTACGGAACAATTTTCGCGAACGAGATATTCAGCTCTGGCATCATTCTCTCGGAGTATGTTCTATCAACTAGCATCTTCGTATGTGCGCGTTCTTACGAGTGCATTGGACAGTACGGACTTCCGTCAGTTTGAGCAGTATCTCAATGTCACTGGCCTTGATGTGAGTACACTCCAGCGTGCAAGAATGATGTGGCCGTTTCTGAGGCCATTTCTGTAGATGGCAGTCGTCGGTAACAGCTACTTGTACCATATGCGCAAGGACCTTGTCGAGAATATCGAACCAGGTGTCGCCCAGGTCAATTCTTCTCCTTCATCTCGCCTTTCGCGTAAGCTGATTGTGGCCGCTCACTCCGCAAACAGCACATGGCAGAAAACACGCTCGCCCTTCTGGACCACCTCTCCTCCGCGTCGTCGCCCCTGCCAACGCTCACAGACGGATACACGAAGCCCACGACCGTTTTCTTCTCGCATCTTGGCTTCTTCTTTGTGTACTCATTTGCCACTGCCCGTGCCTTATACACCGCCCTCTTTGTATCCTCGGTCGTGCTCGTGCGGATCGTCGCGACGGACTACGCGCCCGCACTCAGGCGAAGTACGGGCTCAAGCATCTGGCACGACCAGATGAAAGGTGTCGCAGCATGCGTGGCGGGTGCCGTGGGCGCCATTGTGGGCGCGAATGTTGTTGCACTGCTTATGAGCGATCTTGTGCTCGGTAGGCCACTCAGCTGGTTTACGAGCGAGAGAGCACCAGTACTGCTGTATGCGCCTGCTGCCCTTACTGGTACGTCTTATTTCCTGTTCTCTGAAATTAGGTCGCGAATATGTGCTGAATGGTGATTACTAGGCGCGCTGATCTCCCAGCTTCCCTTCGGCCCGATTCACGAGAAGACGCTTTTCACCTCCCAGCTGCTCCTCACGTCCTTCCTCGCCGCTGCGGTACAGCTGGCAGGCGTCGGGTCTAGCGCGATGTTCTTCCTTTCCTCTCTATCCGTCTTCGCTAGCCTGATCGTTAACGCGGTGGTGGTCAACGCGAACAGGAAGGGAGCGAAAGAGGGCGAGGTATCGCTTATCGCGTACGCAGTCGCACAGAGCGTGCCATTGCTGACAGGCACGCAGCTCGTCACTGCAACGCTGGACGTGTTTGTGCCGCTGGTACGTACCAATCTCTCACTATCATTACGTCTTCATCCTGGTCTCAACCCGCCGATTTGTTCCTTGTCGATTCTAGACTGGCCGCATCGGTTCTGATGCTCCCGCGGAGCACATCATAGCGACGCTCGTTTCCTCTATGACCGCATATACCTTTTCGTTGGCGCTCGCATTTGTGCATCGCTTCGGTCCCCGTGTTCTGCGCCGCGGGATTGTTTTCGCGCTCCTCGTAAGCGGCGTGTCGATCGCATACTTTGCACAGCGTCCCGTGTTCGACGAGATGCACCAGAAACGGCTGTTTGTGATTCACAACGAATCGGTATGTACCTTACCCCTTTGTGTTTGACAATGTCATGGGTCAGTACTGATTGTGGTGCTGGTCACGGGCGGCTGGAACGTGATTAGCTCGATAGCAAGGAACAACACTTGCACATCGCCGCTGCGGATGGTGCGCCCGGGTTCGATAGACTCGTAAAGGACATTGCGGACAAGTTCGGTGCGGACGATGTTCCGCCTCGCGCGGTGATTATGGATGATTGGAATACGGATTGGGATACGCTGTATCCTTTCTCTGCTGTGCGTACAGCTTCATTCCCTTTCTCTTTATCCGCGTTTCTCTCCTTCCTCGTCCGCACATCGGCAAGAAGGCTGACATGAGAATCCGCGGTGCCGTAGTTCCTATCGCCATACAAGATCGACTTGCCGCTCGATCCGGCGTACGAGGCCCCGTGGCCGCCTGCAGAGCGGTTTGCGGTTACAGCGGTGGACAATGTTGTTGATGAAGTGCAAGGCACGCGGAAGATGACGCTCAAGATCGAGCACCCGGGGATTATCTGGACCGGTACGTTATCTCCCCATTCTCTTCTGCTGCGTTTTCGCCGATGGCCGACTTAATGTGCCTCTCTTTCCCCCTGAACTACGTAGTGATCACGTTTGATGCCCAAGTCGTTGCATGGGAGCTGGACGACCATCCCCCTACCGAATTTGCGCGGCATCACATTAAGGAGGCCTCCTTCTACGGCCGTGACACTTGGACGCTAAACCTTACCATCAAGCTCCCTAATGATTCTTCCACTTCCACCGCCACCGCCACCACAGGTGCCACCACCGACATAGGAGGACTAAAGGTCGACTTCATCGGGATCCAGGAGCGCCGGATGTGGCCCGGCAAGAAGGCTGATTCGGACGGGAGTCAGGCTATGAAACTGTTCAAGGCGTTCGATGAGTGGCTTGAGGAGCACGAGGGCGGCACGGTGGACGCGATGATTCTTGGGTGTCTCAGCGGGTCTGCTATTGTTTGAGTCCGTAAGCAGTCAACTGAACAACTAAACACGCGAATTTGAGAAGAAATTTTAGAAGCTACACGGCAGACGTCTAGACGATACAGGTAGTCGCTCGCATGGCTAGGTACATACTCCACAAAGGGCTTAATCACCGCATTGTATAAAGAACGTGACTGGGTAGTACGTTCCAAGACTTGGCCACTATGAAACTCCGTTTTCAATATGGGGTATCTCTGCATCTAGCGCTGATATCTTTTGGTTCTGACAAATCAATTGATGAGCGCTCCGTCGGCAGACTGGGGCCTTTTGCGACGTGCGGCAGCCACTGGCCGAAGCCATACTTCATACGGCTTCTAATCAAAACACCAGCCATGATATGATACCTTGTCCGAATCGGCCTGTCAAGTTTCCCGATCATCTGGTTTCTATGCAGCCTCTATCGCGCGGCAGTCTAGAAAGGGCTGGTTTTAGAGATTTTGGACAGTGGAATGGGTATGGCCGTGCAAGTGCGGTTGCTCGGGATCCCTCGTTATCTATCACATTTACGAGAAGAGGACCATCGTTTCCACCGACGGAAGGAACGCTGCACATAGGTAGCTATCTTTATGCTTTTTACTCTGTAACACGGGACCGAAAAGCCGCTTGCGAACGTCCGAACGGCGCTGGACGATACGAGGGTGACGGAACACGGCGATCGTGTCGTGCTATTTGAGTAATGCAAAGATGATGCAAACTTCAGCCACAGCTCAAAATTGCTTCAGTTCTGCCCCTTGTGCCTGGTTTGTTGTGCGGATTTTGAGTCTACACTGTACAAGGAAAGACAAGGAAGCGAGTAAAGGCATTCATGGTAAAGGCACCTCGCAGTGTTGTGTCAAGTCTAGCCACTGACGAGATCGCCGAAAAAAAAACATGCAAACGGTTATCTGACCATAAAATGCCAAGTATAACCTTCCCTTTTTCCCGTTCAATTCAACAGCCAATAATAAAATCGCGGCGCTGCATTTTATGAATATGGAGCCTCCAACATTTGCGAGTCACGCACATTTGCCTCAAAAGACCGCACGTAGCCAGGCAGCATTTTAATTTGTTCTGACAGAGGACATTCGATGACCTAAGACATCAAGTTCTCTTTTGTAGATTTACCGATCAGCCGCAAGACAGATACAGCAAAAGGCACAGATCCAGGGCGGGACGTAGACGACACCGTTGGATGAATAGGGGTTAAGCAAGCCGAAAAGGGTAGATTTCAAAGTCAGATCTCGGAGTCTAAACAAACTAAGCGACACTCGCTGCCGTCGCCATCGGTGGAGACGACGCGACTTGGACATTGACCGTGATTCGGAACGGCCAGTTTCATTTATCCCTGACACTCATTGCCACGAACAGCTCAAACCGTATCTCCTGGAACACCCCACATCAGACCTGACCGATGTTCGCAATATCTATCCTGGGGTTGCTCTTTGCCAGGACCTGCGGTCCTGTCAACTGTGAGCGTAGCGCTCTCTCAGATTGACAACTTTGTTGCAGTATACCAATGCGGTGAGAGAAGTTATAGCTTAGCTCTGGAATATACTAATAGTAATATAGCTCCTATCTATTTATTCGCTAACGCATCAAATCGATGTCTCGACATGGTTTTATGCTGCTGGATATGGGACCTGACAAGGAGCACCAAATCCATCGCGTTTAACATTTGTGCTATTTACAATGTAGGTGTCGTAATCGTAACACCTGCAACGGCTGATAATTTGATATCCGCGAAACAGCTTTTACTGTGCGTTAGTGGCGCAGGGCATAGGTTGTCTCTGCATTCTTCATTCCGGGAAATGGTAGGATGTCTCCCGAATCAGTCGGCGCGGTGTAGCGCTCGGTCTTGGCCATATATGAAGGGTAAAGCAGACCAGTTGAGACGCACCCCAATCCCTCTCGTACCAACGGGCGCGTATCGAGTAGAAAACACCTCGTTGTCGCCGTCCGCTACACCCTGCTCGTGCTGTCATACCGAAGCAACACTGCCTCAAGCTGTTTTCAGCTTTCATCTCCTCTCATTAACCTCCAGAATGCTCTTGCTCTTGCTCTTGCTTGCGCTCGCTCCGGCTTGTCTTGCCGTTTCTGTGTCGCGTGTTGAATCGGGTGATTATGGCCCCGTTACCGCCTACGCTCCCCCTCCGGTTGGGCCTTCTGCCAACCTGATTGTCAATGACGTTATAGTTGCACCCGACGGTTTCGTTCGTCCGTAAGTCTGCATCAAGCTATCTTGATTCATGGTCATGACATATCATTCAGGGCTACGGTGGTCAATGGTGGCACGCCAGGACCACTCATCAAAATCAACAAGGTGAGATTTAGCTTCGTTATGGAGTCCAACGGCGTCGTGCCTTACCGCAATCCAGAATGACCCGATCAAGATCAATGTGATCAACAACCTCACGAATCCTAACCTAGCAGAAGTCACCAGCGTCGTAAGTGCAGCGTACACCGTTCTTAATTTCACGTAATAAACCCTGTACTGTACTAGCACTGGCACGGTATCTTCGAGCACGGTCGTCAGTGGGCCGATGGCGTGGCCTTTGTGACACAATGCCCGATCATTCCGAACGACGCTTTCACCTACAAGCTCAACGCCACAGGTCAGACTGGCACGTACTGGTACCACTCTCATTATTCGGTCCAGTACTGTGATGGGCTGCGAGGCCCGCTTGTCATCTACGACCCCGAAGATCCATACGCCGATATGTATGACGTGGATGACGGTACGCTTCTTGGACGTGACACCTTGGACCAAAGCTCATGATCATGGTTAGAAAGCACAGTTATTACTATCGCTGACTGGTACCACCAACCTGCAAATCTTCTCAATGCGACATTTGGAGCCGTCTTGCCAGATGCGACGCTCATCAATGGCAAAGGTCGCTACTGGAACAGTACGTCGGACGTAGACCTCGGAGTCATCGAGGTTGAACAGGGAAAGTCGTACCGCTTCCGTATCGTCGGCATGCAATGCAACCTTTACTTCAACTTCACCATCGCTGGGCACAAGATGACCGTCATTGAGACTGACGGTATCGAAATCGATCCCGTCGAGGTAGACTCCATCTCTGTGTTCGCAGCGCAGAGATACTCTGTCGTCGTCACTGCTAACCAACCCATCGACAATTACTGGATTCGCCTCACCTCCGAAAACACGACGTCTACCTTTATCAATGGAATGAACTCCGCCATCTTCCGTTACAAAGGTGCACCCGACGCGGACCCTACTAACTCGACTGTTACTTCCACTACGCCGCTAATCGATAGTAACATCCACCCGCTCATCAACCCCGGCGCACCTGGGGTACACGAAATCGGCCAAGCAGACGTGAACATTAACCTCGACCTCGGATTCAACCTCACCAACACTGTTAACCCTTACTTCTTCATCAACAACGTCACGTTCTTTAATCCAGATGTGCCGGTCCTCCTTCAGATCCTTAACGGCGCTGTACACCCATCCCAGCTTCTGCCCAAAGGTTCCGTGTACGAGCTACTACGCAACAAGGTGATCGAGCTTAGTCTTCCCGTGTCAAGCACCGCAAACGCGGCGGGAGCTCCTCATCCTTTCCACCTTCACGGCGTACGTTTAAATCACACGCGCACCATAGGCTCCGTGACACTGACGCCATATTCACCGCAGCACGTATTTGATGTTATACGCGCACCCGGAAACAGTACACCAAACTTCGTGAACCCTCCTCGGAGGGATGTGATATCGACTGGCACCCTGGGCGATAACGTGACGATTCGCTTTGTCACCGATAACAGCGGACCTTGGTTCCTCCACTGTCACATTGACTGGCATTTGTCCCAGTACGCCATCAAACCCGTTCGTTGTCCTTCAGGCATTTCTGACCAGCTTCTCATATTTAGCGGGTTTGCCGTTGTAATGGCGGAGAACCCTCCCGCGACAGCTGCTCACCGGAATGACATACCCAGTACGCCATCTAGATGTTCTTTAGCTGTCGCCTTTCTAACTCACGCGTAATTTCTAGCCTCCTGGAACGAACTCTGCCCAGACTACAACGCCTTCATTGCCGCAGATCCCGATAACGGCAGGTTGTTGTCGCACGAGTTCGGCATGCTACCATCCACCGAAGAACAGGTTATCCTTTCTTTGCCGGAGTCCCACATGCGGTTTGGACACCACGGTCTGGATCCGTTCTAGCCTCCCGCCTACACGATGAAATACCCTGACTGACGCGCCCATTTTACGATTTCTTGGCTTTCACGAGTTATTCGGACATGTACTTGATTCCTTGACTTGATTGTTACGACTGGTATTTACAGCTATCTCCCCTCACATTATGTGTAATCTTGACTACTCCTCTTGCGCTAGTTAAATGAATTGTAGAGTTGAGGAAGCCGACTCGCATCTTGGACGAATATTGAGACAGGGGGATGTGCTCCCGAGTTCCAGTCTTTAGTCCCTCCGTATAGCAATTGAGCAGGCACGTCACAATGGCCTTGCACTCTCGGATGTTTTGCTTAGCTAGGCCATATTGATAGCGAATCCACCCTGGCAGTAAGTCGGGAGCGGAGTCGCGTTCTGAGCGATAGATAACGATCCTAAGTGCGTAAATACAGGGATAAATGCTCGCCCGTCAGCATCAAGGAAGCTGGGGATGCCACTACATTACAGTCACGTACGAATGGCATACTCAGATGTAGCCATTCGATATATTTTCTGAATGAACTGCAGCTGTCTATCTCATTCAAGCGTGGACGACCCTATTATATTCCTTACCCCTTCTACCTATCGGGTCGGTGTGCCATGAGGCTTCATTGATCAATGCCTGTGTAATATCATGGAATCAGTATGTTCATGACGAATAAACTGCCGATCTCTCCGATTCGAGTGCGCAGAAATAGAAACAATCACACAACAGGATAGTTATAGCATGTCCCGATAAGCTGCTGGGCGATAGAATATAACATCACCCATGAGTGGCATTATGGTCTAATGTGGCCTTGTTCACCATCCGGAGCCTCTAACAACAGACGGAATCAAGGGGAATGGTTGACCCATCATTGGTTCAACTCTGGTACGTGCTTACCGGTTAGCACTCAAGCAATGACCTAGCATTCTCTGACACAGCTGTGCAGCAGGTTCGTCTAGTCGCTATCAAGGCATAGTAGGCAAAGCAAAGAATTATGGGAATGGGAAGCCGATCGGAACGAATACGTTGAGAAATAGGACATACATTCATGGCGACATGAACGCCATCCGCTGATCATTGCGTTGGGTTGGCTATATACCTTCCCATCTGGGACGCTTACACCTGAGGGGCGTGTAGCGAGTGAAGCAGGTCACCCTAGAAATATATGAAGTGGATCTTAATAGGTAGCAGTGATGCATTGATGCCCTGCAGCTTCTATACATGCTGAATTCGTGGTTCCGTTTGAAGCCCACCCACTGGCGGAAATACGACTGATAACCATACCGTTTCGTAGACCATTTCGGCTTCCGGCGGTAATTATTCCACAACCGCCGAAGTACCCCAAAGAAACCACGTTTTCAGGATGCTCGAGCACTTGAGGCCTTGGCTTACCATATTCCCAGAGTCGGTCGATTACTTCCATAATAATTGGCAGACGGTGATAGGGATCTGTGAAGTAACCAGGGTCAAAGGGTGGAACAATGAGATCGGCCGCGGGACCGACAGTCCGTATGGTAGAAGTGACGTCGCTTTCCCAACCGCGAGGCAGACCAGGTACGGGGCAGGACGCGTCTACACGCGAAGTGATAATTAACTGAGCAATACAAAATCAAGGGTGATGGAAATTTACATAAACACACATAGTCAAACATGCCACCTGTCAAGCCTAGAACAGAAATAAGAGGAACTGATGCATGCCGCCGGACAACATCCCTCTCCTCTCCCTCCAGCACCCGTACCCATGATGCTACCTTGGACGTGGTGATATCAATCGTGGTGCTCCCGAGTGTGGCGAGGAAAGCGACATGAATCGGAGATAACTGGCGCGAAGCGTTGATGGCTATGGAAAACGACGGCGAGATTGCTCATCGAATGAGGATTCGGGAGCTTTGAAAAGCCCTTTCTAGACAGATAGTGATGGAAGCGAGAAGAAATGGTGCTCGGTCCGAGTGTCTAAGTGACAAATGAAATATGACTCAGTTTCGAACCACGGTTCTGATTACGTCGAGATGGTCAATGGAGAGTGTAGACGGGGAATGCTGTTGGTGATGTTACCGGCAAGTTACCGGATAATATTACCAGAGAGCAACCATTGACGATACTAGGTATCGCGAATACTATCGCGGGAAGATCTATGGTGGAAATCTTGAATTGGGTTTGGCGGGCAGACAGAGATGCGGCACTTGCCGGCAGATAGGTCATACGGAGGGGTCGGCGAGAAGCTTCCGAGGGGTTTAAGCTCCCGGAGCTTCAAATTCTGCCAAGGGGTGGCTCAGGAGATGAGCAGGAAAGGTGAGCTAACACGATTCTGAACTGTCTCCCCTGTCTCCCCCATCCGAACCATCTGCCATCGACGAACACACCCGCCCGCTGTCTTGAAGGTCCTGGCATGAGGAGTTGTACATCTCCACTCCCATCGCTTCGTCAGGTACACTTGCTGCCAAGCAGCTTTTACGACCCGAAACTCGTTTTTTCATTACGGTAAGTCCTCTTGTTCTCGTACACTTTATGATAAAACATGGCATACACTAGTAGGTACTAGGTCCCTTTACAGGCTCAATGACATCGTCCTCATCACTCGTTATGACGATAATGTCATCGTCGGGCCCAGGTTTGAACTTCTTCTTCATGGGACGGGACCTGCTATGATCATCGTCGCTGTTGGGGGTCGTCAGTTCAATTTGAGGTGCGCTTTTAATCGAGAGACAGGGAGAATAGGTTGCTGATGCTGAGCGCTTCACGCTTCTTGGGAAGAGGGACAGCAAACTGGACATGTCATCATCCTCGATTTTCGGTGAAGGGGACTCCATTCCCTTATTTGCATGAGCTGACTCGATTTTCTTTGAGGTGCCAGGCTCTCGCGAAGACAGAAAACGCGAAGGCGATTGGAAGACATCCATGATCGCCTGATAGGTGGAAGTGGGCGTGTAGTAACACCCGTTACCAGGTGCGTCCCAAAACCGTTCATCGTCACGATCTACTGACGGAGGTACAGATACCTACTCGAACTCAGGGTCATGCAATAAGGCAAAGACGTAAGTTCACATACCATCTCAAGGTTATGACTCGTGCAGAACTCCGCCGTTCCCCGAGGGTGGGAGAACTCCAGGATTTTGGCGGGGACCTCAAACTTCGCAATGTCATCTTCGGCAGGTCTGTCCTTTGACGACTGACCCTTGGGCGGCTGCGGGAAGTCATCAGGGGTTGCTCTCACTGCCTCACTGATCAGCCCGCCGTTAAAACGGACTTCATAGTAGCTCGCTCCGTCTCGAGTAGTGCGCCCGTGAATTGTGAAGGCATGGGCGCGGATAGGTTGACCAACACTGCCCTCAAGCTAAAGCCGACGCATCAGTTCTGATCTCCGGACAACCAGTATGACGTACACGAAACATCGCTCGCATGTATATCCCGGACCAGACATTATCGCGAATATACTTCTCCACTTTCGCTGAAGGCCAGTTGAAGTAGTGTTTGAATAGAGAAACCGCCTCTGTTACATTCGGCTGGCGGGATTGTGGAGAGCGCAGCCCGCCAATTTCTCGAGGCCCATCAAGTGTAAGCGAGTGCGATGTGACCGGGCATAGATAGTTCCCCAGCACAGTGAGTGACGGAAAGGTGTTTCGAACATTGTCTGCTATGCCACCATGCTTACGAGTTAGTGTCCCCTCGGTGTTGTTGCGTAGCATGTCTCGGAGATCTCTTCTCCAATCCGTACAAAATCGTAAGAATTCCGGCGCTGGGCAACCCATGTATGCTTGAACAAGTTTCTCGCCAAGCTCACTCTTCGCCAGCTGCGAAGCAACACCTATCCCGCAGCCCTTAACACCACCCTGTAAGATTAAAAACGTAACTTGAAGTCAGCCCAATCGGTTTCAGAAACAATCAAGCACCGACCATGTCATAGTCTGCCCCAGAGAGCAACGCTACCAGAAGTAAACGCCGGCTATTCCAGCCGCTTGCTCGGATGGACTCCTCGGTGTGGATCTCAACCTGATGCTTCTTGTTATCATCGCCGTCTATGAGTCTAAGTACACTTGTAAGTGAGCAGTTGGACGTTAGTAACACACTATAAACGCACTCTCGGATTATACATCCTGCTCCAAAAAGCACAACATCGCTATCACTAGTTAAGACTCCGTCCACATGATTCATCCGGTTCATGGCTGCTAGCTCAGCCTCTGCTTCACCCGGTGCCTAATGGTTATTCAGCAACACACTTATAACAGAGTAGCATTTACTCAACGGTGTGATAATTGAAGCCATACGCTTGAATGAAGTCCTTGAACCCCTGTTCCAACTGGTGCTTATTCTCGGTGTCAACGTGCTTTCCCCGCTTCTCGGTGGGTCGTTCACTTCCATCAAACACAAATAAAGGATGTACTGGGAGGCGAAGAAGATCACTGAGCTTATTAACAAGGATTTTGAGGTCTGCACATTGACCGATGCGAGCACTATTGATGTGACGGCTTCGAATGGCCTCTGCAGCTGCATACATCCAGGGACTTCGCCGGATATCAGCCCACAATGCAATAGAGTAACCTGCTATAGTGTATGTACCTAGCATCTATCCCAATCCGCATGAGTCTGCATTCCACACCTGTATCGGTTTTGACCGTATGGAATCCCTCGTCCATCACATAGTTGCCAAAATCGCACTTTTGGACGTGCGGACTTGGAGATAAAAGCTGCTTCAAGTTAGTTCTTGATGTCTGAAGGAAGCCAAACGACGTACACTCCAGAGTTTAGGAGGGCCCATGCTAAATAGACAGCTCAAACGCGAGGGTGTCGAGGAAGGAGAAATACTGTTAGGGGTATATCGAGCATTCGTGTAGACGGAATGAATGATGTCACTCCTCCTATACCAGCTCGATTGTCGTGCTCAGCGCTTCTCAGCGCTTTAACTTATGCGGGCTTTGTTGTTTCCTTGACCTCACTCACAACCAGTAGTGTCGGTCAATAATCATATATTGATTAAACAGACCTCACAGTGCTGTCATACTAAACCAAAGATCACAAGCGTGAAAGACCATGGCTTATCTGCCGCTCTGTGAGGAGTTTGCCATAAGCGTATCTTGTCCGTTCTTGCCGAGTGGTGGTCAGGGTCCGCAACATATCTCCGTGTCTACTTGTCTCATGAGTCAATAAACGGCGAATACAACCTGATGCCTGAACAAAGCAGCGGCAACTTGGTGTTGCCAGGTCTGCCCAAAGCTGCGAGCCGAACTGAAATTGCCTACGCACCTCTTCATCCCAACGCTCATCACACCTGCCACGTCTGCATCCCAGCCATGTCCATCTATGAGCCTGAAGCCGTCCTTGACACGCTCAAGAAGTCGTCGCTGGCAAGCCGAAATTGACAGAGGTTTGAAGATGAGTGGCGGGCAAACGTGAGTTTTTCAACGGAAGAGACGTACATAGCTGCTTACCGCATCTATACCAGGTCTCGAACCGAGTTTCAAAGTGGAAGGACGCCAATAAGAACGTCTACCCTCGCCCCGACATACAGCTTGAATGGGAGTCTCATGTCGTCGAGTATGTTTCTATGCTCGCAAGCCACGACCGGTCAACATCCCGGAAAACCAAGGCACCATCACGATTTGGGAGCGACGTACCCCTCCTTGGCCCACGGTTCATTCCGCCTCGCTATCTTCAGGTCCTCAAGCGCCCAGGGAAAGCTGAGATTAAGGCAGAAGTTGCGTACCTGCATCCTTTCACCACTGTCCATCCATTCTACTTCCCTGAGCTAGTGTCGCAGTGTCCAGCATGTGGCTCCACTGACGTTCAGTCCGAGGGATGGACGGGATCAGGCCCTCGTGAAGTCCATGGCCTATATCGAGAGGAGTCGGCACTTGGGTTGCAGCTGCGGTGCAACACCTGTCAAGAGAAGAAGCAAACAATCAAGGGGACATTGTCAGTGTCAACGCATCTGACGCACCCTCGCTTCTGCTTTGCGACAACGGACCCCTCATTCTGGGCTTCTTGGGAGCATTGGCGCGTACCATGTAAGTCCCTGGGTTATGGTTTATCACTGTTGGTGGCTGACGTACCTGCAGCGGAGATTCCGTACTTCCTCAAGCGGTCAGCAGTCACACGCGAGCTGTTTGACTTCATTGTTGAGCTCCGTCCTTCGACGACGGCAGGAGGGCTAGCCGAGAATGTCAAGCGTAAGCCTATTCACCCCATTCCCGCAAGCTCACTATGTGCTCACCTTTTATTCCGCAGAGCTCCATCTCCTCGAATATTGACGGCGCTTTCTCGATTACTTGAGCGCCTTTCGTTATCGGAAGAAGCTCAGCAATGGTCAAGATTTCTTCATCAACCCCAAGCTTGAGACGTTCGCTCCCCCCTCCAACGAAGACCCCGACTCATTGCCTCAGTACTACAACCGGCCCATTTCAGTCGAAGTCATCACTGAGGTCTTCGAACACTTCAACACCAAAGGACGACAAGCGGAATCCGAAGAGTATATGAAGGGACTCACGGGTAAGTGGTCTGTGCATGCACTGTGTACAACATCTCTAACGTGCTCGTGTCTTCCAGCACGAACCCTTTCATTTGACGCAACATTTCGTACGGCAGCCAAGGCAACTCTCATGAGTTCGAACAGGCAGAAGGTGAAGGTTATGAGGGGTGGGGTCTTATCACTGTTAAACGAGAAAAATGAGATTGTTGGCTGGGTACGTTCACTCACCGACTTGACTCTGCGAATATTCTGACCAGTGTTGATTTAGAGGTTCTGTGAGACGGCATCACACGCCGAGATCAAGCAGATCTTAGCCGGCTTTAAGCAGCGCTGCAATGCTCTGTGCGTCCCTGGACCCGAGATTGTCGTGGTAGACAACTGCTGCCACGTTCAGAGTGCCATTCAGGCAATCTTCCCAGACACAAAGGTCTCGCTTGACCTTTGGCACTTCGTCATGCGGTGAGCTAACGTTCTAATAGACAACTTGACATCAGTTTACTTACTATGCGAATACAGGTATTCGGGATGCATCGTCAATACAACAAGGAACCCACGCCAGAAGGAGGTTGCAGCGTGCATCTCCTCCTGTATTGTTGCCCAGAAAGCTGATGGAGCAAGCCAACACGCAGTGTACCGGTCTAAGGAGGAGCAGGAACGGCGGCTTGTTGAGGCGTTTGAGTATTTTGAGCGGGTAGGGGGCATATGGGGTCGCTATGCATCAAAGGTATGTCCTGTATCATGCGAGTATCATGCGTGTGACACTCACTATTGCGCTTGCCATTACCACTTGACTCAGGTTCATGCTGAGCAGCTTCAGCACGTTCGAAAAGGCTGTCTGGCAAGACCGCGCAACGACATAGCCTCCGACGGAAGCCGTATCGAGGGTTCTCACAAAGGCTGGAACACGCTTAACCGAGCGCAGCCAAGCGGCATTGAGACAATGTCAGCGCTGTGCCATGACTTCGTTCTCCGCAGGAACATACGCATTGCTAGCCGCCTCGAGGACCGATCCACCTTCATCCAGTCCACCTTCGGCTCGCACCATGTCCACTTTACTGACTACGTTGCAAGGCTATGGAATCAAACGTGCATAGAGACTAAGTCTACCAACCTGCTCCACCTCCCTATCCTCGCCAAAGTCGACTCCAACGAAGCCTTTGGTCTCGTCCCTTCAAATTATTTCCTCAGTTTTGGCGGTAACATCGAAGTCAAAATTGAAGAGAGCCTTCTTCTCGACTCGGACCTCAGCGGTGTGGGGATAGAAGACGTTGGCGAGGGCTTGGCAGCTACGACAGTGCCTAATGACATGACAAGTGTCTCTATGTCAGGTAAGGGCTTATTCTGCATCGTAACTGGACGCACCTTAATCGTATACACCATCAACAGCTGCCACCGAGGTTGACATGACCGTGTATCACTCACACATTGAGTTGACGGCAGGTGATTCTGCGGAGCAGGTCACTGAGTCAGCTTTGACCAACTTGAATGCTGGCTCGGATAACACCATCGTAAGTCACTACTGCTTTACTTATCATAACGAGACGTACCGGTTGACAACTACATCGCCAGCCCTGCGCTCTATCACCCGTAGCAGGTGCACCCCTCAGCTTGGAGTGTCAGCCTCAGCTACCGGATCCCGTGCCGGTTTCTGAGTCTGTACAGCAAGGGACCGCCAAGCTGTCATCCCCGAACAAGCGCAAATCCTGCAACAACGAGCTGGACAACATCCAGCCGAAACGTACACACCGAGAGCTCACGCCGGTCGACGCACTTCGGTGGCCAAAACCTGATCAAATTGTAAGTTCTATTGTTGTCGTACCCATCCCATAATGTCGTGCTTGATCTAACTAATGTTTCCCGTAAATAGTCTCGACCAGTGACCAGTACATCACGTTCACATGGAGCCGAAGCGTCTGGGACGCTTCACAGCTTCTTCCATCCGGTAGCAGCTCGCACGTCAGCAACACCATCTAGCCAACCCTCCGAGGTTACACGACTCCCTCCACTCCCTCCTGGTCTCACACGTTCCGAGCATTTCTTCAGCATCTCGACCGGTATCGACGCTCGTGCACTGCGGATTGAAGGCGACGCCGAATTCTACCTATTCATGGACATGCGTGCCGAGTTCAAGTGGCAGTCTTACAACATGTCGCCGAGAAAGTGGGTTCCCGCAACGGATGTCTACAACAGCCGTCTCCGCGAGCTCAATAGGGCGAGACAAATACCCACTATCGCCAAGCACCCACAGGCCCTTCTTCGGAAGCTCGGCGATATCGAGCGTTCAGTTCTTGATCGTATCCACACGAAGAACTTCACGTGTAAATATCTACTAATTTTGCTCACCTCCCAAGTCCTGTTGCTGACGTTTCTCACAGCTCAGCGTAACACCGAGACATTTTGGAAGCATCACTGCCAAGTCATTCAGCTTGTGAAGGAAGAATCGGCGGACAAGGTAAGCAGGTTAACAATTTGATAAGCCAGCATACAGCTGACGCAACTATAGAAACCTCGCAGGCCACCGACGTGCTCCCGGTGCCTGACACTCATGTATCCTGGCAAGCTGAGCGCTACCGGCAACCACAAAAAGGGTGTTTGTGGTGACGGTGTGCGCCAGATCAGAAAGGATCACGAGGAGCTGCCGCCGTGGCCTCAGCCCCAGGGCATCTTCTCGAACAGCGAGCATTTCCATCCGGCGGCATTCCTCAAAACGGTCCAGCAAGTCTACGAACAGACGTTCGTTCGTTCATCGGGCGAGAGCGAAGTACTCGAAGCTCAGGCCTTCGCCAACATGGTGGCATCCCGGACCACCGTCGACGACGGTGGCCAGGCATTATTCAAGCTGTATCAGGCCTTCGCTGTCGACGCGAGTACTCCGGACTCAGCGTTGGTTCTTCGCGAGGGTGCGAAGTATCTTCGAATCCCTTATCTTGAGCAGTAGTAGTCGCGTTTTTACGACTGCTCGCTCTCGCCCTCTCTCGCCATCTGGCTCTTTGACGTTCTGACTCTTATCTGGCTGTTTCCTTTTCTTTCCATTTCTCTTCCTCGTCATTTATGTTACTCTACTCGTACGATACTATTTACTCTACTTGCAGAACTAATCGCGCAGCTATCACCCGCTTTGGGCGATTGCTCGCGCTTGTCGGAAGGACTCGAGTCCTTTTCACGCGACGCACGAGTAGCTCGTACTGGGCCAGCTCAACTCGCACATTAGTTTAGGGGGCCTACCAGCTCGATCGATCGGTTCTACGTAGCTAGTCACATGTTCTTTTCTAGTCGGTCTTTAAAATTTGGTCGATTCGGTCATCGACCAAAGTCGACCGAATCGACCAAAATCGGTCGACCCCTTCGTATGACCTAGCTGCTCACTTGCCGGCAGGAGCTGCGGGATAGGGGCCAATGCGACATCAACGGAGCCGCGAGTCTGTTTTTACCCTTCCACGGGTACCATGACAATGCAATGAGGTGCAAGGACTCGTGAGTGCGTCGCCAGCTTCACTGCTCCTCGATACCTTTTCCATTGTCGTGATCATGTCCGCTGAACTCGATTTTCACCTCCCTCCTGGGTGCGCTGGGCAATCTGTCTCTTAATCATAACCTCAACCTAATGCCCGTCGCAACGCTCTCGGCCAGGACTGTTGCCGTCGCGTCGGGTATTCTGTTTACAGAGTGGGTTTTACAGTGGCAAGCCATCGTTGTCAGTCGCCACCGAAAGCGTGCTGGCATAAAGTACCCCCAACGTTGGTCGCTCTTTATTCTTGCGCTAGCTTCATAATCGCCGAGAGCGAGGCTTACGATCCCCCAGTTTACGCCGAGAAGGCAGAGATGGACAAATCTAGGGACGCTTTGCTCTTCAACTGTGTTCAAAGTAAGCTTCTTATCAGGTTGCTCGACATCTGTAAGCCTCATTCAGAGATGTCACGCAGGAGCTCATCAGAACACGCTTGAGAACATGCCTTTCATCCTCTCGACGTACGTCATACTTTGTAGATCTTCCGTTTGCTACAACATACCGTACTTGAGCTTTATGATCACAGGACGCTTCTCACAAGCATGAACTACCCGTACTACGCCGGCTATTCTTGTGGTTTCTGGGCGTTCACCCGCGTACTCTACACGCTTGGTTATATTACGGGAGAGCCTGCTAAGGTATGTCCGCAATTTGACTTACAAGGACAAGCAACCGACTGACTTTGATCACGTAAACTTTGAACAGCGTATCACACATGGCGGGGCCTTGGGAGAAATTCCTGTCTTAGGTGCGAGTGGAAGCATCTTCGGACAAGTTTGTTGTTTTGAATGAATGCTAACACTAACCTGTGACAGCTTTGCTCGTCGGCTCAACATACTCGGTGTATCGACTGGCTTATCCTTAAGTACTGGACAGACGACTGTTTATGGCCGATGACAGCCCCAAGGGACAATGGCACTAGTGGTGAAATGCTAGTTAGGTGTACAGTCGCCCCGACCTTTTGTATGCAACGCCTCTCTCCGAGGAATCGAAAAATATAGACGAGCTGTATTAATCAATATTTTCAACGGTCTGGAGGTCACGACGGGCTGACTTGCTTCTTGAAAGCAATATAACGCTGATCAGGGTCAAAGTCACTGGGACTAACGATCTTTCCAGCGGCTTTGGTCTCCCCCACCAACCGCTCAAGGCGACGGAAACAAACCGGGTTCTCTATATCTAATGACAGTATGACAACCATGATGGCGCGCGTAAAAAAGAGACGATACATACAGCCGTCAGTCGCTTTGCCTTGCTCTCTTCGGTTCCGCGGTTGAACGTTGAATTTCACAGACACCCACAATCGATGGGCGCCGAAGGCGCGGCTCGTGATCCGCCTAGAAAGTTTAACATTCCTGACAGTTGCAAGGCTCGCGACGAAGAAAAGCCGAGCGGGTGAGACGATTCGCGAAAGAGAGCGTTGCCAGAAGCCACGGTTTCTTCAGGGTTGAGGACCCAAAAAAAAGGATACATGCACGCCAATATGTCTAGCCGCCGTCACGGAGTAAGAACACTGGCAGCTCGAGTATGGATAAAAGCGAGACTATTACGGTATAACCCGTACAATCTTTTGCTCCTCTTCCCTCCCCTACATCTGTGGCCAACATGTCGATCTGGAAATCCCTATTCTTGTTCGATGTGAGGATGGGGTCTTCCCGCACTGACACGCATGCACTTACTATCATCAGGGAAAACATCATCGAGGGATTTTATCAAAATACGAGAGAATCTCTCGAAAACCAAGTTCACGAGTGACAATTACACTAGAAATCCGTGGAATCTGCGGGAATTCTCGAGATTTCCTCATGCCATGTTTGCAGCTGTAGTAAATAGTGGGAGTTTCTACTCCATTCCAAATGCATAGTAATGTATTGGTCGATCGGACAAAGAATCTTAACTTCAGGACAGGCATATGCTTGTATAGCAATTAGGGATACTTAAAAGAAACTCTCCATGCTATACATGTCTTGATGCTTGATACATCCGATAGCTAACATTGCATGTACTAGCTGTGAAATGAGAGGTCGCTAGGGACTGCGACGGCACAGGCGTGCTGTCCTCGGCAAGTTTGGGGTGCCAAAAGGGCAATCATGTTGTGTGGCGGCACAAGCCCGTGCGACCCCATATTTCTACAGTGAAAGTGCTGAACAATTTGGAGTAATGCGATACTCCAGGTTTTGATGGTACTTATAGTTGAAGGAAAGAGAATGAGGCTGATTGCATGAAGTCAGTGGGGTTGGGCGCGAACACAACGCAAGTCTACGCGAGCATGCCGTTTAGCTGTGTTGACGTCATAAATAAACATGTACAAATGTTTGACTTCGCACATTTTCTTCTTGTTCATTCCTCCCGTGTCCTTTCACCCTACCCTCACTCATACTCCCTACGCAGGCGCGGTACAAATCTGGCACCGTAAGCTAGCTACGTGGACCTGTGCTCGGGCTACGAGCTGCCCATTGCAGGCGCGCTCGACTCTGACGACAGTAACTTTGTCGTGAGCGGGGGGACGTGCCCTGCGCTGCGATATGGAGCGGACAGATCAGTGGTGGCGGGATGAGTGTTTTTCGCAAGGGTGGAAGCGGATCAGCGAGCCCCAGCCACGAGGGAAGGGGGCGGAGCTGGACCAGAGCTATTAGAGTATGATCCCGCCTGCGCATTTATCAAGTTGCATCCGGCCGTGCAGACAATGCATAAGTACCCGTGAGTTGATGCTCCAATCTCTTTCCCTCTAACTACCGCTCTGCTAACCTCCCTATCTGCTTTCGTTCTCTCACTCCTCCAGGTCCCCAGACACCATCATTGCTGCTGCACCCACCAAACCCGTGCTCGTGCCCATTCACGTCAAGTTCAAAAGTGACACGCTGCACGTGCACGGCCACTTCGTGTTGACCCTACACAAGCGCCGCCCAAGCCCGAGGCGTTCGCGTGCGTGTTCTACACTGACCCTGAGCTGCCGCAGACCTATGCGAAGATGGTCGCTGCTCAGATAAGGGTGCAGCTCGAGGATGTGAGCGACGTCGCTGCGGTTGAGATGGAAGACTTGGACGTGTTTTGGCCGCCACCGCCTCTTGGCGAGGCAACGGACAGGGGGAGGGAGGGGAGGCGGATAGATGGCCGGGGTCGAGGTGCCGGATTGTCCTGTTATCCTCAGTGTGAGTCCTTTTGTCCGTCCGTCCTTGAGTTGTCTTTATCCCGGACATTGACATCTTCACGCGTCTTTTCCCATTCTGTTACACCCTTGAGCTCACTCAAACACAAATTTCATCCCATCCTCCCCCATTATCCTCACTCCTGCCCATAGCTCGACGTCCAAATATCAAACTAACACCCCCTCGACCACGTCAAACCGGATCTCCGCTCCCCAATCACACACAAATCCTTTTCCCAGTCCCTTTACACGAAGCTCAAGCCGGCCTACGAAGACCGCATTATCTCTATTCTAGGCATCTTTGTGTTCTGGCTCTGTGTTTATGCAAGCTCGACAAGCAGGGCTCGGATGCCGTGATGAGTTTCATTTCACATTCTGGCTGGTGATGTAGTTGTAACTTGAGGATGCAATCTATAAGAACTCGTACGTACTTGCCTTCAGCTATGAACTCTGATTTCAGTGTTGACACAATTACCCAGTGCCTGGCTTCCTTCAGAACAATGAACGTCTCGGGTGCGGAAGCCGCCGTTGCCTCCGTCTTGCCCTGTTTGGTCAGGGTGAGTCCGCGTGTCTCGTGAAGTTGTCCCTCGAGCTCATGACTCGCTCGGAGCTGCACCTTGTCATGATGTCGGGCTTCTTGACAACATCGGGCTCCGTCCTGAACATGTACATCTCCATGGGCGTCCCCATGCAGACCCTCGCCACGTCCTCGGCGGTGAGCATGCCGGTGGCGACCACGATCAGCAAGCTGTGCATGCCCAAGGTCGACGAGCCCACTATGCACAGGTAGGTCATCATCGACTGCGGCTCAGCAGACAATAAAGACAGGCTGTCGAACACGTTGGATATATTTTTCAAGGAGCGCGTGGGCTGTAGTGCTACATACATTAGTTGATGATAACGATAATTGTTTTGACTGCCATTCTATAACTATGACATAGTGATATCCCGAGGTTCGGTGGTGGCAAATCAGGTGAAATTCAGTTGGCGAGGCATTGTTAGAATTCTGCGGATTCCGCAAAATTCCATCTGAAAACTTGGAAGGGACCGTGAAATCCGTCAGTTCCATGGAATACTTAGGATTCTGTTGGACTTTGGGATATTTGCGTAAAATCCCTCGGTGAGGTTTTTCCTGATGATGAGTTCGTTAGGTTGAGTACAACACGGCTTGTATTGTTCTCGTTGCGTTCGCCCTGGTCATGTGTTTGTGGATAGCAGCTTTCCGCAGCTTGAGCGGCGAGGAGCAGCCGTAAGTACCCCTTCCTCGGCCTGATATGCTCTGCTGAGACCTCGATAGGCAACAGCAAAGCATAATAGGTCGAATGTTTGGAGCGAGTTTCTTAGAAGACTTAGATATCTTCATAATGGATGAGCCAGCGACTTTGGTGGAAGAGGTATAGGCCGGGGAGCCGCTCTCACAGCGTCATGTCAGTTGTTCGATCTCACCTAACCTTCATGTTCCACGCCCTGCTTGCATGGGTGCCTTGTCTGTAAGCCTGTGTCTCTGAATAAGGCTCAAACTATATAGTATATGTATACCACTCAAGGTAAACTTATACAGATACGTATACTAGATATATACTATACAGTTTATATAGTATATATACAGTAGAGATGAGCCTAGGTTTTTTTCGAAATGACCTTGGCAAACAGCGCCGGGTCCTCCAACCATTTCTTGGCACACATGACTTCAGTAATGGTAGATGCCGCCATTGATGAGCGTGAGTCACGGCAGAGGTGATGCGACGACGAGAAGAGACGCTCGACTGACACAGATGTGGCTGGAATGGCCAGAAAATCGCGCGCCATGCACGAAATAACCGGAAAATTGGCTGCATGTGTCTACAAGAGAGTTAGTAGAATAGACATGTCGATCAGTACAACGCTCACCTTCCACCACTGCAGTGGTTGGCGATGGTCACCAAAGCCACCCTCACCCGACATCCAGCGTTCAATCTCCGGCAACACCGGAGTGATGGCAACAGGTGTGGGGTTTGTAGGGCGACGACCAAGCAGGGCAAGCGGGTCGGTTAACAAGTACACATCCGATGGCTCTGGTTCAGGTGTTGGGGTCGGGATTGACTCCTCGGCGTAAATCTTGTAGACAAGTTCAAAGATGTGCTCGGCCTTCTTCTGACCATCGCGTCCAAGGTTAACAAACCACTCGGTCCGAAGATATGGATGACAGACTAGTGTAGAAAGTTAATAGACACATTACAACAGCAGCATTATAGAGAGTGTACCGGTTGCGATGATGTTATGTTGGCAGCTCACCGCCATGTCAAAGTACTCTGTAAGTTTGGCTTTGCCTTCGGAAGCGGCAGCACGCAGCTTGAAGTCGATCTTATCATTGTGTATATATGAATCAAGTTGCGTCTTCATCTCCCAGTAAAGGGGAATGACCCAGGGAAGCGTTGGGCTAGAGTTTGTCGAAACCGTGTTGGTTGCTGTGGTAAATACCTAGAATAAAGTTTGTGAGCTCGGGCGAAAGTACTAGTATAACTGGAATGTGCATACCTCGAGTAAGCAGTGCAAGCTGTTAACCATCTCCCACTCGGATTTTGACAGAAGCAGTGGGCGTAGATCTTCGTACTGAAAGACCCAGACGTCAATAGCCTTAGAATACAATGAATATGAGCAGGAATCTCGGACTTCTTATGCTACGTACATTCTTCAGTGTGAGTGCACGCCCCATCATTGCATGGGTTGAATTCCAGCGCGTACGGACATCACGGATTGGCATCAAGCGCCAAGTAGGATACCCGCTGGGTTGAACCTCTTTCTTGAACTCCTGGATAGCAATACGGCGAAAGTTGGCTCGTCTAGAAGGAGAGCTCACGATCTTTTGTACAACCGTTCGAAGCTATGCAGGGATTTGTAGGAGTTAGTTGAGATACTTTGATAGAGTAGAATACACGTACCTTCTCAAGAACTGTCATGTTATGAAACTTCGGCGTCTCTTCCGGGTCGCATACATCCTCGTCACTATTGTAGTCACCTGTATAGTCATCCTCCTCGAATGCTCTGAGATCCTCAACCTCCTCGCTGACATCAAAGCTAACCGGGAGATGCTTGTTTAGTAGTTCGTAATAGTCCTGCTGCTTCGGATCGTCAACCTCCTTCAGTGTTGCCAAGATCTTCTGTACGACAAGGTTGATGACGTGGGCAAGGCACCGGATCTGCACATTTTCAGGATGAAAACCAACACCGTACCGAGCAAGAAGAAGCCGGCCCAATACACGTGCGCATGTTGTATTTGATGATGCATTGTCCATGGTAATAGAGAATAAGTATAGACACAATAGATATCAGTCAAATGCACGCAGACGTGAGGTAGAGCACTTATCTTATTGAGGCTACCGACCTTTGAAGCAGCATCGAAGAATGCTTTAGCTGTCCCAATACCGCTATGATCCTCCATGTGTCTGAAGTCAATGACGCGGGTAACAATCCTCCAGTCCTCATCAATCCAATTAGCAATTGTCCCCGCAAATGAAAAGATCATCTGCTGGGTGGTCCACAAATCAGTACTGTATGCGATTTTAGACTCAACACTCTGATGTACATGTGTTTATTAGCACACCTGAAACAGTTCGACAAAGGGAAGACTTACAGCCAGCTCTTCGACAACAGCATCACGCAATCCAGCATATATGCGGGCAATAGTGTTGCGGACCGTGACGTCAGATGGGAGGACAAAATCGCACCGGATATAGTCAAAAAGAGCGCGTAGAGAAGGTACTTTTCCGGAACTGAACGCCTGGTCGCTTTGGAGCAGCCACGCCGCAAAATGACGATTGAATCCCAGCTGCGAGGGGGAATGGGCGGGGTTGAGCCGGCCCTTCTCGAGCATCGCCGCCATGATCGCACGCGAGCGCTCAAGTTCAGCCTCCTTCACACGAGGCACGCTTTCTTCGTCCTCACCATCACTCGATGCATGTTGACGAGCCCTCTTCTCAGCCACCTCCGCAGCGTGTCTCTCGCTCAGATGCCCCGCCAGATTGTTCAGCTTGGCACGCTTCTCCTCGTCCGCAAAGTCAGTCGAGTCAGTCGTCCTCTCAATCCGACGCGATCTAGTTGGTTTCATGTAAGTTTCACATTTAATATGGAGTCAGTGTCTTCACTCACGCGGTGCAAAGCTTACACTTAAATTCCCACTTCTTATTTCCACCAACTACAACCGCCTTCGGTTTCTCAAAAAACTCGAGCGACTTGTTCTTGGGTCCACGTGCACCGTCAGGCCGTGCTTCTGCTGCTCGCTTCTGAACGTCTCGCAGGGCACTACAACCATCAGATAGCTCGCCATCTTTCAGATCGTCCACAAGCGTGTCAAGGTCCTCCGTGAGTGCAGGCATGGTACGGGCACGCTTTCGCTGACCTGATAGTGAGTATACAGGATATAATACGATGCAATGGATCATGCGTACGTCCTTTCCCTTTTCCTTCGATTTCTTCCCCTTCCCCTTCACAGCCCGACTCGCCGCCTTTAATGCTTGGTGCCCGGACTTCACCACCGACGCTGTAGCCTTCAAGACAGACTTTGCGGCAGAACGCGCTGCATCAGCAACGCTGGACGAAGTAGAGTGCTTGCTGCCGTGGTCGGATGCCGCATCCGATGAGTCCGATAGAATGCGCCGCTTCTGGCGCCTGCGATGCTGTAATAACTGTACATGTAAGCTGCTTCCCTCAGGCTATCCCAGCGAGTTGTTAAATGCTCACCTGTTTGTCTGCATCGGAAGCGATGATCTCGAGTCCATCTCTGTCCAAATGGATTGATTCAAGGCCACTCGAGTTGTCCTCATCATCAGTGCTCTCCTTTGGGGGCTTGTAAGTCTAATCCCTCTTCACATCGCCCGGGAGAGTGACGTCTGACGTATTATTAGCTGATTGTACTCGATCATGATTCAAGGTGCGCACCTGGAACCCCATACAGCTCGTTTGCAAGGGCTCCCCTTCCAAGTCTACGCAGAAGCTGCTCTTGGCTCAATGTAGGCGGTTCTTTGGATGGTTTGGGCTGCATCGACACACTCGCGTTCGGCTGATCAGGCGTGGGCACAGAAGTAGCAAGTGAGCTGATTCCAGGCGATAAGATGGTAAGCTCTACTTGTTTTCTATGCATATGTTTGATGTTGACTCACCAGAGAAACTCAAGCTCCTTTTCGAGGCGCTCGAGCTTGACCATCATCGGTCCGTGCTCCATGCCCGGTTCATCGGCAACATTCGAAAGGTATAGTCCTACTTTTTCCATACCATACCGTCCTCGACGAAGCTCACGAAAGCGACCTGATTCATCCCGACAGGTTTCCCCAAAAAGTATGTCGAATCGTCGATTGAATGTCTCCCACATTGAGTCGCCGTGTACAGTCGTGATTACGTGGTATATCTTGTCGGACTTGCTCGCAATGGGGACGGTAGGTGGGAGCCTTTTGCTGAGATCTGTGATACTTGCTATGATGTCTTGCCTCTTGGCTATGTCATCGTCGCTTGCTCGTGCCATGACTGATTGCAGGGGTGCAGTGAACTGGTGAGGAGTTGGGACACTCGCGCACGCGCGTGCGCGTTCATCAGCCCCTCCCCTTTACTATGTATTTTAGCTTCAATTTTGTAGTACATGACTTTGGTTCTACTATAAGCTGCGCGAACCGTGGGAATGAATTTATAATAGGGGCAAACCCCTTCAGACAGGCGTTTGCAGAATTGGAAAAATATGCAACGGCTCGTAGAAGAGGCTAGCATCGCCAGCTCTGAGTTTTCTGTTTCTATATACTAATCTATACTGTTTATATATTATAATGAATTGTCTACAGCCCCCTGTAGACATATACCGTATACTATATGCTAGTAAACGTATGTATACAGTATATATACTATATCCTTTGAGCCTTAGCGTCTCATCAACTGCCATCGAAGTTGATCTAATTAAATGCAGACCTACTATAGTAGCACCGGCGTTTCCGTGACCTACTTAAATTTGCAGTTCTTGGCGGGTGATAGGTCAAGATGTGCTCGTGACAATATCTCGGAAGCCATTGCCGGCTATGATATGCTTGCATGTTGAAAGAAAAGGCCAGGCGGGCGCAAGTCAGGGTCGTTAGAAGGCGAGGTACGCGATGTCATGAGATTTCAAAGATGAAGCGAGAGCAACGGCTAGACCGGCAAGTCTGGACGTCGTATAGCACGATGAAGCGGATGCAGGGTCATACATGAGCAGCTGCTTGAACGTACCATGCTATACTTTCCTCCCATCTCTTCATCTCCTCATCCATTCGAAATTCATGCATTTTCCTGTATCCGCAACGTGAGCGAGAAATATATCCACGAAGTAACATATGGACGCGTACACAGAGAGCCAACTGAAGTGAAACTCACAAAGCCCTCATCCTCGACCTCCTTTCTGAACTTCGGGGCGAGGCGTTGCGGGAGATACACAGATGCTCCTGGCGGGTTCGTGGGTTTAATATGGTGGATCGGATATAGTCGATATGGCTGGATCCACTCAGCCTTGCACCCTTGAGTCGCTTTGAAAGAATGGGCACAGGGTGAAATTGAAGGACAACAGATGGTGTCGATGAACAAGTAGGAGAGGTGATAGAAGGTACTTATCAACACCAGATTCTGGGGCATGTTGGTTTGAGGTAAGAGGCGCACGAGCTTATCGAGAAAAAAAGTGTAATTAGCTTAGAAGGCTAGCTTGATATCTGGTGACGCGTGTCGACGGAGAGAAGTCGGCGAAATTTATGCCTCTCTCGCGTCAAACCCCAACCAAGTACCAACTCCCACAACCTCTCAGCGTTCAGCGGTAGATCGTAGAAGTTTCTCCTGTTTACACAACAGTAAAGTATTCAAATATTGATAGAATGCATAATGTATACAAAGAAAAAGTCTGACATGGTTCCCGATAAATGCTTTGCGTTCTGCTCAGTCACGTTCAATCAAGTTCAATTACGTTCTGTACCCGTATTCTTGGACGCCCTAGGCGACCTTGTAGACAGCCGCTTTACTTCTTGCGTTTCGATGCTACAACATCGATATGATCAGCGAAGTATCGAGGGGCGGGAAATGTGTAAAACATACCGCCTTCATCGGTGCCTCCGCCGCCCTTGCGCTTCTTTGACACTCCCTTCGTTACCGCGTCGGTATCTGCAACGGGCACGCCTTGAGCATCGCAAGCGGGGCAGAACCACTCGCCTTCGGGGACGGCGTCCAGCGGCGGATTGAGGCATCCGAGGTGGTACGGATGGTCGCACTACCCGTTCACAGGGACAGCCGTTCGTCAATCCGGAATATCCAATGGGAGAAGGAACGGGACAAGATAAGGCATACCTTGTCGCACTCCAATGCTGGGTCATCGTCCCCCTTGTCGACCTCACACACCATACACAGCTCCGGCGCCTCGACTTCGTATGGGTGACGTGGCAGGTCCGAAAAAGACGCACTGGGGCGGGCGAGGATATACGTCGTATTTTGGCCTGCGGCGACACTGAGCACGTCGATCCCACTTAGCGGCATGTGTCGCGTCGGCTTGGACGTGCTCTTGGGCTCTTCGGGGCCAAGACCGAGTTCACCTGTACATTTAGTTAGCGTTTCGTACAGCGATGATTTGGCGCAAGGCACAGAAGGTCAACCAAATCAGAGAAAAGAAAGTCACGATGAGAGGGAGGCAAACAAGGAGACGCACCGTTGCTTGCGCCTTGTCCCCATGCAACCGTCATAACACCCTCCTCCTCGGTAGCAAGGGCGAAGTGGGTCACACCTCCCGAACTTGCATGAAGGACCTTGATTCCCCTGCGCACATGGATGTGGTCAGCTCATTATCGGTCAACGTAATGGATACGCATACATAAGATCTTGGATGGGTCGGAAGGAGGAGTACGGTGAACCTGACGAGCCTATCCACCAATATATTTATCGTCAAAAGGGTCACCTTTGAGTGAACAGCAAAAACGGTACCTTCGCCGCTATTCTTCCACTGAAGAGGGTAAACAAGAAGGATTAAAGAAGGATTAAAATAAGGGAACAATAGAAAGGGTACAAATGACGGGATAGACACACCTTGCCAGCCATCCAAAACGCCTGCAGCTGGTCGACGACGATCGTACTCGACGGTCCGGCGGCGATATACTTGCCAGTTCCACTCTCGTTTGGTCCAGCAAACTATACAAGCACGTGCGTCAGCACGTTTCGCCCTGCATACACCGACAATATGTGCATATATGCGCATGCATACCTGCGGGACAGCCTTAGGAACGAGCACGTCTTGCTGGTTTCCAAGGCCGAGTCGGCAATAGCCGTTGTACCCCCACACGTACACAACGCTGCGAGGATGGTGTGAGTTCCAAAGAACGAGGGAAAAGAGCAACATGTCACTTACTTTTTCTCATCGATAGCAACCGCATGCTGCTGCCCGCACGCGATGTCGGTGATGACCTTGTCGTTCAGGCCTTTGACAGGGACTAGATGTTGCGCGAGCGTTAGCATGCTCGAGACATTGCTAAGATGACGACTCACTTGGGTCGACTTCGATGTCGAATGCAGTCTTGTTCCCCGTGACGATATGCTCGCCCGTCCGGCCATTGCCGAGCTGGCCCTTCTCGCCACTCCCAAAGGTGAAGACTAAGAAGTGACAATGAGTGGCGTCATAAACAAACGATTGCACGGAAGTTCACTATACCTCGTCCGTTCTCAGTGAGGATGACAGAGAACGTGATGCCTGCGGCGGCTTTGATAACGCGCTGTTTGACACCGCCGGCCTCTGGACTCTCAATCTTTCTGAACCCTGGGATGTTCGAGCACGTCTCGTGTCCGCACTGTATTTCCCGCAAACCCAAGATACATGGATCAGTTTCCCGTGTCACAGCTGAAAGAAAACACGCGTCAACGCGTCGTGCGAACCTGTCCAACGTTGTTGGCTCCTGCACTCCATATATCACCCTCACTATCCACTAACAGCGAATGGTACCTCCCACACGCAGCATGCACAAACCGCGTGCCCTTTCCTGCTCCCAGCTCCGGCGCCGTGAGCTTGCGTGGTTTTTGCTCAGAGACGACTTCTTGTGGGACACCGAGAGGCGTCTGCGGCGCGTTGCGGCCGAACATGTAGGCCGTGCCGTGAATGTCAAGCGCAATGCAGTGACATGAGGCACAAGATGTATGGATGGAGGCAATTTTGACATTGCTCAGTGAGCGGAGGATGTGGGGTTCGAGGAGGTCGGGTGGGCTGCAGGAAGGTGAGCCGGGATAGAGTATTACATTGTAAGGAAAGTAGCGAAAGCGGCGTCAGGGTCAAGCTTCGAGCTGCGAATGCGTGAATGGGGTGGACTTACGCTTCGTCCTCATCTTCTCCTCCTGCTGCCTTCCCACCGCGGTCCTTCCGTCCGAGTTTCGGCCTATCCCACATTGGCCCACCGCCACCACCACCGAAAGTTCAAGTCACGAGAGGTTGGCCCATTGGTTGTTTCATTTTATGCGTCCAACGTGGTTTAGAACCATCATTCCGTGCCAGATTTGCGCGGCGAGACAAGAATAGTCATAGCCAAGCGCGCGCACGAAGGAGAAAGAGCGTGGCCAGAGTTCGAAGTCAGGATTCGCCGTCCAATCATAACGTCGTCCAAAGGAGATGAGAGAACAGAACCAAGTCGAGGTCGAAGTCGAGTCGTATCAAAGCGAGAACGGAGATCAGATTGCCACGAGAGAACACGAGTCCATGTCATACGCACGGTTAGTATTCGGCGCAACGGGAGGTCATAAGTCGCAGAGAAAGACACGCACCAGTCAGTTCCCCCGCATATGAGCACTGCAAGCGCGCACACGACAATTGCAAGCCATCCGAGTCAAATCCGAGCAGGTCGCGTCCCCCATGCACCCCGTCACGGTGAGCCTCTCTTCGCGCATACAGTCAACGAACATGTGCACTCACCCCTTCCCCACGTCTGCTCGCCATCCGTGTCTGCGTGTCGGAGGGACGTTGTCGCCATTTGCGCTCACTGTTGCTGGGAGTGTGTATGGACAGAAGTCGCCGTTGGGGAGTGTTTCAGTCGCGCAATTCGGGCGCCTACCCAGCCTGCTTTTTTCCGCAACCCCCCGCGCACGTCGGGCTGGCTTAGTGCGCTCCCTCTCACAGCCTCAGTGTGCCTCGATGTCATTCCCAGCCCACCCTAGGCACAAAAGGAGACGACAATGAGCCCCCGCCGGCGGTGACGCATACGTTACGCGTGCTATGAGGTGCATATATGCAGCCGCTCCCCTCTTCATTATCCGTTTGGCAGAAAATGCCATCACCCCACTCACTTGATCATGACTCATGGGACTCGTGTAATCGGAACTTTTCTCCGATACTCTCAATTGAGGTCAAATGAGCCTCTTCTTGACAGAGACCAGTGACTCATAACCATGCGTTCAAGGGTATCGAGCAAAACGTGGTTATCAACACGTCCCGCCATTAGCAACGTCATAATTACAGGGCTGGTATATAGGGCATAATAATCTCGAGCTCTACAAAGAAAGAAAAGAAAAACCCCGCCTCGACTCCTCAGGACAATCCTGTCCAGCTACTACTGGATAGGCGAATCCATTACGACTGGCTCCTCATATATCTTGTAGATCACCCAGGCCAACATGGCCCCGAGCACAACCATCACGCCAATCAACGCCCCGATATAACCCAGGAGGACCCAAATGCTCAGCTGCGGCGCGTTCGAGTGGTACAGCCGCTCCTTCTCGAGCCCGCGCTTCGCCCGGAATTCCGCCTGCTGCGCCGCCTGCGCATCCTCCACGAGCTTCTTCTCCTGCAGCGCCACCGCCGAGCGCTTGTCTTTCGGGTCCAGGCCCGTGCCGTTGGGGTTGACGACGACGAAGGAGGGATAGTTCGTCTCGACCCACTGCTCGATCTTGCAGCACGTGATCGAAAGCCGGAGGAAGTTGGGGTCTTGCGGCTTGGCGCGGTGGTGGATTGCGCGTGCGTAGTCCCGGAAGATGAGCGCAACTTCTCGGGGGTTTGTCGAATTCATGATGAGCTACGAAGAATTTTTAGCCTCATGGAAGCGTCGGAAAGAGGGGCAGGACGTACACGAGCAGCCTCGGCCTTGCGAATTTTGATGTTCCGCTGGAACATCTCTGGGTTTTGGAAGCACAACGACAGCGTCGCCATTGCCATGCACACCGGTACTGCGCAGAACACGAATATGCTCTGATTCTTCAACAGCCGCAGGTAATCCAAACTGTCCGTCGCATGCCGCAGCGCATCCAGAATCATCGCGCTCTGTATCCAGCCCGCCTTCTCCTCCGCCCCGGGCGCGTACAGATCGCGCATCTCCTGGAACCCGTACTTGGCCCATATCTCGCGCGGCCAGAAGTAACGCCCCTCCTCGGCGTCCTCGCGGAAGTCACGGATGATGTTGGTCTTTTGGAGCATGAGGCCCATGCTGTTCGAGAGCTCGAGCTGGTCGCACAGCCAGGGCGCCTCCTTGCGTGACGCACTCCAGATGCGCGTGAGTCCCTCGCCGACGAGTCCGGCGACGTAGTGGCAGTAGAGGTCGTACTCGGACACTGTCTCGACGTAGATAGAACCAGTCGTAGCAGCCTTGTGGGCGTAGTCGGCCATGCCGGTCTCCATCTTTTCACAGATGTCGAGGATAACTTTTTTGTACCTATATGGTACGTGGTTAGGAGAAAGGTTGCGCAGAGAGGAGCAGACACGTACTCGGGTGCAAGACGATTGATCTCCTCAACAACGGTATCGTATTCAACCAGCAACTGGCGGTCCTTTTCATCTGGGCCATTCCCATCAAACTTCCAGCCTGGCGTAACGGTTTTCTCGTGGAAAGAGCGAAGAAGGGGTTGCTTGGACTCGTCGGGGATAGTCATGTCGTCCTCGATGGTGTCGAGTCCACGAAGGACGAGATAGTACATGCAAACCTATACCAAGTCTAGCGTGAGCTTCATTGGATACGTAGCTCAGAAAATAAGGGATACAGACAATCCTTGCCAAATCGCCGTCGAGCTCCTTGACGATGGCCCCAAAGCTGCGGGAGGTCATGTCGAGGAGCTCCCAGCATCTGCGCATGGTCGAGCGGTCCCAGCCCGAGGTTGAGTGCTCCTGCTTGTCGGTGATGTCGCGCTTCTGCTCGTGCCAGAGGTAGAAGTTGATCAGCGTGCGGAATTCGGTGGGATGGGTGAACAAGAGGCCAAGCATGGAGACAGCTTTGTTCGTCATTGTGGATGAGTGGTCGGTCTGCGCGTTAGAGAAAGAGATGGGCAAGGAGGAGCAAGAAAGGAGAGAGGCGGGACGAGGAAGTGGGGAGTGGACACGGGACTCTGGAGACGACGCGCCAAAAATTGGGCTCGTCGTACCACGTCTCTCCGATTTCTCCGGCCCGCCCAACCGCCGGGTCCACGGACCTGTCCATCATGCCATATATGGTAGAACAAGTTACTAAGCAGGTCCACAGCTGGTCCACCGGCGTCCCTCAAGCGTCAATTGACTTCCTCAGCCCCTTTACCAGAAAAATCGCCATGGACGACACCGTCTACCCGCCCGTTCGCCTTCAGCCACTCGCCTCACGGCCCTTATCGGAAAAACACGCGCAAGCAAGCATCGACGCCTTCCTGGATTCATACTACGCCCGCGGGATGCAGAACGGCGGGTCAGCGGATAGCACAGTCACCGCTCAACTCCAGAAGCTCAGCGCCGCGCTCAAGGACGGGCGTGCAAGGGAAAAGGCGCTCAGACAGTAATCACCGTGATTGTGGCGGGGTTGGGGTGCGGATTCGAGGGCGATGATGGTGTGATAGGCGTTAGATGTCGGGCGAGGGGCGAGGGGTATCTGGACTATGGATGGTGCGGCATAAAGTTGCGGATCTGACGCGGGTCGGCGGGAGCGAACAGAACAGACTTGATGCGGTGGGTCGTCATCTTCACTCGTGCATTCTTTTGTTCATCTGATGATGGTATCATCGTGCTCTTGATATCACCTTCTCAGGCTCCAAACCAACTGCGGCTCACGCGGGCCTATTCTTGTCTACACCTTGGTTCTGGGGTGCAGTCGCGAATTGCAAAACGCCGAGCGTCTACTCTGGTCTGCGGGTCAGAGTGCGCATCACAACCCTTTTGGCTCCATGCGCATGCACCCTACTCTACGTCTTATTTACCATCTGTCGCCCTTAAATGAACTAATTGATCTTTGTGGCGCCTCCTATCAGCTAGATGTCATGGACGCTGCTCACCCCAGCTTGCAAATTTTACGCAGACTTCGACAGCCGTTCATGATGTACATTGCCGGGTGGACAATACTGTCTATTCGTGTCGCGGAACCCTCAATCCGTCCCGCCTCTTTTCTATTTGGCAGGCGTGCTTTGAGATCTTTCCCTTTTGCTTCAAGGGACAAAGCGCGAAGCCGTCGTCCGCCTATGTGTACACTATGCATCTTGTCTTCTCTTGCATTGGTATGCTGGCTGCTCTCGGGAATCCGGCCAAGCTCACTCGGCTCACCTTAGTCCGCCAGTTTCGTGATCGGAAGTCACTTGGACCTAAGCTACGCGAAGTTTACGATCTCATCCCGTGGTGTCCTTATCGCAAACTTCATACCGTGAAACTGTTCACTTGACAGAACGTTCACTGGTCATTTAACGCGCTCTCCTCGGGATCGGCGAATATGTACCGCCCTTCGACACGTTGCTCGCGAATCCATGCCCCGTTTTTTTTTGCAACGGCATTTTCTTGTACTACCGGATTATGCACAGAACTTACCAGTACTGAGCTGCAAAAAGAATTTGTTATTCACTTGCGTCTATCTGATGTCGACACGCGAGAATGTCGCTCGCGCACTCTCCGATGCGTATGTCTGGATGTTGCCATGAAGCCGCGTTCGTGTCCCATAACGTCCGATTTCACTTGCATCAACGGTCGGCACTCCGATGACGAGACTCAGGACGCTCTTGATCGCGTTCGCGTGTCAAATTGTCCTTCTGCGTCCCCGTATCTAACTTTATATGGCACAAATTCTCGAACTCACTGACCTGGCTTGCTCCCACTGGTAACGATTGCAACCCGCGGCTGTTACCGCTCCGTGGGACCATATCGGCATATTGACAGGCACGCACAGCATTCAGGAACGAGGATTGCTCCGGAGTGCTCGGTGCGTCCCGCTATCGCCTTGAAAGTATGTGTCCATCGTGCAATAGTAGTCTCAGACATGTGGGACACGGTTGTTGGCGATCCTACTTTGCGGCAGTATAATCTGCGCTGCCCGCTGCCCGCCGTTGCTCCCCGCAAGCTCTAAACTCACTAACGGAATTTGCCGGAGGTGGTCAATGTAATAAATGATATTAAAGATAAGGTTTTTATGTTTCGGAAAGTCTTTTCTCTAGAGCTCTCGGAACGTTCTCTTTCATTTCCGTGATTGTCAGCGAGCTAGTTTGAGCCACTTCCTTGTCTTATTTCCCCGTTTTCTAAGTGGTGAGAAAGTTCTGATCTTTGAAGCGTTAGTTCTCTCCCAGCAAGTACTTATGCACCCGCGCTCAAATCGCATCGGCACGAAACCGGCTCGGTGTAAAAATAAACCAACCCAGAAAGATACTCCGACAGCCCCGACGACGCGCGGAGTCGCCGCGGTCAGTCAGGTGGGTCATGACTCTTTCAATGGATGGATTCCTCGTCCTTCGGCGACTAATACTTGGCGAGATCGAACCTCGACACTTTTGTGATGCATTGGAGTAACTTATAGCAAGCGAGTCATTGACAACGTGTGCCTTGTAGCTTCGCATCGTGGCTGTAGCATGCTGATAGGTCGGCCGCCGTGATGTGTTTTCTCATGCCCGAAACCACCGTGACCGGTGTACTATAAGTGCACATGTGCTAGGGCCAGATGAGACTTCGGAACGTTCGTAGTTGGGGGGTGGCCCCATGCCTTGGGGCTTGATGTTGTGCGTCAGCCTGGGGATTTCCAGACACAGCGGGGACCTTGGCTCTCAAGGTCGTGCGCGATTGTGGCACTGGTGCCATGTGAACATCCAAATATTCATCAGGTTTCCTCTCGCTTTCAAGTACTTTGGCGGAGTACTGAACACTGACTGCAAGACTAGCGCTCCCCGCAGATTTTCATACCCAGTCGCGAGAAGACCATATGATCCTAGATCATCACCCATTTCGTAACTAAAATGTGTATCGAATCCCTCGTGCAACGTCGGTGGCGTTGCGGGCCCGATCAAAGCAACTGTGGCCGTTGCCGCATCGCCCAGTGGTTTGGCCCGGGAAAAGGCCACGCAGAAATCACCTAATGGATAATATAGCACACCTTCGCGGGAACGTATTTAGCTCGTTGGCACGCCTGGATGGGGAGAGCGCGCTCATATTGACGCTGCAATCGGTATGGGCTGATGGCCGCCCACGGTATGTACGAGATCGTCGACCATCCATTACCGCGCGTAACCTTGTGGGGTGCAAGGAACAAGGAGAAAGCCGAGTGACTGCTCCAATGGATGTGTCGCGACGGTGGGATGTCGAAACTTCCAATGACGATAGTGACATAATAACGGTCCGAACTGGACCCTGAATGTGTTGATGTAAAAGGGGATGACGAAGTACCCCCATTTGCAAAAGTCGCTACACCGCCCCCTGAGCGTACCATTGAGTCCGTATCTGAATCTGGACAAGTTCACATGGAAGAAATTCAGAAGATATTCGTGAATTTCGAAAGGCTGGTTGAGAGCACCAGGAAGAATCATGACAGGAAAGGGCAGAGTGGAAGGTCTCGGGCGAGGATTGAGGGTGTTTCCACCATGCAGTGGAGAATTGCTTCCCTGAAATGATGATAAGCCGGATGGACTGTGCTTCCGATTCGAGGGCAAGTTGGCACGACAAGTTGGCGCCTGTCTGTCATTCGTCAATGATACTTAATTAGAACATAGACATCAACCGCGTCCCTCTCTACTTTACCCCAGCCCCTCTCTGGTCTGCGCTCTCAGACTTATCGTCCTCGTACCTTGGTTACTCCGGAATGGTCGGACGGACGATATTACAAAAGGATTATCGCCAGCGGACCCTCGCACTCGTGCGCATGATGTCTGTATCCGGTCTCCGCTCAATAAGCCCTCCAGCTACCGTGTCTTCTTATGTCCATCCTTCTTCTTCCTTGCTCCTTCCCCACGCACTTCTCCCTCGTCACTTTCCTTCTGGCAGCAGTGACCTGGTAGGCCCGACCGCGTTCCACATGCGGAGGGTGGACATGCAGGTGGACGTCCTCGAACATGCCAACGTTGCCACCAATCTCACCATGTGGGCCAGTGAGTTCCCCTTAGCGCGCGTCTATTGCTGAACAAGGCTCACTCAATCCCTTTTTCGTCCTCAATTTTCGCGTCTTTCTGTTCTCTGTAGCCTCGGCAGCCGCGGCGATGATCTACGAGTATGCCTGCACGCTCGACTACGAGATTAACAACATCTGGCCGTGCGTTCCGTCTCTTCTTCATGTGCAAGACTGCCCTTTGACCTGACCCTCGTGTTCCTCCAGGCGAGTGTTCAAGTCAAACATAGCCAAATGCTACCTCCTCGCTCGATACGCTGGACTCGTTGCGCTTGCGTACGTCCCATCCTTCATCTTCCTGCCCTCCACCCATTCACGCGTCAGTGTCCGCCATATTCGGCATTCACCGGCCCCCACAGCATGAGCACAACACTGTCTTTCCGCATGTCCCAGGGCGCCGAGACTCCCGAGCTGCTCTGCAAAGGCTGGTTCTACTACCAGGCGTCCATCATCCAGCTCCTCACCATGGTCGTCGACTACCACATCATGCTCCGAAGTGCGTATCGCGCCCTATCCCCGCTCAATGCGCACGTTCCATGCCACATTCTGACATTTCGTTCTTCTCTTCTGTTGGAACCCAATAACCGTCGGACTTGACAGCGTACCTCATCTTTGAGAAACGCCCAATCGTCCTTCGTGTCCTGCGCATTCTCGGCGGATGCGAGTTTGTCTCCCTCATCGCCTCCGCGGGGATCATCTTTCCAAAGCTACAATACTCAATAACGTGTCTAAATATTAAAGCCCACCGCGGGTTTCTTGTTTATGGGTGCGTCCCTTTTTCTTCCAAATAATTATCCTGTTCTCGGGCCCTTTTAATACAGCACGTTGGCAGCTGACGCGCACTTTTTCGGTCCCGGTCTAGGATCTGCGCCCTCTTCGTGCACTGCATCTTCTGCGGTCTCGCAGTCGGCAGATACTATTGTTTGAAGCCGCCCTACAACCAGAATCGCCTAATGCTAATCTCCATTCGTGACATCGCTGTATCGTCATTAGTGATCGCTGGTGAGTCTGATCGCTTCAACCGTCGACGTACCTTTGTTCTCTGACACGAATTCAGCAATTCTCCTTGTTATGGTTTGGGACGTGTCGAAGCGATCTGACCCAACCAGTAACATTGCATTCCAGTAAGTGCTCACTTTGGCGTTAAATATCTAACTCATGGATACTCCTCCCTAGCTTCCTTCTTTCCGCGTATTGGGTCATCGTGAGTAGCCCTTACCAATGATCGTCGTAGACACCGCTCACTCCACGCCAGGCCGGTCGACTGGTGACGAACCTTCACGAGCTCGACTATGAAGGTGATCCATTTGGCGTCAGGGCTACCAGGGGCATCCAAACAGACGGGGACATCGAGACTTCCGACATAGAGCTCCGCTCTATTGATTTTATGCCCGTCATTGACCCCGAGCAAGGATCCGACGCGGTCCAGGGCAGCTCTAGTGGGGCATGCCCTACACCTTCAGATACGACTTGGAACCCGACGCTGGAGCCCGCTGACAGCATGAGCATGACGATATGCTAGCCAAGGGAATTTTATAGTCGTCTATCATGTTTTTAATTTTCCTCATCGTAGAAGGTCCACCGGTCTGCTCCCTTTGATTCTGATGCTTCAGGACGAGGCGGACCTCAAGCTTGCACACGAACGAGTCACGCACTGCATCTTGTATCTTACTCACAACCTCCGCGCTAAGCCTTGACACCGGCAGCCTTATTCACGGACCACGCCCCAATGCCTCCTCACCTGCTCCCCCTCCATCTCCTGTTTCACGTCCATTCTACCCTGCTGCATCGTTCACGTTTAATCTGCAACAATCTAGGTTTTCGAAAGCTATGTCTGTAAAATACCCTACTAGAATCCCCGCTTCTTAATGAAAATAGGTCACGGGTCAGATATACTCGGGTCCGCGTGTCAGAAGCAAACAGCTTAACATGTAGTCTCCTTTATGCAGCCGTTTTATACGTATCGCTGCGCTCTTTTGATGTTGTGTGAAACATGAAGGTTTGGTGAATGTCAGAACGGAGCCAGTCGTCTGTAGGCGTTCGATGACTGACGGAACCCACGTGCAACGGAGGCAGACAGTGTTAACTGCGCTCTGCTCTCAGTCCAGGAAGGTTTCACCTTGCGCGGTTCCCGAAATGAAAGGCAGGTGGATTTACCTTGGCTTCCCGTTGATTCGGTATGAACGATGACAGCTAGTACATAGGCGTAGCGGTGGCAGACATTGTTTCCGGTTCCTAGGCTGTGACTCCGATAGGATGGCGCTCGGTCAAAGGACTTCTAGTGCGTTCAAGTCAAACCTTCTGCCATGCCATGATGAAGTCGTCCACAACTATAGAGTGGCAGGAGTGCAGCGTAGGGACAGGTCTTGTTTGGATCTTGTCGCCTTGCAAAAGAGTTTCATCGATATCTATCCGTGTTCGGGCGTGTCGTCTGACTGCCCCCTGTGGGCGATCATCCGAGTCAGTATCCTGCTGGCTCCATCACCTTCGTCATCAACAACTCTGGAGCTCGCTCTTCCGCGACAGTTCGTCCCCTGAGCTCCACAAAAGAGAAGAACCTGTGCTGAACGATAGACCCACTGATGGGTTACGTGCGGTGTTGTCTGTTTCTACCCGCAGATCTAACAACGTTACCCGCTCGACTTCGTTTGCATGCATTTTAGATGTCTAAGCGTCTTCTATACAGAACATAACTCGTGCTCTTGTCGCTATAAGCCGTGGGCGTCTGTGAACTGCAGCGACGAAACCGAAGAACGCAGTAAATGACAGTATGTGCATGAACCCTCTTCTCGACGTATTGTCAGTGATGGATATCGGAGCTGTAAGCGGTGTAATGTCGCACATGCAAGTATCTAGCACGGTTTGCAAGGCGCATGATCCAGTGCGACGTTTGTTGAAACGCACCGAGAAAGGTTTAGCAGAGTATGTTCATTGTCTGACACGACGTCGACGTCTCATGTTCGTGAACCAGAGAATGAAAGTTGAGAATATGTGTGGATAGTATGTATGTGTCGTAATGGTATCGTATCTCGATCGTGATAGTATATGTGTGTATCCTAAACGTGCCAAAAGTTATCCCAGATTATATCGCAAATAAAATATGGCGCTCTAAGGGGCAAAGAGCGTGTGGGTATAGTGTATGCATGTTGTGTCCAAGCCGTTCCGATGCCGGATGGCCTAGATGGCACCGTTCGTGGCGATTTCGAACTCCTTGAACGCGGGGCATAAGTCATACCAAGAGTCTGGCGGCGGCGTCAGCAACGGTGAAGCCTAAGCAATGAGGGAAAGCGCATACTAGGAACGTCCTGCTTATGAGCCGCTATGGCGGGCGGGCTCTCCGCCATGACGACGGCGAAACCGCTGAAGAGAACGAGTCAATATAAACGTAAAACACCTGGAGCAAATAACGGGACGCACTGGTTTAGATGCCAATCGATGTGACTAAAAGCAACACAAAGTTAGTGATAGACTGCGGCCCGGATAAAAAGGCAGTATGTACCAGTGGAAGAACCAGGGGCCGGCGTTGTCAGTAACGAACCGGATCGTCACGTTATCGCCAGGGGTGCCAATCGAAACTACGTCGCGGCGCTGTGGGTTCTTAAAGTTCGGTTCCCTCTCCCCGGGGCCACGAATAACGTCGAAGGTATGCTGCGGAGTCTCGTTTAGTACCAAATAATCAGACACAGACACAGCGAGCTCGACGTACGCCATGAAGATGCATTGGGTGTGGTCCCCCAGCTGCCCTGGCGTTCGCGGGAATGCTCAGCTCGATCACCTTATTGGGCGGAAGCTCGTAGACCGTGCCAGGAGGCATAATCTGCGACGGATGCATCTTGCCATTCAAGATCTGCAGCAGAATGGGCGCCGATGGATTCACCCAGCTGACGTTGTTCATCGTGTACCGTGAATCGATGAGGTCGAGGTCGAAGTTGATGTTCACGTCCGCCTTGCCAATCTCGTGGATTCCAGGAGCACCGGGGTTCAAGAGCGGATGAATCATGCTGTCGATAAGGGGAGCGTAGGTAGGTGTTCCAACAACGAGGGTGTTATTGACGACGTCATACTCCACGGCAGGCTCCTCGTCCGGCGCGCCTTTGTAGCGGAGGACGGCGGAGTTGACGCCGTCGCGAAACGTTTGATTGGGCAGGCTGGAGCGTGCTCGGATCCAATAGTTATCAGCGGGCTGGTCGGCCTCGACGATGACCGAGTACCGTTGAGCTGCGAAGACGGAGATGGAGTCGACCTCGACGGGCTCGGTGATGATGCCATCCGTCTCGATGACCGTCATCTTATGACCGGCGATGGTGAAGTTGTAGTATGGATCGCATTGCATGCCAAATATACGGAACCGGTACCGCTTTCCTTGCTCGACTTCGATGACCGACAGTGGTGTAGCGGGGCCACCGGGATACCTGCCCTTGCCATTGATGAGTGTCGAGTTCGGCTCAACTGCACCATTGATCGCAGCAAGAACTGGTGAAGGATTGTGATACCAGTCTGCGAGAGTGATAACGGTAGTTTCTGCGGATAATAAATGTCAGAGAAGTGTCGGCGCTTGGTAGAAAATCAGGGTACAGACCATCATCGACGTCATACAAGTGACCGTGAGGATCGTCTGGGTCGTAGATGACGAGTGGCCCTCTCAAGCCATCGCACAGCTGGGTGAGATAGTGTGAATGGTACCAGTAGCTGCCTGCTTGACCATCGACGTCGAAGTTGTACGTGAACGTGTCGTTGGGCGTGACAGGACATTGAGTAACAGACGGAGTACCATCGTACCAGGAAGAGTGACGTTGGAAAATCCCATGCCAATGCTAGAGGGGTGTTGGGGTTCGAGTGGTGCATAGAGACCTCAGACACTCACTATACTGGTCGCTAGTGCCATAGATGGATCGTCCAACTCGTTCTTGACGGCTATGTTGAAATTCTGGCCCTAGAATGAGATGTTAGATCGAAACTGAAGTAGAGTAGACGACGCTCGAACCTTGACTGCTTTGATGAGGGGACCTGGAGTCATCCCGTTAACGACGGTAGCGCTAGGTACGGTTAGGCCAAGTTGAATACAGGACGAGGAAAAACACTTACGAGCGGCGATAGCCATCGGGTGAGACCACCTCATCCGAAATAACTAGTTGGGCGGAAGAGGCATCGACGACCGCCAGACGTTGGTCGTCTCCGTCGTAGTTTGCGGCACCTCGTATTACGGATGCGCCAAGGCATGGTGAGACTAGGGCGAGTAAGAGTGCGAGACGTGACATTGTGCTTGAGCTAGCGAACGAGAGGCAGTTCAAGGAGAGGAAGGAGAGGTTGGGTGTACGTGCGATTGTAAGAATGATTATACAGTGTGAGTGACCCTTGGAGAGCGAAAATTCTAATGAAGCACACGTACGTGGGTGCCGAAATAGTCGGCTATGCTAAAGGCGATTGATGTGAGTTCTAAAACGGCGTCTTGGTTTATAAGGCAAGGGTGAAACGTACAAGCAGCAAAGGAGTGGATGCGGGTTGAGCTGAGGACATGTCATCGGGCATACATGAAGCAAGTCAGAGATGTAGGACGTAATGGAACGTGTTTGAGGGCTTGACTGACATTAGGAGAGTAGTCGGTGGGCCGAGGACGTTGCAGAGGGGTAGCCCACGGTGAAAGCTGGGCTGGGCTGGTCTAGGATACGGGGCGGAGGGAGGAGGGAGGAGGGAGGGAGGGAGAAAGAGGAGGGGGTATTCCATCATCTCGAGCTTGTGCTTATAAGTGTGGATTCAAAAGATTGAACATGAGCGTTTTGGTCTTTGGCATGCAGCGAAGCGTCGATTGGCATGCACAAAGAACCACACGCGTTTAGCCCTTATTTCCTAGCAGCAATTCCAAGTAGCACTGCGGCGTCATTCGACCGACAATGCGCTCTCGAGCTACAAGTTTGTGGTCCATGTCGACGTCTGAGATCTGAGCGCCGGACTGAGAACTTGCAAAATGCCATGGTATGACCAATGAGCTCAGTTTCTTACCGACATAACTCCAAGTTTCTTTGTACGGATCCTTCTCTTGATAGCCAGTTCTGTGAAAGGTGAACATAAAGAAACAAGATAAGGCCTCTAATGTTTTCCAGATAGACGGCAAAAGTAGCAGGACAAGGAGCAGTTCAGACTCCGCTCGCATCGGAAGTCCGTTCATACAGCCATCCTCACTAAATCCCGATGGGCAAAAAGTCCAACTTCACTGGCCTCTCGCGATTCGTTCACCAAGCTTTCGGAGATCAGGAAACAACGACAAAGAAAACCGATGAATCCTTCCAACATCCAGCAAAGAGGCGCAAAGTCGAGACAGGCACCGTCGTAGCCATCCACCGCGGCGCCGAGGGGCTGGTCCCGCACTACAGGTCTGCGGAGGAGGTCCCTGAACATCTTCAAAAGTGTATGTTGCTCTTTCTCTTTGGGCTAAAAACAGAGATGATGAACGATGCAGACTTCTCGCAGCGCAAGCGCTACTTCTCGCTGTATGACCAGGGCTGTCTGCTCGACGAGGAAGGCTGGTACAGCGTCACTCCCGAGCGCATCGCGGACCAGATAGCGGAGCGATGTCGGTGCGACACGGTGCTGGATGCATTTTGTGGGGTCGGGGGGAACGCCATCGCGTTTGCGAAGACGTGCGAGCGAGGTGCGTGTAGTTTTGCCCCTGAACGTGAAGTTTTCGTGAATCTCATGGACCGACCGATGCCAGTCATTGCGCTAGACACATCACCAGTGAGACTCGCATTGGCGCGACATAACGCTCAGATCTACGGCGTTGCAGACCGCATCGAGTTCATTCTCGCAGACTATATATCCTTCGCAGAGTCGTATCTCTCCCGCGCCTCTGGCAACGGGAAGCGCGACATCGACATCGTCTTCCTCAGTCCACCCTGGGGCGGTATCTCGTACCTAACGAATCCACAAGACTCACCGGACTCAGACGAAAGCGACGTTTCCCTCGTACGCCATCCGGAGTACAGTCTCGCGAGCGTCAAGCCGATACATGGGGCGGATCTGTTTCACTTGACGCGTAGAATCACGCCAAACGTGGCCTACTTCCTGCCCAGGCATACGAGTTTGGACGAGCTGTCTGCGCTGCTGCCGTCTTCAGATGCAACGAGCGGAGGAGATGATTCCCAGCAGGAGATACTCGAGATTGAGGAAGAGTGGATGGGCTCCAAGTTGAAGGCGCTGACATGCTACTTTGGTGGTCTCGCTGCTGGACAAGAACATTTGTTCTGAGGGCTACAATACTAGAACTGTATCTAATGTGCTGTCGATATTCTTTGCTCGCTTTCCGCACACTGTCCTTTGAATGTCACCGTCTGACAGGGGTATACCTTTGCAGGCAATGACATAAACAGACGGAACGGAACCCGTCTCTTTCCACTGCGAGCGTGCGGCCATTGAGCGTGCACAGACAAACACACGCCCTCTCTTTCCTCCCCCACCACGCACTGGGAGGCCCTTTCCCTTCACGCCTTCAACGACCAGTAGAATGCCGATTAGAGCAGCAGCTAGGATCGGAGCGCGCACCCTCAAGCGCGTGAGCTTCCGGGATGCCCACGGTACTGCTCGCGGGCTTGCGACAACCACTGGACCTGTGGGTTACTTGCTTGCTATAGCTTGTCTAAATAGCTGAACGATGAAGGACTATAGCTCCGTCGTACCGGTTTGTATGACTTTCATGTTGAGAACGGGGCAAAGATGGTGCCGTTCGCAGGGTTCGAGATGCCCCTAGCGTATGGTAATGTTGGGCAAGGTGCGCATTTAACCTATTTTCTATGTACGCAAGCTTATTGTGGCGTTTACAGTTGCAAGCCACACCCATGTGCGCACGAGCGCGGGCCTGTTCGACGTCGGACACATGGTCCAGTCCATGTACGTCTACTCCCCAAAACACGCTCATCGCGCCGACCACTGACGACCTAGACAGGTTCCGCGGCCCAACAGCGACCGAGTTCCTCGAATGGCTCACCCCGTCCTCGCTCGGTGGGCTCGCTCCGTACTCCTCAACGCTGTCGGTGCTGCTTAACGAGCGCGGCGGGATCATCGACGACACTGTCATCACCAAGCACGCCAAAGACGCGTTTTACGTCGTCACCAATGCCGGCCGTCGCGATGCGGACATGGCGTGGTTTAAGGAGAGATTAGAGGAGTGGAATACGGAAAGGGGCGGGAAGGGGGGAGGCAAGGTGGAGTGGGAGGTGTTGGACGGGTGGGGGCTCGTTGCGCTGCAGGGTGCGTTCTTTCGTTTCGGCGAGGTATGCAAGGCAAGGGTGATTGACAGGGGTGTATTAGGGCCGGAGTCGGCGGGTTATTTGCAGGCTCTGACGTCGTTCGACCTAAAGGGGCTTACTTTCGGTCGGTCGGCATTCGTCCCCGTGGAGGGTTTCAACCTTCACGTTGCCCGAGGCGGATACACGGGTGAAGACGGTTTCGAGGTGCGTCTTGTCTCTGCCATCGATTCTACTCCTTGCTCACTCAAAGTTGCGTCATACGTTGAATGGCGATTATAGATCTCAATACCCCCGCAACATACCGAGACCGTGACCCGCCTGCTAACCAAGTCGCCCGTGCAACTCGCCGGCTTGGGGGCGCGCGACTCGCTCCGTCTCGAAGCGGGCATGTGTCTGTATGGTCAAGATCTCGATGAGGATACTACGCCCGTCGAGGCCGGTCTCTCATGGGTCATTGGTATGTTCCAATCTGAAAAGCGAAGACTGTCGCTAACGTATTTTGGGCCTTCACAGGCAAAGATAGGCGCGAAAATGCGTCTTTCATTGGCGCTCAGGGCGTATTGAAGCATCTGAAGGAAGGACCACCTAGAAGGCGCGTTGGATTCGTAGTCGAGGGAGCTCCTGCCAGACGTATGGTTTTCCACTTTACAATACTATTTAGCATACTAACGTATGAACAGAGGGTGCGAAGCTGTTCACCCCGGGAGGCGAAGCGTCTATCGGTATGTCCCCATTATTCCATTCTGGTTAGAATCTCGTTGTAACCCATCTCAAAGGCACTATCACATCTGGGATTCCCTCACCCACCCTCGGCAAGAACATCGCGATGGGCTACGTCACGTCCGGGAACCACAAGAAGGGGACCGAGGTCGAAGTCGAGGTGCGCAACAAGCGGAGAAAGGCGATCGTTACGCCCATGCCGTTCGTCAAGCCAAACTACTACCGGGGATGAAGGGCCTTTATTGTGTCATTATTTCCACGAGCACTCAACTGCTTGTCATGACTAGAACACCGTACTGTAGATCTACTTTGCATACATCTTTGTGGTCGAATGAGCATTTTGACCCAGCCTTCCGACCGTGTGAATGTGTGAGCCCCTGAAGATCATAGTCATGACGGGAGGTTTTCCTTCTTGTTAACACCCAACGACGACGACCTGCCACCAGGGACCGCACGACAATGGCCACCATCTCTCTCGATGAAGAGGTCAGGCTGTATACCACCAACGCAGAGCGAGAAAAGTACACCCTCTTGTCGACGCTCTATGGGATTATCGTCGCACTGGATTACCTCGAGCGGGCGTATGTACGAGACTCTATCACAGCTGCTGAGTGAGTGTTGGATCCTTTCATACGTGCCATCTGCATTAGTTTGTGTACAACGCACTGAAACTGCAGGAGAGGTACTCCCCGGCATGCACGCGACTTCTAGGGCAGTATCAGACGATGCTGAAGCTCGTCAGTGACGAGGTCAAGTCGGTCGAGCAGTTCATGGAGCGGTATCGGGTGCGTACCTTTCTCTGTCGTCCATCTGGCTCAGACTGAACATGGCGTGATATCTGCTAGATGGACAATCCAGCGGCACTACATCGTATCAAAGTGGGCGTTCCTGCCACAGTTGAGCATTCCTCCGAAGGAGGGCCGGAGACGGGCAAATGGATCGCGGAGACGACGCAGGTACGGACTCTTCCTTATATCATGCCTGGCCACGCTGCTAATGAGAGAACGTAGAACTTTATCACGTTCATGGACGCGCTGAAGCTGCGAATGCGGGCGAAAGACCAGTTGCACCCGATTCTGCAGGAGCTCGTCACGGGCTACGCTAGGTTCAAGGGGAGTAAGGACTGGGAGGGTCGGGGAAAGATGGTTTCATGGTGCGCTCTATTCTCTACCGATGTTGTTGGAGATATAGCTCAACGTTGATGTCTTATGGGTGGACAGGCTCATCTCACTGAATAGCATGAAGGCGTCAGAGGAGATCACGGAGGAACAGTCACGGCAGGTAAGCCCTTCGTTTACCCTGACTATGGCCGCGAGTTTGTCTGATCATATTTCCACCCCTGCAATTGACGATGTACAGCTTTTGTTCGATGTAGATCACGCATACGCCGAATTCTTCAGAAGTCTAGGCAAGGGCGAACCATGAGTATCAGTACCAGAGGTCTATTATCACGTCTCCTCATGCTATCTTCTTGGTTGTATATTACGGCAAATTATCACGGATACTCTGAGCCCAACGTGAGACCATCAAGAGTGTAGTTACATCACTGTGTAGCGCCGCAGCTTGTCTGTGGTGATTGAAACAAGGAGGCTGTTCAGGGGAAAGTAGCAGTGCTCTTGACGTTGACAAAGCGGGGCACCGCGATCAGCGTCCCCTCGAGGCTCCTCTTGTTTCCCTTTCTCCTCCACCCTTTCACCCTTGAAGATTTACAACTTCCTCCTCAACATCGCCGGCGATGTCCAAAGCTATAAACAACCCGTTCCGCCATCCTGACGAGCCACCTGAAGCGCTCCCCAGCTTTGACGATGTTGCTGGGCCCAGTGCCAGTGGTTCCGACCCAAGCCAAGCTCACCGCGGGTTCGCATCACCACCGCCCTCCGCGGCCTCCTCGCCTCCTTCGGTGTATGCCCCTCCTCCAGGTCCTCCACCAGCTCATCCATCATCTCAGTCACCACCACCTGCCTCGAATGACTTCAGCGGTCTAGGCGGCCTCGACGAGGAACTTCCGCCGGCATACACGCCCACTGCGGACTCCAGCGAGTCCATCGTCGAGCGCGGACCTCGACGACCGTTCCAACAGCAACAACGACAGCAGCAGCGTACCCCTCAGGCGAACGCCGGATGGCATCCGCAGGGGCCATATGCTCCGCCTGCGCCCCCGCAGCAGCAGACCGGTGGTGGGTGGTCGTCCTATCCCGGGCAAGCACAATCTCCGCCGCAGCATCCGCAGCACCAATACGGGCCTCCTCCAACACGGGTCAACTCGACCGTCTCTTCTGGGTACGGAGGTGGAGGAGGGTACGGAGGAGGTCCAGGGCCCTCTGGGGACTACTACAACAGCGGCAGCGGATATGGAGGACGCAGCCCCGGTGGGCTGGGGTACTCAGCGAGCCAGCGCGGGACGAAGAAATCTGGCGGCCTGATCGGTGCGCTCCTCGACACGGTCAAGGACGTCGTCGACACCACGATGCAGTCACACAACCAGGCGATGGACGCGCATAATAGAGCGATTCAGACCTCGTATGCAAACTGCTATGCCCCGTCGGTGCCGGCTAATTCGTACGGTAGCGGGGGGAACCCTGCGTATGCTCCACCTGCACCTGCGCCTCCACCTCAGAGCGGGCTGCAGGCAAGAGATGGGCCACCTGGAGGAGTGACGGACGATGGGGAGGACAGGAGCCCGACGCATGTGCCGGTGCCAGGACGGATTCTGCTCAGGGATGACAAGATCATTATGTATCCGAACAACCAATATATCTGCCTCAAGTGTACGTCCTCGTCATTACTTCTCTTCCTTTGGGTGCGTATCGTTCTAGCATTGACATGCCTCCCTCGAAATACAGGCAGGAACACTGGCTACCTCAATTACGACCCCTCCGAACCATGCAACAAGTGCTGGCAGAAGTACAGCAAGCCCTACCGCGGCGCGATCACCTACACGCCCTGGAGCTCCGAGATGTCCAACAAGGGCTCGAAGCTCCAGCGTCCCCTTCCACGACCAGTACAGACGAACGTCTCGAGGTCATCGGGCTCCCGCTCGTCATCGCATGGGCAGTATCGCGGGGACCCGTATGCGTCTGCGTACGCCCCGCCTAGTGGTCCGCCACCACCCCAGCATCACCAGTCGTACGGAGGAGGTGGTTATGGTGGAGGACCAGGACAAGGGCATACGTACTACGCGCGTAACCCTCCTCAGGGCGTCGGGATGTATGCACCTAGTCCGGGTGCGATTTCTGTCGCCCCGGGAGATCCGCGTCTTGGCGGTGAGGTCTGCCCAAAGTGCCACGGGAGGGGTGTAGTGCCGGTGCTGTTTAACGAGCACCCTTGTCCGATATGTACTGGTATCGGACGTATATACTGATGGGTGATGCGGGTGACAGGTGTTCTTGGTCGGATGGATAACTTATTTTGTATTCCCGTGTACATACTCTGCACTTTGTTATCGTTAATATGCTTTCGAACGTTGTGACAACTCTACATGCGCGACTCGATTTCTGCCAGACAAACTTGGAAGCTGCTCCAGTCCTCCATAACAACTGCATTCCCGCTTCCTTCGACCAGCCCTTCCCCCATCTCCTCCATCTTGATCCGGCCCTTTTCGACCTCATCGCCTGCTTCGGCCTGATAAATCCCGACATACCCGATCAGTGGAATGCCCCTGCCATTCCCTGCCCTTTTTGCAGCCGTCGCCCCGCTATTGCTGTCCTCAACCGCGACGCATTCTTCCGGTCTGACGCCCAGTTGTTTACACGCGTGATCGTAGATCGCCGGGTCAGGTTTGCTGCTCGGCGGAGTGAGCGACGTTGCGGCGGAGAAGACGTGCTCTTCATCAAAGAAAGGCATGAGCCCCGCTTTCTCGAGGCTCGCGAGGACGCGTGGTTTGGCGCTCGTGCTGACGACGGCCATCGGGTATCCCTGGGTGCGTGCCCAGGTGAGCGCAGCTTCGACGCATGGGCAGGGCTCGCATCTCTTGTTGAGCTTCTCTATGACGCGAGCGACTTCGAGGTCGACGTAGGCGTCGATGTCGGAATCGCTGGGTGTGAGGCCGTATTCTTGTCTAAGAGAGACGAGCATGTTGCGGAAGTTCTTGCCGAGATATCTCTCGTGTAGGATGGCTGGCGTCAAGGGCTCGTCTGGGATGGGGCGGGCATTTGGTTGCAGGGATGTTGTGGGATTAGGCTTGTACTTTGCGATGACCTCGTTGACAAGATCAGAGCAGGCTTCAAAAGCACGGCTCTCGGACTGAACGAGAGTGTTGTCGCAGTCGAAAAGGATGTACTTGACCTGATGATTGATACGTTGAATGTTGATCTACACGAGAGGGGACTGACCGTCCGCTCACCTTTGCCATCTGACTCGGGACGAGATGGTGTTGAGACAGAAACGTTGAGAATAGGACGAATCCGTAAGAGGTACGTCACATAGCAAACCCATTCCGGACCAATCTCATGGGGCCGAGGTGGCGGTCATAAATATCCTCGCATCATGTCAAAAGATGGTGGCTTGACCCTGTGCTGGATGGAAAACAAGGGAGCTCGAAGAGAAAAGGGAGTTGGGTCGAAACATCAAAGGCTGTGGGAAAGTGGTTCATACTATCGCCGATAGACTGATGTTGAGCGAACTAATTTCTTCTGTGCTGTAGACCCCTTTGGGCTGGTGCAACACGTTTTCTTCACCGGCTTTTTGTATGCTCTCCGGGGTGGACATGTATTGGACCACTTGCCTTGTATGTATATCGACAACAATGATGGAGGTGAAACGGGCACTGGTATCGTCTACTTATGACAGAGCGCGGTGATCAGTCAGCGACAGTCCGAGTCACCACCGCCGTGACTCAGTTCGTCCTCTCAATGCGGATGCCTATAAGTTGACCGCAGTCAGGTACTGGCCCGATATTACCACCATCATGTCCTCGCGCTCTCTCACTGGCACGCCCGTTCTCACTGGCAACGCGTTCACGCGCAGCACTTTCGGCGGCAACCCAGCTGCGGTCGTCCTCCTTCCCGATGCCGACAACAAGTCTCTCTTCGACAACACTCAGTATCCCGAAGAGCTGACCCTGGCCTGGACAAGCAACTTTGCGCAGCCGATGACTGCGTTCATCGGTATGTCCGGAAAGTCGGGTCTGGATGACGGAGAGTACGCGATCAGGTACAGCACGACGAAGCACGAGCCACCGCTTTGTGGGCACGCGACCCTCGTCGCTGCTGGTGTGCTCTTTGCATCTCAAAAGCCTAGCGGCGACGAGAAAATCCCGAGGACAGTTAGGTTCCGGACGCGTACCGATGTGTTGATCACTGTGCGGGAGAACCTCAGTGATGGTGGGGATCCGTGGTATGAGATGGAGATACCGGCAGGAGAGGTGGAGCCCGTCTCTGACGAGACTCGCACGAAGGTGACGAGCGCGGTGGCAAAAGCTCTCGGGCTGAGCGAAGACAAGGTGCCCGTCAAGGAGATTTGGGTCGGGGCGGGGCCAATGGACCATTTCGGAATAATCGTCTTGAATGACGACGAGAAGCTCGAAGGGCGGGTAGTGGACCCCGAGCCGTTCGTGAGTATCCTGCTTGTTATCGTAGTTCATGTCAGTAAAAAGCGCTGATTGGATTCATGTCACAGAAAGCGACGCCGTACGTCATGAACGTGCTCACGACCGCTACGCCTAGCTCGAACACCGACAAGTTCCAGTCACGCTCGTTTGCACCCAATGTTGGCATTCCGGAGGATCCAGTCTGCGGCGCGGCGCACACGTTGCTTACACCGTACTGGTCGGCGCTGATGGGCAATGCTGGGCAGGAGATGACGGTCAGGCAGGTCAGCTCAAGAGGGGGCGATCTGAAGGTAACATGGGATAGGGAGAGAGGTATCGTCAAGCTGACAGGTCAGGTGGCACTGACGTCCAGGGGAGAGCTCTTGGGTTGAGTAGGCGTACGATGAGGACATGCCTCACGTAAGGGTTCAAACAGAACTAGAAGTCAATCATATTAACACGCTTATGAATTTGAATGGATGCGAACGATAAAATATGCGAGCAGGATAAAACCACTACTATCACACGGCAGCGTCTCTGTCTATGCCCTTCATTCTTCCTCGTCTTCGTCGGATGTAAGGCGACGGAGCACGGAACCATCTAGGGGCTCTACGGAAGACGTAAGCGACGTTGATATCACGAAAGGGAGGGGACATACGGCCAACCGACGTAGAGTGACGCCCACGGTATGCTGCCAGGGGGGAAGAGATGGATGGAGAGGGGGTTGAGGGAATGGAGGGCACAGAACCCTTGAAGGGTGAGACGGAAGGCGGAAGGGAGTACTGAAGGGTGCGGGAAGGAGTGGATAGGGGCGAAGAACGATACGAGGCGCCAAACTCGCGTTGGGGTTGCGGAGTCGACTGAAGGATCCTAGTCAGCGGTTTCATGCTACAATGTGGTAGAGGAAGGTGTACTCACGGCGGGCGACATAACCAACCGCTTCTTTTCCTTGGTGGGTGGAGTCATGGCGAATTTGACGGGGGTTTGTGTTGAAGGTAGTGGGTTACGCGGATACTTGAGAGCGAATAATGCTTGAACGATGTTCAGAGATAGTAACCCGAGGAATAGGAGCTCTACAGAACACACGACCATGAGTTGGTTGCGCGTACAATCTGTGCAACTGAGAACGAACCTAGCGAGCATAGCGCGAACCAGAACGCGCCAGTGTTCCTTGGCCGTGACATAACGATGTTGGTTGAGGTCCATGGTGATGGTATAGGGAGCACTGTCGCAAGAACGATAGAGGCAAGGAGAGTGAGGGAACTGTTTCGTAGGCGGATAACTGCTTCGTTCTTGAACGGCTTGCTGAAGTCGACCAGCTGGGCCTTGGACTGGGACAGGATGGCGGGAGAGCTCATTATAAGTTTCGTGGCCATATGGCGTCGATGAATCTAGTCGTCGAGAGTGGGTTTGAACGTGGGGGCTACGGGAGGGAGGAGAGAGGACGACGCGAACGACGTTGACCAGACACAAAAACCCGCCCTAGACAACGCGTACGTCACGTGTCTCACCCCTCACATCTAGCTCCCCCACATCTCTCTGGACTCTCCCTCTATGTCCTCTCGACTCATCGTTGTCTTGCCTTCATGCGACTCCCACTCCGGCCATGATGCGTAAATTCATGTGCGTGTGCATTCGATCCGTCTTTCTGTGCGCAATACTGACCCTTTCGTTGCGTAGCTCGCCCTTGTGAACACCGACTCTGAGTTCAAAGTCAATTCCGAGCCCCTAGGCTTCTACCAGAATATTTCACCTCCAAGAGCATTCGCGACGCTTCCAACCAGGCTGGGGTACACTACCATGGTTATGGCGTCGAGAAATTGATGCATCCCGATGCCTTTTCCACGTCAAGACGAATGCAGACAAGATTATCAGGGACTTGGGGTGCTGGGAGAAGCTCAACGAGGAGCAGCTACTCGTCGAGAAGATGGCTATGGCTGGCAAGTACGCACGGCCTGCGCTGCTCGACAAGGAGTAATAGAAGCTGCACGAAGGAGCTTTTGTCGGTGTGCGTTGAGTTCCAGGTGAGCTTGTCGTTGCTCATTGCCAACATCCGTTGTACTTACAAGTCTCGACCACTTCTCTAGAAATTTTTAGACGAGAAGAGCGTAAGTGGCACTTTATCGTATCGATAAGGTCAGACTGACATGCGTACAGGGGCATATCACTAACACACTCGAGGAAACTTGACGGCGTCCTGTAAGACGCCATCTGCGGGTACGACAAACGCGAGGATAAGCATCAGGAAAATGACAGGCTTCTTTTTTCACACGTAATGCTACTATACCCATATTTTGATATATTATTGAAAGTCGGGCATGTCCAAAAATTCTGAAACTTGGGGGTCTTATAGTACCTTATGGGTGTACCCCAATGCCCAAGTTTGAAGGAAATCGGCGGTTCCGTTTTTGAGCTACACCCCCCCCAAGTTGCGTAATTGGGGCTGGGAGGGCAGCACACATCTTCTCCACTTGTTCTCCTATCGTCTTGCAGAGATCACCAATGGATTCACAGACCTT